CGATTTTCATAACTTTTTTGAAGAAACATTTTTTTTCTGAACTCTTCAAAATTTCCAGCAAAAAAACCCAGGAAGTTGAAAAAATTCCAAAAAAAAATTTGAGAAGAATTAACTGTGGTGTTAAAAGATCAAGCAACTCTAATTAGAAATTTGATGTGAGAAGAGAAAAGAGGAGCAAAAAAAAATGACGGAAATTGTCTCTAGTCTGGTGTTCTTTGATTTTTTGGGGTGACAAGACAAGGAGAAGCTGAAGGAGAAGCGTTTATGAGAGGATCTAACGACTTTTTTCACACTTGGCAGAGAAAAAAATATTGGAATGTACTTTGGGAATGATTTTTAAAAAGGAACATTTGAAATTGGGAAAAATTTCAAAGTTTATCGAAATTTAGAAATTGAAAACAAAACTATAAAAATTTTGAAACGTATTCTTCACCGTGATTTTTAAAGGCAGGATTAGAAAATAAAATATTTTGAGGCTTCCCAAGATTTTTTGAAATGTAAAAAAATATCTGAAATGTACATCTGGAAAATTTCCAAGCGGAAGTCTAGAACGAAAAAAACTTTGAAAACCTATTTCAAAAAAATAAAAATTTTGCCACGTGGCAAAATTATTTCCTAACTACAAATGCAGCAAAACATCAAGCACATTCTTTCCCACCTCAACAAATAATTTTCTCACGGTTTCAATTTTTCTGTTTTTGATTAGATCAAAGAGTCCAGTCAGTCAAGCGATGAAACCTCAACGACCAGAAAAAAGAGTGGCGCGAAAAAAAACAACACAAAAATTTGTATGAAAAATAATTTGATTAACTCATCTTTAGTAGCTTTTTCTATTTTTTCTTTAAAATTTTTCGGAGCCTCGGAAAAAAGGTCTTTGTGAATAAAACGTACACGAAAAAAGGCGAGTCAGTAAAAAAGGTGCCAAAAAACATCGAGAGGGGAAAAACGTTTCATTTTTTTTGCCGAGAGAGAAAATGGCTCCCCGGGGAACGATGAGCACCTCTTTTTTTTGTGTCTCATGAAAATGTGGCCCCAGCTTTTTTTTTTGGATAGATCCAAAACGCTCATAATTCTCTCTCTTTCTCATAGAAGTTTTTGTGGGGGGGGGAAAGTTCTTTGAGTTTGAAGATTAGGAGTGATATTTTATTGGAGAATAGAAAAAAAATGTTAAAGAAAAGAGGAAGTGGGAAATTTTGATAATAATATACTAGAAAATGTTGAGTTATGACGAGGAGAAAATGAAATCAGAAGAAGAAATTAATCTATGGAATTTTGAGATTAAGATAGAATTACTGTAGATATACTATACTGTAGTTCTGGGAAAAAAATGTGCTTACATCGAACCCTACGCGCAAAAACCTACAGTACTTCTTAGATAAGAAATTTTTCAAATGTCTAGTATTTCCTTACAAGATGAAATAAAAAAGGTCAAGAAATGAACTTTCAAAAAGTTTCCTTCAGCAAAAAATTATTCAATTAGCTCTATCTAGCTACAATGTACTTTGAATTTTTTGCGCGTTCCCAGAACTTTTTTATTCACGCATGACAAAAAAACTACAAAATGAAAAAAAAAAGTTTCTAGTTTTCTCAAGAAAAAAATCTGCAAATTTCGAAGAAAACTTACTCATTTCTCGATATTTGACACGAAAAAGAATCCTCACATTTCAAAAAAAAATTATTTTTTTCGTGTTTTTTTTTCAGAAGAGTTCAGAGATTGAAAATATGTAGCTACGTCGGGAACATTATTTGAATTTCCGTAGTTCTCGAGGAGGAAATTTGAAAAATGAAATAAATATCTATCAGGTGTCCAATTTCAGAAATGAAAATTTATTGCAAAAAAAAATTGAACCGTTTTTTCTTCCAGCAAACCAGAAAAAAAAGAAAATTTGTATGCATGAATGGATATTTGAAACATTTTTCAACTCTTTTTGGGAACTTTGCACTTTCTGTTTTGAGAAGAAAGAATTATCTTCACCTAGAGCATCAGAAATCTATGAGTTACACAGGAAAAATATGCAATTTGATATGTATTTTCTTTTTTTTTTTCTTCCTCATAGACGAAAGTTGAGAAGGTGACGGAAAGCCCATCTGGAACTTATAGCAAGTCGTTGTCTTTTGAACATTTTAGATTGTTATCATGTGTTTTACAAAGTGTCAAGTTGTGTAAACTAAGCTAAACTATGTGTCGAACAGGACATGTGAGATGAATAATAGATGTATTATAATAATAATTATGTATAATGCGTGTTTTCTCAATCGGAAATATGCGCTTAGAAATCGAAAGAACGACTAAAAATGATGAAACTTGTTCGAGAAAGTTTTTCGTGAAAAAAAAACAGAAATATTTTTTTGAAAAATTATGTTGGCGGGAAAGGTCTCGCAGCGGACTGCTGGAAATGTGTGTGCGCCTTGAGTGTGTGGTACTGTGAAAAATAATTTCATTTTTTTTTGGGAGCAATTTCCCAGGTTTTTTGGAGTTTTAAAAGGGAAATCGTGACTTTTTCAGGTTGCAAAAGATGAATTCAAACTGGAGTAATCCGAAAATCGCAAAAAAAATCGTGGTTGAAGACGATTTCATGAGCTGATGGGAGATCGTGAGTTTTTTCTCGGAAATTTTTGAAAAATGAGATTTTAAAGGCAAATAAAGAAATTTCACGTTTTGAAAAGTGAAATGAAAAACTTGAATTCAAAAATTCAGGGGCAGACGTTGAAAAATCGAATTTTCTAGTGGAAAATTCCAAAATTGAAAAAAACGGGTGGAAAAGAGTCTAAAGTTGAATGGCCTAGAAACAGAGATTATCAGCAATTTTAAAGATGTTCAGATGTTGATGTATGAAACTCAAGATACACTTACTTCACAAAAAATTTAAGTTGAACATAAATTTCAGAAAAAAAAAATGAAAAACTGAAAAAAATAAAAAACCGAACTATTTTGGTGGCCAAGAAATGTCGGGAATTCTGCCAAAGCAACACACGCTCTAATGTTGCAAAAATTCTCGTTGTTAGAGCGCGTTTGCTTTGGCCGAATTCCCGACATTTCTCGGCCACCAAAATAGTTCTTTTATTTTTTCAGATTTTCATTTTTTTCTGAAATTTGTGTTCAACTTCAATTTTTTGTGAAGTAACTGCATTTTGAGTTTTATTCATCAATATTTGAACATTTTTAAAAGTGCTCACAATATTCGAGACCAAACTTGGGAAACCTCTGAAGCTTGAAAAATCCATGAGTTCCTAAGCATCCCCAAAATCTCCCATTTCAAATCAAAAGATGACCTCATCTTCCCGCCGTCTCCCCCAGGAATTTCCAAAAGAACCTGTATTTTTCTGCCATTTATGCATCCCTCCCCTTCCCCGTTGTTGCCCTCCCTAAACATTCCATTTTCTTTCTTGCCATCATTATTATTAGGTGTATAATGTAGAGACACGTAATATCGGATTCGTTTTTGATTTGCTTGCGCACGGGCGCGCAGAAAGAAGAAACAATCCGCTTTTTTGTTGGCGCGCAGTAGCGGATAATTTCTCTGCGTCTTCCTCCGTTTTGGGCGGTCTTTGCATATACCATCAATGAAAATGAAGATGGCTAAAGAAAGCCTGCTAGCAGCTTTTCATCATCATCCTCATCATCTTAATCGCATGGCAGTTTTTGCTGTGTTTTTGTTGTTCACTTTTCACTTTGGTCAATTTTATTTTCATTCTGTTTGTTTATGATTTTAATTGATTTATTTTATTCATTGAGAAATTGTTTCCGAATTTTAGAAGTTTCAGGTTGGGACTTGAATTGAGAATAGGTCTTTTCAAGGACCAAAAGAGTTTCTAAATGATTCTAGGGAGTTTTTTTTTGGAAAAAAATCTGGAATTGTTAATTGGTAGCTCTGAAACCAGATTATTTTCTCTAAAAAGTTCTAGATAAAAAAAATTGAGCAAAACTTCAGTCTCAAAGTGAACAGTTTCTGCCCTGCACCTTTAAAAGCAAATTTTTTAACAAAATTTAGTCTTGGACCAGAAGCTTAAACTTCTTCAGAATTTTCACAAGGGAAGTGCATAGGATCAGGTGTTGAACTTATGATGAAACATATCGAAATATACCAAATCGACCATGCTGATCACGAATCCGAAGTCAAAAATTGCCACAAATTCCTGTGAGCACTTTTCTGGAGCTCCAAAGAAACTGTAATTTTTAAGAAAGTTTTTTGTGCATTTTTGAAAATTACAGTTTTCAGCTGGTTTTTCATATTTTTCGAAAAACTAAAAAGCTGATAGGTTTTCGAATGTGGTGAACAACCTTATGCAAGTTATAAAAATTGATTTTTCACCCTGGAATATGATGAAAATGGGCGAAAACCAAAACTCAATTCTAACTTTGGAGCTCCAGAAAAGTGCTCACAGGCATTTGTGGCAATTTTTGACTTCGGATTCGTGATCAGCATGGTCGATTTGGTATATTTCGAACGTTTCATCAAAAGTTCAACACCTGACCCTATGCACTTCCCTTGTCAGTTGAAAAAATATTCCTAGTTCTAATTTTAACTATAGAAATTTGTAACAAAATTAAGTCTTGGAACGAAAGTCCTCGTCTTTGAAATAAGAATGTTCAGCCAAAAAAGTTCTTAGCCCTGATTTCGACTAAAATTTAAAAAAAAAAATTCAGCAAAAAGATTCCTGGTCCAAAATTCCACTAACCTGAAATTTCACATTTATTTATTTTTTCAAAATCTCTTCTGTTTTTTTTTCTGAATTGCTTCTCATTTCTTACCACTTCCTTGCCAATTTTCACCCCCTCTCCTAAAAAATCTGCCTTATGTACATAAAATCAGTCAGGTTTTGCCATCTCTCTCCTTTTTTTCCAAGGCGCTAATGTGAAGCTATCGATCAAGCCAAAAACACAAAAAAAAAATAAAACATGTATATAGTTTTTGATAAGACACCCAGTTTCAGAGAGGAAGTCTCATAAATATCGTTTTTTTTTCTCAAAATTTTCGCGCTTTTGTTCCAGATTTCGGATGAAGTCGCCGGGACATGTGATATCATTGAAAATTCGCGATTTTTTTCGTCAAACCGGCGTCCTTGTATACAGGTCAGTCACATTTCATGAATACCTAATTTTTTTTCGGAGGGGCGACGTTGTCCTCCAAGTGCAATGGAATGTGTGATGAAAAGAGTGAAAGGGGAAAATTTTGGAGATTTGGGGAGGGGTTTTGAAATTTTTCTTGGTGGGAAATGCCGGGAATTTTGGCTGAAAAGTATCTGAAAATTATATTTTTGAATCGAAATTCCGGGATTTCAAGCTGAAAACCACCTGATAATCTCAGTTTTTCTAATTTAAATTTATTTCGGAGCAAATAATTTTTTTCTAAATAAATTGTAACATAAAAATTATTTTTTTCTATTCAATGAAACGTCGAAAGAACAAAAAATAGAGAAAATAATTTTGATTAGAGACAACGTGAATTTGAGCGGGTCTAGGCAGAAAACAATTATTTTGTCTAGGTCCTCTCAAATTCACGTTGTCTTTAACCAAAAGAAAAATATTGATTTTTTTAACATTTTATTTTTTAAAAAACGTGACCTCATTTCCAATTTCCCATTTCCTCGAAAATTATTTTATTTCTCCTAAATTTTTATTCCGAAATGTTAGTGGGTTTTACCGCAAAAATTAAATATAGTATTAAATGTTTTTTTTTCCAGACACCCCGCTCCATTTTTTCTGGATCCCTGTCTGCCTAACAATCTTCTCGATTTTGGGATTGCTCAGGTTTCACGAGGAGAATCGAATCTGGTATTTGTATAGTCCAGCGCAAGCTCAATCACACTATGAACATGCGGTCGCCAATGAGTTTTTCAATGATCGAGGTGGAAAATTCTGGCTGGAGGTTGGTTCACAGTTTTTTTCAACAAAAAAAATTCCGTTCATCAATAAGCAAGCAAGCAATTTCAAAGAATAAATCAATCACTACGCTTTTCAACACTAAACCAAAAAAAACAATTTCGCGGATGACCAAACGTATCTTCTTCTTCTTCTCTTTTTTTTGCCTCGCGCGATTACATAAAAATACCTGATGCCCCGGGTGAAAAAACGTGTTTTTTGTCATTTTTCTGCTGCGCAACATGTATATGCGTAATACCCTCGTTTTTTATTTGATAACATGAAAAATGGAAGGCTTTTTTTTCGCCGGTTTCACTTTCGGTTTTTTTGGTTGGGCCTGGGCTTTTGGAAAGGATTAGGGAAGAAAAACATTTGATAAAAAGTACGTGTGAAAAAAAAGTTTATCTAATAAAAATAGACTACAGTGGAGTAGTAAAGGGAAGAAACTTGTCAGAAAATAACTGGTTTTTTAAACGAGACTTTGGATTTGGAACGGGAAGTTTCAAAAGTTTTCATTTTTCATAGTAAATTTGTGAATAAATGTTCTTGGCTCCTGTACCTTTAAAACCAGCTGTGGAATTTTAAAAATTTACAATTTAAAAGCTTGAAATACATAACATTTAATTTTTTTTTTCAACAAAATTGAATCCAGGGGTCAAAAAAAATGCTTTCTACATTAATTTCTCAAAGTTCCTTCAAAGTCATTTTTATTTTCTCAAAAATCCTATAATCCAATAATCCTCAAGGTTATTACTATTTCACACCACAAAAACACCATAAAAATCATATTTTATTTTTTACAACTTCAAAATCCTATAATTTGCCACTGATCTTTTGTCGTTTGAAATCCAAACATCATTTCTTCTCATTTCATTTCATTTGATATCATTTCCTTCGAAACCTGCCGAGAAATGTAAGAAGCTAGACGAACCGCGAAAAAAAACTGGATAAATTCCCGATTTTTGGCTTTGCACTTGCGCAATCTGCCGTGTATTTTGAATTAGAGGAAGAAGACAGGGAGAAAATCGGATGATTTCGATTTTTTATAGGGCAATTAGGAAATTGAGAGGGATATATAAATAAAGTAAATATGCGAATTTCACTTTAGCGGTTGAAATTGGCAGGAGAAAATAGAGGGAAAGTCAAGTAAGATTTTTGGCAGGAAATAGGAACACAAGGGTAAAAAGAGTACGCGTTTTCCTACCGGCAACAGCTTGTAGATCAAAAAATGTTGCGTGTTTAGAAATCACAACTTTTCAGAAATATTCTAAAATGGTGTCTGAAACTCAAAAATTTTGATTTTATAGTAACTTGATAACAACAAAATGATTTTTGAAAACCAAATTTGTATGGAAATCTCGAAATTTTTTAACTTTTTGTGAGTTTCAGACTTACAATATTTTTTGATCTACTCATAAAAAGCGTGCGGAATCTTGCCATTTAGGCCCAACCCTCCAGCTTTGAGCGAGGGTTGAATTTTTTCTGCAGCAGCGGTTTTTCATTGGAAAAGGTTCTCTTTTTACCCTTGTGAGGGATTTTCAGCTTTGAATTGGAAATATACATTTTAGGCTGAAAATTGGAAGAATCTTGGACAAAAGTTTTCAATTTTGTGTATCTAAAACTAGGAATCAAAAAATTAGCTTTACAAAATGCGATACACTTTGACCCGAGGAAAATAGGTTTCAAAAAATGGATAACAAAATTTAAAAAAATTTGAAAATTTTGATCCTTTTTTGCTGATTCTAAGCATTTTTCCGAAAATTTCAGCTTTTTCATAAATCTGAAAATTATTTTCAGAAACTTCACAAGCCGGGCGAAATTTAAGGTCTTACAACTAATTTTGAATGGCCTGTATTTTGAGCTGAAAATGCTGAAATTAAAAGCGTGGAAAATTTAAAATTTGATTAAAATTTGAATTGGGCTCAAAACTCTGAAAATAAGGGCTTAGGCTCATGAGGCCTGAAATTTAAGGGTCAAAATTTTCCACATATAAAATTAACCCATTTTTTTGCAGGTAACAATAACCGCTCAAGACATGGACAATCTTCTCCGGCGAGATTATTTAGACGGCGTCGACTCGCTCTCCGAATATCTCCAATACAACTTCACAGTTCCATGTGACGGCTATTTGGGTAAAGAGGAATGCTCGTTCTCCGATTTATGCAGTGGACAATGTAACGATAATCAAGTCATCCCGCTGTTCAATTTGATCTACCGAAATGCCTCGTCAAGACTTCACCCAAATTTCCGACTCACTTATCCAACAATGCATTTGTATAATGACGAATATTATGTTGGAGAGCATTTTGCGGGTGTTAAAATCGATCCGAAGACAAATGTGATTTCTCGAGTCAAAGTTGTTGTGCTCTACTTCAGAACGGATCGTCAGAATCCCCAAGTGTCAGGACTCATTGATCGATGGGAGCAAAATCTGTTCGATTACGCAGAGCATTTCGATCATCCCACTTTGAATATGACAATCAATTCGGATGCGATGATTGCGCGAGAGGTTCGAATCAATGGATTCTCGTGTATCCCGTTTTTCGGATTCTCGGTGATTGCGGTGGTGTTGTTCATTTTTGTGACGAATAAACGAGAGCATTTTGTGATGTCGCATTCGATAGTTATGTCGATTTTGGGAATTGCTGGACCGCTTATGGCTATTGGAACTACGTGAGTTTTATTTTTTTTTGAAAAAATTCCACGCGGCAACATTTCTTGAAATTCATCAAAAAAAAATACTGTTGAAAATTCCACGCAGCAAACATTTTCCAATTTTCAATTTTCTGAAAAACCAGTAAAAAAGTCTGAAAATTTGCCACGTTCAAAATTTCATGAAAACTTTGAAATCTTGTAAAATCCACCGGCTAGAATCTAGTTCTTAAAAAAATCTGAAAATTTCGCGAATTAAAAAAATTGCCACGTCAGTTTTAATTCCACGTGGCAATGAAAAATCTGCCTCGAAGAAAATCAGGTTTTTTTTCCGAATTCAAAAAATTGCCACGTCAGTTTCAATTCCACGTGGCAACGAAAAATCTGTTTTGAAGAAAATCGGATTTTTTTCCGAATTCAAAAAAGTTCTAAATAACAAGTTCCTAGTTCCACGTGGCTAATAAAAAAAAACCGAAAACCAAAAATCTGATATTCTCAAAGTTCACCAAAATTTTTTTAAACATCGGAAAAATTCAAAACAAGCTTCTAAATTCGGAAAATTTTTGAAAATTTATGCCACGTCACCAATTTAGCTTAAAACTCCAATTTCTAACCAAAACCTTCCGATTTTCCAGCTGTGGTTTCCTGCTTCTCTTCGGTCTTCCATTCAACTCAATCGTTCTCGTCATGCCTTTCCTAATCATTGGAGTTGGTTGTGATGATGTGTTCATAATAATCCACGCCATGCGTAAAACTGACAAATCACAAAGTCTCGAACATCAAATCGCTGAAACAATGGAAGAAGCGGGACCATCAATCACCGTCACATCGGCCACCAATATTCTCAGTTTTGGAATTGGCATTTTGACCCCAACCCCCGCAATCGCTCTTTTCTGCCTCTACACTTGCATAGCTGTCGCTGTCGATTTCATCTATCAATTGACATTTTTTGTTGCGGTCCTGGTTTATGAGGAAAAACGTTTGGAAGCGATGCGAGAGAAGAAACCACTTGAACCCGCTGAAAATACAACGAAACAAGTGGTGCGTTTTTTTATTTTTTGTGGGGAGGAGGAGGATTTCCGGGCAAAATGTTTTTGGTTTGAAAAAAATTTGGGAGTTAGAGTTTTGTGGTGCAAAATTTGAATTTGGTTTGGAAAAATTCAAAAATCCACGTGGAATTTGAGATAAATATAAGAAAAAAAACAGCAAAAATTTAAAATAAATTCAGTTCTGGTGTCAAATTTTCACGTGTCTTTTGAACTCGAATTGGCACACAATTTCCGGTTTTTTAGGCTGAAAATTTCAGATGAATTTTGCAAAACATATTTTTCTAAAAATAGTGTTCCTAAATTTTGACCTAAAATTCCTAGAGATTTTTTAAATTTAATTTTGACGCTAAAAATCTACTTTGATTTAAAACGATGATTTTAAAGAAATCGATAAGTTCTAAAAAAAATGACCTCAAATTCCTAAGGCTTTTTAACTTCAATTTTGGCGTCTCAAAATCCAAGTGGAATTTCAAATAATTTTTGAAAATCTCTTAATTTTAAAATGTTTGCTGATAGTTTCAATATTTCCTTCACATTAAACTTTGGGGCAAAATTCACGTGAATTCTTTAATGTTGAAAAATTGGACTTTGAAAGTTTGACCTAAAAATTCAAGATTTTTTGAAATTCAATTTTGACGCCAGCAGCAATCCACATCAAAATCTTTCCCCAATTTTTCAACGCCCAATTTTCCAGCTCTCAATCCAACAATCAATCCGTTCCACCGGCGTCCATCCACCTCCAGCCAATCCCAATGGAATCGTCGCCAAATATTGCCGATTTTTGAAAGATTGGCGAACTCGAGTCGTTCTCCTCTTCATTCTCACATTATATTGGTCAGCCTCAATTTGGGGATGTCAAAAAATGCAAATCAAAATGGACACAACCAATTTGATCATGAAGGATTCACCATTGAATGATGTGGCTTATATTTATGAGACTTATTTATGGAGTGAGGGACAATTGGTATTGGTTTTTGTGAATAATCCGCCAGATTTGAGTGAGGAACGAAATCAACATGAAATGTTGGAACTTGTGAATCGATTCGAGAATTTGCCATATTCAATGGGCAAAAATTCGACATCAATTTGGCTACGCTCATTTTTATACCAGAGTTCACTTTATCACGAGACTAGGGGATTCTATAAATTGCTTGACGAATGGCTTCAAGATTCGGAAAATGGTGGAGCAAGATGGAATGATATGTTGAGATTAGAGAAGAGTTCGAATGGCACAACTTTGGGAATTGATAAATTCATGTTTGCGACTGCTTGTGCTATGGGAGAAGATGCGAATTGGTCGACGCGGGAGAAATTGCAAAAACAGTGGAGAGCGGTGGCTAATGAATATTCGCATTTTAATGTTTCGGTTTTCCAGGTGGGTTTTGGGAAGATATTTGAAGAGTGGATTTTTTGTGGGAAAAAATCTCTATCAATAACAAATGTCCTGACTGAATCCTATTTTCATATATAAAATTTTTTAAACCTAATTTTTGAAACGTAAGAATTTATGGTTTTTCAGAGCTACTCTTTCTATGTCGATCAACTTGATTCAATTGGCTCAACAACAATGTCAACAGTCGTAGTTGCTGCAATCACGATGGACCTCGCGTGCCTTTTCATGATCCCAGGTCTCGCCTCAATTCTATCCAGCTCAATTGCAATGTTTTCGATTAATCTTGGAGTGTTCGGGCTTTTGTCAGTTTGGGATGTGAATTTGGATCCGATCACAATGTGCACAACACTGATGAGTATTGGATTTTCGGTTGATTTCACCGCGCATATCAGTTATCATTATTATCGAAATCCGAGAAGTTGGACGACTGATGAGAGATTGGCGGATGCGTTGAAGTGGGTTTTTAAAATCAACATTTTATTTTGAAAATATGTAGAAAAAGTCCAGAAAAATTCACATTGCTCATTTTTATCTCAAAAATTTACAAAAAAATCAATCACGATTTGAAGCTGAGAAATCAAAAGTTAGAAAAATCATAGCGTTGCTCATATCAGAGATTTTTCAAATTTCGAAAAAAAGCTCTAATATGAGGAATGTTTTTATCTCAAAATTTTCTTGCAAAAACATTTTTCCTTAATTTCAGGTTGAATCTAGGACTCTGAAAATCTATCAGAAAAAGTTTTCCGAAAAAAAAATTAAAAGTTTGAGTTTGCGTATCAGCTTCTTGATTTCATATTCAGAATTTCCACTAAAAGTTCCAAATTTCGCCTAACTCCAACTCAAATTTTTCCAGAGGAATTGGTTGGCCAATGATCCAAGCTGCCTCCTCAACTCTTCTTTGCATTGCCCCGCTTCTCCTCAATGACAGTTATATGGTCAGCGTTTTCGTCAAAACAATCTTCCTCGTCACAATTCTCGGAATTCTTCATGGCATCATTTTCCTGCCCGCTTTACTCCTAACCGTCGGAAATTCTGAGGAAATCGAGGAGAAACCGAAATCCGTGGAGCAGGGAAGCTTTTCCAGCGCTAAACAATTGGTGACTGAACCGAATTCTGAAACCGAACTGAGAGCCATCACTGAAATTCAAATTCAAGTCAAAGATCGGAAAAGCGGATAATTTTTGAAGTTTTTTTCTGTAATTAAAGAGATAGTTGTATATTTTGCCTCCCTTTTCTCATGGTGCTCTTTTTGATGTTTTTTTTGCTGTACTTCTTTGAATAGTCGTTTTTCTTATGTTTGCATCCAGTTTTTACGGGTTTTGTTATTTATTTTTATTTTTTTTTGTGAAAAAAATGATTTTAAGAATTTTACATGTGAATTGAAAATGTGTAAACCACTGCACTTTTTTCTTATGTTGTTTACGAAAACATTTTTCGTACTCTTCTGATTGTGAGATAGAAAAAATCAGGTGGTTCGTAAGGTCAGAATTTTTGGCGGGAGAAAATACGTTTCAAAAAATTTATGTTAAGAGATTTTGACTTTGGAACATTGCTATGGGCTACTGTCTGAAGAAAAACCAAATTAAAAATTAAAATTTTTTGAATTTTTCGGTTTGAAATCTTGTAGATCAAAGAAAATCAAGCCTTTTTATCGTAAATTTCATTTTTCCAGAAATGATTGAAACTTCGAAAAAATTCAGAGGATTTCCAGGTTTCGAAAAATTCCAACTGGAAATTTCAGCTTTTCCCAATTCAAAAAACCCAGCTCTTCTTCAAAATTTCAGCCAACTCATCCCACATAAATCACCTTCCAATCAAATTAGTTCCAGTTACCCCTCATCATTTTTTCTAGTTTCTGCTGATTTGATTTTCGCTGATCAAAAACTCTCGACCACATGTGCACTTTCTTTCTGTGTGCTGCTCCAAAATATCCAATAAATATTTTATTTTATTTTTTCGCTCAGCTCACGTTGTAAGAGGTGGGAGAAGATGAAGAAGAAGATGCAACGGGAATAGAATCAGCCGAAGAAAAATAAAGGGGGTGGAGATTATTGTTGGAGCTGAGAGGAGCCACGAGAAAAAGAAGAAGAAGAAACAACAAAATTGCACTGACTTCTATTATTATTTTTTCGCCAGATCACAACACATTTTTGATTTTCTTGGGGGTTTGGGATTTTTTTTAGAAAGCCTCTAGAATTTTTTTGCTCTTGGAATTTAATTTTCTAGAATGTTCTGCAGAATTTCGACTTTTTGTTCTATTATTTTCAGATTTTCTGAAAAAAAGGGATTTTTCATTGAGAATTTTTTTTACAAAAGTTTTAAAAAGCTCTGGAAGTTTTGAATTCAGATTCTAGGATGAACTGGATTTTTCTGAAGGATCTGAAACGTATTCAAATTTTTTTTGAAGAAGTATAAAATTCAGTTTTCCCAAAATTTTTTCAAATGTTTTGTGTTAAATTTTTTTGAAACTCTAAAAATCCATGTGGCTTTTATAAATCTTCGGATCTGAAAATACGCTTTGAACTTTTGTCCAAAGATTTTTGTGAAATAAAATTTCGGATAGCTGAAAATTCACGATAACTTCGAAATCCACGTATCAAAAAATTTTTGAAGTAAAAACATCCACGTGGAATTTCAGTCCAATTTTTTTGGAGTTTTCTAGAAAAATTTTCAAAGGCTCACAAATTCTCGTGAAAAAAATATTCCAAAACTTTGCGGCCCAAAAAACCAGATACTCTAAATTTATTTTTAAAATTCCTAGTGCAACCCCATTTACTCGCTTCCCTCACCCAAAACATTTCCACACATTACACACCAAAAAATACACTCCCGTTCGCTTTTTTCTCGTTTCGTCGTCCAGAAACACAACAGTTGTCACCTGCTGATTTGCGCTTATTTATCATATATTTTTCTCGTTCGCCTTTGCAATCCCCGATCACTTTTTATAATATTTTTATCGATTTTTCAGATCCACTAAACCACTAGACCAAAAATAGATCAGAAAAATGTCGGGATCTGATAGTTTCGAAAATGATCCAGGATTCCCATATTTGGGAATCAGTAGAGAACAAAGATCGGCGAATGCTGCACGAGCTTTTGATTCCAAGAAGAATTGCTGGATTCCGGATCCAGAAGATGGTGAGTTGAAGGGAGAAGAGGGATTTAGTGTGAGAATTTTACTAAAATATTTTGGAAATTTTATGATTTGGTCTTGAGGTTGAAAAATTTCAAGACTAATTTTCTTTTGAAATGTTTTCTAGAAATTTCAAAATTCCACGTGGCATTTTTTGCTTAAAATTTAAGAAAGAATACTCCACGTGACATTTTCATGTGGATTTTTTGTTGTGCTGACATTCAAGATTTCGAATTTTTTTTCTCATTACTCCAAATTAAAATTCAGAATTTTTTCCCTGAACTTTTACCAAACTTTAATCTTCTTCCAATTGAACCCGATTCCAATTCCAATCAAATTTCAAAAATGTATGTGTGTGCCCCACTAGTTTTTAAAACATTACACATCAAAAAAATCATCATCATCATAGTAGTAGCCAGAGCTCATCTCATTCTTCACCTACGCAAAATATCTCTGGTGGGAGGAGGAAAAATAGAGGCAAAGGAGAGAGAGAGCAATTGTCCTTGTGTTGGAGATTTTTTAGAAGAATCAAAAATAATATGAATGTGTGAGAAGAAGAATAAGAAAAAAGATATGAAATAAAAGAAAACAACAAAAACAGATTGATGACAGATGTTTGGTGTTTCGAAGTTTCGAATTTTGAACTAGAGAAATTTGATATCATGAAAAGATAGACTTTGGATCAAAAACTGGAGAAGGGGTCTGAGATTTGAAAAATCTAAAAACAAACTTCTGAGGTCCAATCAATAAAAGCTGATTTGGATTATTAAAAAAATTGATTTAAAAAATTAACCTTCAAGAAGTACGTTTCAAAAATCTAGCAATTATGGAAATAAAAATGCATTTTGATGAATTAGTGGTACGACACAAGAAAAAAAATGTTGCAGGATTCGTCGCCGCCGAAATCCAATCAACAACCGGTGATCAAGTGACCGTAGTTACCTCAAAAGGTAACCAAATCACTGTGAAAAAAGACGAGTGTCAAGAGATGAATCCTCCAAAATTCGACAAAACAGAGGACATGGCCAATTTGACGTTTTTGAATGAAGCTTCAGTTTTGGCCAATCTCAAGGATCGTTACAAGGATTTGATGATCTATGTGAGATTGATTAGAATTAGATAACCAACCCAAATATTTTTGATTTCAGACTTATTCCGGACTTTTCTGCGTCGTCATCAATCCCTACAAACGTCTCCCAATTTATTCGGAATCAGTTATCAAACATTACATGGGCAAACGACGCAACGAAATGCCGCCACATCTTTTCGCCACATCCGACGAGGCCTATAGAAATATGGTGCAAGACAAGGAGAATCAATCGATGTTGATTACTGGAGAATCGGGTGCCGGAAAGACTGAGAATACCAAGAAGGTTATCTCGTATTTTGCGATTGTTGGTGCAACTCAATCGAGTGCCAAAGATGGCGGAAAGAAGGGTGGAACTCTTGAAGAGCAAATTGTGCAGACAAATCCGGTTTTGGAGGCTTTCGGTAATGCAAAGACTGTCAGAAACAACAATTCATCGCGTTTCGGAAAGTTCATTAGAACTCATTTTTCGGGAACCGGAAAATTGGCTGGAGGAGATATTGAACATTGTGAGTGAGAAATTTTAATTGGGACCTATGACGTGGCAAATTTTTTTTTTAAATTTTATTCAGTTACTTGAAAATGTATTCCAATTTGCCACGTCATAAAGGATTAAGTGGGAGACGTGAAATTTCGTTTTAAAATTACCGAGTAAATTGCCACGTTTTTTTAATAGTTCAGAATTTATGACGTGGTAGTTTAGAAATTTCATTTGAGCTTGAAAAAAATGCCACGTCATCAGGTAACGTGGTTATTTAAATTATTCCAGAGCTATTTTTAATTGATCTAGAATTCTATGACGTGGCACTTTCTGGACTCTCAAAATTCCGATTCTAAACTGCCACGTCACCCCGACTCGATCCCCCAACAATCCCAAAAAATTCCAGACCTTCTCGAAAAATCGCGTGTCGTCCGTCAAGCGACCGGAGAACGTGCCTACCACATCTTCTACCAAATCATGTCCGGTTTCGACCCGTCGCTTCGCAGCAAACTCAAACTCGACAAAGACATCACCTATTATCATTTCTGCTCACAAGCCGAGCTCACCATTGAAGGAATGGACGATAAAGAGGAGATGAAAGCGACGCAAGAGGCGTTCGATATCATGGGCTTTGAAGAATCCGAAGTGTCGGATTTATATCGTGCTGTCGCTGGTATCATGCACATGGGAGAGATGAAATTCAAACAACGTCCAAGAGAAGAGCAAGCTGAAGCTGATGGTGAAGAAGACGCGACAAATGCTGCCGCCATGTTCGGAATCAACCACGAACAATTCTTGAAGGCGTTGACAACCCCAAGAGTTCGCGTTGGAACTGAATGGGTTAACAAGGGACAAAATTTGGAGCAAGTCAATTGGGCTGTCTCCGGTTTGGCTAAGGGTATCTATGCTCGTATGTTCAAATGGATTATCGCCAGATGTAACAAGACTCTTGATGCTAAAGAGATCGAGAGAAAACATTTTATCGGTGTGTTGGATATTGCTGGTTTCGAAATCTTTGACTTCAACTCATTTGAACAATTGTGGATCAACTTTGTCAATGAGAGACTTCAACAATTCTTCAATCATCACATGTTTGTTTTGGAGCAAGAAGAATACAAGAGAGAAGGAATTGCGTGGACATTCATTGATTTCGGTTTGGATCTTCAAGCCTGTATCGAACTCATCGAGAAACCTCTTGGTATCATCTCAATGCTCGATGAAGAATGTATTGTTCCAAAGGCAACTGATATGACCTACGCTCAAAAACTTTTGGATCAACATCTTGGAAAACATCCAAACTTCCAAAAACCAAAACCACCAAAGGGAAAACAAGCCGAGGCTCATTTCGCCATTGTTCACTACGCTGGAACTGTCAGATATAATGCGACCAACTTCTTGGAAAAGAACAAGGATCCACTTAATGACACAGCTGTCGCTCTTTTGAAACATGCTGAAGGCATGAACTTGATGTTGGATATCTGGAGCGATTATCAAACTCAAGAAGAGGCTGCCGAGGCTGCTAAAGCTGGAACTGGTGGTGGTGGAAAGCGTGGAAAATCATCGTCATTCATGACTGTTTCAATGATCTATCGTGAATCGTTGAATAATTTGATGAGCATGTTGTACCAAACACATCCACATTTCATTCGTTGTATCATTCCAAATGAGAAGAAGGCTTCAGGAGTCATTGATTCCGCTTTGGTTCTCAATCAATTGACATGTAATGGTGTGTTGGAAGGTATTCGTATTTGCCGTAAAGGTTTCCCCAACAGAATGTTGTATGATGATTTCAAACATCGTTATGCGATCTTGGCTGCTGAAGCTGCTAAAGATTCCGATATCAAGAAAGCATCGGTTGGAATCACCAACAAACTTGTTAATGATGGTTCCTTGACTGATGAAGAATTCAAGATCGGAAACACCAAGATCTTCTTCAAAGCTGGAATTCTTGCCAGACTTGAAGATTTGAGAGATGAGATTTTGTCGAAGATTGTTACCACTTTCCAATCAAGAATTAGATCTTACTTGGCCAAGGCTGAATATCGTCGAAGACTTCAACAACAAACTGGACTTCTTATTGTTCAAAGAAATGTGAGATCTTGGTGCTCATTGAGAACCTGGGATTGGTTCAAACTTTACGGAAAAGTCAAGCCACTTATCAATGCTGGACAACAACAAGAAGCTATGGGAGAACTTGCTGAAAAGATTCAAGCTTTGGAAGATGCTGTGCAACGTGGAGAAATTGCGCGTGCTCAACTCGAGACTCAAGTTGCTGATTTGATTGAGCAGAAAAATGAGCTTTTCTTGAACTTGGAAAAGGAGAAATCGAATTTGGCTGAGGCGCAAGAACAAAATGATCGCTTGAATCAATTGAAGGCAACACTTGAATCGAAACTGACTGATATTGAGGGAAAATTGGAAGATATGCAAGAGAGACATGATGATTTGGCTCGTCAAAAGAAAAAGACTGAAGGAGAGTTGTCTGAATCAAAAAAACAAGTTCAAGATCTTGAATTGTCTTTGAGAAAGGCTGAGCAAGAAAAACAATCTCGCGATCATAACATCAGATCTCTTCAAGACGAGATGGCTAATCAAGATGAATCAGTAGCCAGATTGAACAAAGAGAAGAAGCATCAAGAAGAAGTCAATCGTAAATTGAACGAAGATCTTCAACAAGAAGAGGACAAGGTCAATCATTTGGAGAAAGTTCGAGGAAAACTCGAACAACAAATGGATGATTTGGAAGAGACAATTGATCGGGAGAAGAGATCGAGACAAGATGTTGAGAAGAATAAGAGAAAATTGGAGGGAGAATTGAAAGTTGCGCAAGAGAATATTGATGAGATTTTGAAGCAAAAACAAGATGTTGAGAATACTTTGAAGAAGAAGGAAGATGATTTGCACGCTGTTTCATCGAAATTGGCTGATGAGCAATCAATCATTGCCAAGCTTCAAAGACAAATCAAAGAGCTTCAAGGAAGAATTGCTGAACTTCAAGAGGAACTTGAAAATGAGCGTAATTCTAGACAAAAAGCTGATAGAAATCGATCAGAACTCCAGAGGGAGTTGGAAGATATTAGCGAGAAATTGGAGCAACAAGGTGGATATACTGTTGCGCAACAAGAGGCTAATAAGAAGAGAGAAGCTGAGATTGCCAAGCTCCGCAGAGATGTTGAAGAGAACTCGTTGAATCATGAAACTGCCATGGCTGCTTTGAGAAAACGAAATGGTGATGCGGTTGCTGAGTTGACTGATCAACTTGAGACTTTGCAAAAATTGAAGGCTAAGGGAGATGCTGAACGCGCTAAATTGCAAAGAGATTTGGAAGAATCACAATCTGGAATTGATTCGGAAGTTAGATCGAGACAAGATTTGGAGAAGGCTTTGAAAACCTTGGAAGTTCAATATTCTGAACTTCAAGGAAAAGCTGACGAGCAATCGAGACAATTGCAAGACTTCGCATCACTCAAAAACCGTTTGAACAATGAAAATGGTGATTTGGGAAGACAATTAGAAGACTTGGAAAATCAACTAAACTCACTTCATAGACTCAAATCAACTCTTGTTAGTCAATTGGAAGAGACTAAGAGAGGATTGGATGAGGAAAGTAGAGAGAGACAAGCATTGGCTGCTCAAGCAAAGAATTTGGAACATGAGAATGATATTCTTCGTGAACATCTTGATGAGGAAGGTGAGGCTAAAGCTGAACTTGTTCGTCAAATCAGCAAGCTTAACGCTGAAATTCAACAATGGAAAGCCAAGTTTGATTCGGAGGGATTGAGCAAACTCGAGGAGATCGAAGAGGCCAAGTGAGTTTTTGGGGAAGGGATTGGGAATGATTTTTGTACTTCCGAATATTTTTTTAAAAAATAAATGTAACCCTAGCTTGGGAAGTTCTAGAATTCTCCCTCTAGATCCTCAAAACCCCTCTACAATTTTTCTTTCAGGAAGAAACTTCAAGCCAAGGTTCAAGAATTGTCTGATGCCAACGAGGCAGCTTTCGGAAAGATCGCATCGCTTGAAAAGACACGTCATAAGTTGATGCAAGATTTGGATGATGCCCAAGTGAGTTCATCATCTTGAATTCGGATGTTAAAAATCAATATTTTCAGATCGATGTTGAGAAGGCTTCTGCCTATGCTAGCGCTTTGGAAAAGAAACAACGTGCCTTCGACAAAATTGTCGATGAATGGAAGAAGAAATCGGATGATTTGGCTGCTGAACTTGACGCTGCTCAACGAGACAACAGACAATTGTCGACTGATTTGTTCAAGGCCAAGACTGCTCAAGACGAATTGGTTGAATATTTGGAATCAACCAGAAGAGAGAATCATCAATTGTCTCAAGAAGTTCGCGATTTGACAGATCAACTTGGCGAGGGTGGAAGATCAGTCGCCGAATTGCAAAAGATCGTAAGACGTTTGGAAGTGGAGAAGGAGGAACTTCAAAAGGGACTCGATGAGGCTGAAGCAGCACTTGAAGCTGAAGAAGCCAAAGTTCTTCGCGCACAAATTGAAGTCTCACAAATCCGCTCAGAGATTGAGAAGAGAATTCAAGAAAAAGAAGAGGAATTCGAGAACACTAGAAAGAATCATCAAAGAGCGTTGGAAAGTATGCAAGCAACTTTGGAAGCTGAAACTAAACACAAGGAGGAGGCTTTGAGAATCAAGAAGAAGTTGGAATCTGATATTAATGATTTGGAAATTGCTTTGGATCATGCTAACAGAGCTAATGCTGATGCTCAAAGAACAATTAAGAAATACATGGATACTGTTAGAGAATTGCAATCACAAATTGAAGAGGAGCAACGGCAAAAGGATGAGATTAGAGAACAATTCTTGAATTCTGAAAAACGAAATGCTATTCTTCAAAGCGAGAAAGATGAACTTGTTCAACAAGCTGAAGCTGCTGAAAGAGCCCGAAGAAACGCTGAAGCTGATTGCATTGAGCTCCGCGAGCAAAACAACGATCTCACCAATCATTTGTCGACTGTTACTGGAATCAAGAGAAAACTCGAGGGTGAATTGCAAGCAATGCACGCTGATTTGGACGAAGCTTTGACTGAATTGAAGGTTGCTGATGAGAACGGTAAAAAGGCTGCTGCAGATGCTGCGAGACTTGCTGAAGAATTACGACAAGAGCAAGAGCACTCGATGCATGTTGAGAGAATTAGAAAGGGATTGGAGATTCAAATCAAGGAGATGCAGATTCGATTGGATGAAGCTGAAGCGGCTGCGTTGAAGGGAGGAAAGAAGATTATTGCACAATTGGAGAGTCGAATTCGAGCGATTGAAGGAGAATTGGAGGGAGAGCAACGACGTCATCAAGACACTGAGAAGAATTGGAGAAAAGCTGAACGACGAGTTAAAGAAGTTGAATTCCAATTGGAGGAGGATAAGAAGAATCAAGAGAGATTGACTGAATTGATTGATAAACTTCAGACGAAATTGAAGACTTTCAAGAGACAAGTTGAAGAAGCTGTGAGTTTGGATGGGGGGAACCCGGGTAAAAAACTGACCTGGAAGCATTTTGAGGATTGGGTAGAAGCTTGGAGGGTTGACGTTCCGACGGTTTCGGGAAAAAGGTCGCAAGTGAATTCCTGAAAAATTTCGAAATCAAGAGAAATAGTGAAACCACGAGTAGAGTAGATGAGAGAGTGTGGAAAATGTGGAGAGAGTTAGTGAGAGAAAGGAGACGTATATTCAAACTAATATATTTTGTGAAAACGGAATGAATCTCTCAACTAGAAAATATTTTTGAACGACAGAAAAAATAAAAGATGGAGCGAAAAGGTAGATCAAAAAGGCAAAAAATCAATTTTCTTTCCATCATTTATTTTTTTCTGTCGTTCAAAAATATTTTCTAGTTTGAAGTCATTTTCCCAAATTCCTTTAGTCTAACCCTTCCTGAAAACTTGAAGGCTTGAAAAATTTAAAAATTTAAAAATTTAAAAATGAAATTTATTCCACGCAAGAATTTTTGAAAAAAAAATTCACGTGACCATTTTTTTTTCATTTTTCATTTTTTTTGAATTTTCAAAAATCCCTCAAAAAATCGTCATTTCAACAAACATCAAAATAAATAGAAATTGATCCGAAATATAGGTAAACAAACAAAGTTCAGACTAGAAACAGCACCCGATTTTTGATCAGATGGAAGCTTAGTGTGCAAATAAAATCCGTACGAGGTGTCAAAACACGAAAAATAAAATTAGTTCATCCAAGAAACCCCTTTAAAAATCTTTCAGGAAGAAGTAGCGGCCACAAATCTCGGAAAATACAAGCAACTCCAAGCCGCCTACGACGACGCAGAAGAACGTGCAGATATTGCAGAAAACGCATTGTCGAAAATGCGCAACAAGATCCGCGCGTCAGCCTCAATTGTGCCGCTCGACGGACTTCCACTCGCTCAATCTCAATCTTCCGCCATCATTCGAAGCGCATCAAATGCCCGATTCCTTCAATAATTCTCTTGTGAGAAGTTTTTTTTTGAAAAATTTGTGTGTACAAAAAATATATCCCAAAATCAAAATGCCTATTATTCCATTGTTATTTTATATTTTATATTTTACTGATTTACTTATCAATGAAGATTTCCTGCCTTAAAATGAAATTTTTATTTATACATACACAGAAATTTGTTTAGCAAGGTGATCCGAAAGACGAGGAAGTTGAAACCATAATTTTTTGCTGGGGCGGTCGATAAGCGTGATAAACAAAATCGGGTTCATCATCTTTCCGCCGGATTTTCTGAATTTTCCGAAAGATAAAGAAAATCGACGCGCAGCCAAAGCAGAAAATCAAAAAAGTTAGAAAAATTAGCAGAATTGTCTCGTTGAATTTGCTCGAGGAGTTTGCGATTAAAGGATCATCGATGGTTGAATTTTTGATAAATGATGCTGGAAGTTTGCAGCAACCTTTGTCGCAACATCCAGCTGCTACAGGGCACGAGATTGTGACTGTGAATTCGTTGCCATTGTGATTGGCGTCGTAGACGCAGAGATGTGCGAGGCCTGGAAATTTTGGGAATATTTTCAGTCTTAAATTTTTTTATGGTAATTTAACTATCTAGATCTTGAAGGCTATGAAAATCTTGAAAAATCGCAAAAGCTACTCTTTGATTATTCTCGAACTCATGTGATGTCATCTCGATAAAATAAATATAGTTCAGTTTTTTGACAAAAATTTTCTAGTTTGCTATTTTTGTAGTTTTGTAGTTTTTTGTACTTTTTATAGTTATTTTTAACATTTTCCGAATTTGAACCTTCAGTTTCTGAATCAAATTTTGGTTCATTTTTTCAGAAAATCAAATTTCCAAAACTATGAAATCCCTTTTCCTCTTCAAAAAATAAATTTTGAACTTTCAATTTTTTGTTAAATTGCTCTGATTACAAACTTTCAAAGCGTAAACATTCTAATTATTTTAATTGTTTTTGAACTTTGAAACATATGAATATTAAAAGCTCAAAAAACGCTTCAGAAAAATTTCCCAAGCTCCCCCCAAAAAACTAACCATCTAAAGTAGACGACAGTAACCTTTTAATATTGAGCATCAAAAAAATGTGTGAAGAATCTGTGGTGAGAAAAATTGTTTGTTTTTAGAACACAAAACGATATTTAGATAGATAGATAGATTTCGTGTTGACACGAAATGTCATTCGATATCACGAAATTTTTAACGGATTCATTTCATTTCGAATTTTCTGTTTTGTTCTCCTCTAATGAGAAAACGTTTATAAAAACAGATCGAAATACATGGGAAAATGAAAAAGTGAGAAGAAACTGACACCTTTTTATTATTAAATGAACATAAAATAAAATAAAATAACAAGTGATGTTGACTTTGGTATTTATTTACACGATGTGTTGATTTCTTATTGTTGTTGGTGTGTTTTCATTGTTACGTACATTTAATTCAGAAAAAATGTGACGAAAGAAACACGTTTTCGATTTCTTTAAAGAAAACTACACCGGAAAAAAAAAGTTTTTCAGGATTCTTGAGCCAATCTAAATCATGATCGACGCATTTCTCAATAAAATCACCGCAATCTATTATCACATTTACTACCTCGCTTTCGGAATTCCAATGAATCTTCTGATGTTTTTCATGATCTTCAAGAAAACTGCCAAGGTTTTCGAGTCAATGAAATATTTTTGATTCCGGCTAGCTTTTCTACGCTAATACTTTCAAGTTTAGCATTTTTTCTACAAATACGAACGATAAATAATACCAAAAGCTTGGCTATATTGGGACAGGGGTTATGTATACACATTGGAGCACAGATATGTTTTCAAGCTTATATTTTGTTGTTGGTGATTAATCATCATGGCTTCAAATTTTTATAAACAAGTTCAGTCACTTTCGGCGGCCGTTGCAGTTTTGAACAGCCACATTATCTTCTATCGGATGATTTTCATGAAATATCAAGATCGAAAAATTGTATTAAAATATGTATACATTTATTGCTTGAAATATTCTATACCTCTTTCTGTGTTGGTAAGGTTTACCCAAAACTCTGAAGTTCTATTCTGTATCACCTCAGGTTTTCTGTAATATTCCTGAAAAGAACATGGAAGTTGTCTACAATGAAACCTTCACTCAACATCCAGATTATTCTCTCGAACCATTTGGAAATTGTGGGGGATTTGTGAATACTTATAGTGTTTTTGCATCCGCGAACACATTTATTCTAGCAATTACAGTTGTGTACTTATCGATTTTTGGATATTATTGTCGATGGAGTTCTCTCAAAATTTTGGATTTGAACAAAACTTCATTATCCCAGAAAAATGTTGAACTTTTCAAGTCCTTGATTCAGGTTTTACAGTCAATTTTTTTATTTTTAATAATTTCTCCAGGGTTTCAGGGTCTAACAGTACAAACTATTCTACCATTAGCTTGTTATATACTAGTTGGTATATTTTTTCTACATAGCAAATATAATGAGCAGGATCAATTGATATTTTCGCAATATTTGGTTGGAATTCTTCTAACACTTCCCGCTGTTATGAATCCAATGTTGAATATTTATTTTATTATTCCTTATCGAGTTGCACTTCGTCAAATGGTATTTACAAAATCAGTTACAGAAAGCGAACCACAAATTATGTTTACGAATTGAATTTAGATACACCCAAAATAGTTTTTGATACATAATATGTAGATAAATATCATATGAGCCCAGGCACAAGTTGTTACTAGCCAATGAAAAAAGTTTAATCAATGGGTAGTGTAATTATTATTATACTCGAATCATTCAAAACTCAAAAAAATCATGATCGACGCAATTTTCAACAAAATTTCTGAAATTTATTATCACATTTACTATTTTGCATTTGGCATTCCTATGAATCTTCTCATTTTTTTACCTGATTCTCAAAAAAACAGCCAAGGTTTTTGAGTCAATGAAATATTTTTTGATTCCGGCTAGCTTTTCTACGCTGATACTTTCAAGTTTAACCTTTTTTCTACAAGTTAGAACTGTTAATAATACCAAAAGTTTGGCTATATTGGGACAGGGATACTGTAAAATGTTTGGAGCAGAGATATGTTTTCAAGCATATATTTGGTTATTGGTGAGTTTGAAGAAGAACATTGTTTAGAATTATTATATCAAAATATTTTTAGTCACTTTCTGCGGCCGTTGCAGTGCTAAATAGTCACATAATTTTCTATCGAATGATTTTCATGAAATTTCAAGAAAGAAAAACTGCATTAAAGTATGTATACTTGTATTGCATTAATTATTTGATACCTCTGATTACTGTGGTAAGATCATTTGAAAATTTCGAGAAAAGTTTAACATTATAGATTTTCTGTAACATTCCTGAGAAAAATATGGATGCAGTCTACAACGAAACTATTACTCAACATCCTGATTACTCTTTCGAGCCATTCGGAAAATTTGGAGGATTTGTGAATACTTATAATGTTTTTACATCAGCAAACACTATTATTCTAGCACTAGGAACTGTATACTTTTCAATAATTGGTTTTTATTGTAGATGGAGTTCTCTAAAGATATTGGATTTGAGCAAAACTTCATTATCCCAGAAAAATGTTGATCTTTTCAAATCACTGATTCATGTAAATCAACATTGACTATAACTTTTATAACTATGAACTTGCAGGGTTTTACAGTACAAACAATTTTACCTTTGACGTGTTACATTCCAGTTGCAATATCTTTTCTATATAACAAATATAATGAGAATGATCAATTGATATTCTCTCAATATTTGGTTGGAACTCTTCTAACACTTCCCGCTGTTATGAATCCTATGTTGAATATTTATTTCATCGTTCCTTATCGTGTTGCTCTTCGTCGTATGATTCTTCTTAACAGATCAGAGATTGAAAGTGAGCCACGTGTTAGATTCAGGTGAATTTTGAAAAGATTTACCACATGATTAATCTAGAAAAGTTACAGAAACAACAGTATCAACCCATCTTTACATCATCATGAATGTCTAGCAACAGTTGCTAATTGAAGTTCCTATTGTTACTTTAATCGCGAACCTCGCGTCATGTTTACAAATTATTTTTTCAAATATCTTCATCACACAATTGCTATTTGTTTAAAAAAATCTGTTTCTAAGAAAACGCGATCTGATAAACTTCAAAGAGCATAGTTAATAAGCACGTTCATAATAAGCCAGTTGCTCAAAATTAAGTTCTGTGCAACAAATGATTGACGATGTCTTTAACAAGCTGTTCACAATTTATTATCACATTTACTTTCTAGCCCTGGGAATACCGCTGAATATTCTAATGTTCTATATGATTTTCAAGAAAACTACAAAGGTTTTCGAGTCAATGAAATATTTTCTGATTCCTGCTAACTCATTCAATCTGACACTTGCAAGTTTAGTATTTTTTGTGCAAGTTAGAACAATTAGTAACACCAAAAGTTTGGCTGTGATGGGACAAGGATACTGTAAATTTTTTGGAGCGCACACATGCTTTCATTCATATATTTTCTTATTGGTGAGTTAAAAAAATACACCTGATGTGAAAGTTTAGCCCCTTTAGTTTTTCGTTACAACCATCGGAGTGCTAAATGTTCATACAATTTTCTATCGCATGATTTTTATGAAATATCAGGAACGGAAACTAAAAAAGCGTTATTTATACATGTTTTGTATGAATTATTCGATACCTTTGATTATATTAGTAAGATCCTTCCACTAAAATTAAAACTCACTATCAATTATCAGGTACTCTCCTACATTTCACCAATCAATATGGAAGTTGTCTACAACGAAACTATCACTCAACATCCAGATTACTCTTTCGAGCCATTCGGAAAATTTGGAGGATTTGCAAATTCGCATAGTATTTGTCAATCTATGGTTACAGTAGTTTTATCGATTTCAATTGTATACGCATCGATCTTTGGATATTATTGTAGATGGAGTTCTCTCAAAGTTTTGGATAAGAACAAAAGCTCACTTTCAAACAAAAATATGATACTATTCAAATCATTGATTCATGTATGTGAGTACTTTTGTTACCCGATTAATTTTCATGATTTCTAGGGTCTGACATTACAAATAATATTTCCGTTAACGTGTTATATACCAGTTGCAAGCTCTTTCTTATACAACAAATATAGTGGGCGAGAACAATTTATATTCTCTCAATATTTGATTGGGATGCTTCCAACGCTTTCTGCTATCACGGATCCAATGTTAAATATGTATTTTATTGTCCCGTATCGAGTTGCTCTACGTCGTATATTTTTCTCAAAATCAGCTATAGAAAATCAACCACACGTAACTTTTACGAATCGATTGGATGTCTTGAACGAGAGAGTTGGTTCTTAAAAACATTTCTTGGAATTCAACTGATTTTTGTTATGCATCAAGACCTTTCTCTTCATTCAAATACCACGATAAGAATGTAGTTGCAAAGCAAATATAATTGGAGGGTAGCTAGAAAATCTCAGCATTCTCGATTTATTCCCCACAAATCTCAAAAAAAAAATGATAGACTCGATTTATAACCGACTTACTGCAATTTATTATCACATATATTTTCTAGTTTTCGGAATCCCGATGAATTTCCTAATGTTCTACATGATTTTCAACAAAACTACAAGGGTTTTCGAATCAATGAAATATTTTTTGATACCAGCCAGCATTTTCACTCTGACACTTTCCAGTGTCACATTCTTTGCGCAACCAAGAGCTGTTAGTAATACCAAGAGTTTGGCTGTAATGGGACAGGGATACTGTAAAATATTCGGAGCAGAGATATGTTTCCATTCCTATATTCTATTATTGGTGAGTATTAGACAAATGTTAATTGTAATACTATTCAAAAATATTCCAGACTTTTGTCAGTTTTGTTGGAATTCTTAACGTTCATACAATTCTCTATCGAATGCTTTCAATCAAATATGACCAACCAAAATTAATAAAGCGATGGTTATACATTTATTGTATCAATTATACTATTCCATCGAGTGTACTAGTGAGTTTTCCAACCACTAATTATAGCTGATTAATACATATTTCAAAAGATTCTCTCCCACATTCCACCAAAAAATATGGAGGCAGTCTACAATGAAACTATCGCTGAACATCCAGATTACTCTTTCGAGCCTTTTGGGAAATTCGGAGGATTTGCTAATTCGTATAGTATTTATCAAACAATGGTTAATGTTGTTCTAGTAACCTCAACTGTATACGCCGCGATTTTAGGAATTTATTGTCGATGGAACACTCTCAAAGTTTTGGAATTGAATCAACAATCGCTATCGAAGAAGAATATTGAATTGTTCAAATCATTCATTCATGTAAGGAAAACTCAATAGAATCAATAATGTCTACTTCTACATTTTTCTAGGGCTTGACTCTACAAATCACGTTACCTTTAGCATGCTATTTGCCCACTTCATTTTTCTACTACAATAAGTACATTGGAAAAGAAAAACTGATAATTTCGGAATATTCAGTTGGGATTCTTTTATCACTACCGGCAATCACGGATCCTATGTTAAATATGTATTTCATTGTTCCTTATCGAACTGCTATTCATAGGATGGTTTCTCAAAAATCAGTGGTTCAACCTGAACCGATAGACATGTTCACAAGTCCGCCTTCATAAATTGATCATATAATTTTTTCTTAAGCTTCGTTTTTCTCAGAATTTAGATAAAAATGTATAAAACTGAAGTTCAGCCTTAAAAACACATATAATTATTTAGCAGTCATAAATTATACTGACATTACCAATACCCACCCTGCAAAAAGACTCACCCTGCACAATAGTCGACTCAATTTATAACCAACTATACTATAGCTGCAATATATTATCTAGTCTGAATGAATTTAATCGTGTTTCACGTGATTTTCCAGGCAAAACTTGAAAAAACAAAAAAAAATAAAAAAATTCAATTCAAAATTCCGCGTTGTCGATTTACGGTAAACAACAGGCAAGCGGAATGTCGTTGTTTTATTTTTATTTTTCCCAAGTGTTTTCTCCCCATTTCCCTTCAAAACTTTACGTTTTGCAGAAAAATGTTAACGCGAGACGAAGAAGACGAATATTGCGATGAGGCCACATCAAAATATCTATCAAAACTATCAGGAATGTGCTCAAAACTGCCGCATTCGATTAGCGCGCATTTAAAACTGCAAGCCTGGCAACTTTCAAAAACACAGGAGCGATATCAAGGATGTAGGAGTTGTTTTATGCCACCAAACCTTCCCCATGAGTGAGTCATTATTTTTGAGCGAAAAATACTATATTTTTCATGGTTTTTCAGAGAAAAACTGATTCCATCTGAAATTTGTCGACGTTGCGGGCAGAAGAACGCGAAAAAGATTGGGATTGTCTCGAAAATCAAGAAAGTCGAAGAGAAAGTGGAAATGAAGCCGGCAAAACCAGAACCCACGAAGAAAACGCCTGCAAAACCTGTGAATTCGAAGAAAAACTCATTTGAAAACCGCCAAATGCTCCTCTCTGCTTCGACGCCAAAAACATCGACACCAGCAGCACCTTTACTACTCCAATCCAAGAAGAAATCAAAAACCAAGCCGAAAATTGTTCTGGAAACCAATGACGAGCCAGACTTTCTCGCAAAACTTTTCGGAATCGGGAAATAAACAGAATATTTTGTGTTTTAATAATTGCTCCGATAAATTCTCACAAATTAAAATTGGTCTATATATAAAAGCTTCAATGAAGCCCAGAATGTTCACAAATCTCAAGTGATGGCGGATGACGTGATTCTAAATGAAGCCTGCGCGCTCTACTGGCCTATATATTTTTGCTTCGGGATGAGCCTAAACTTGCTGTTGTATTGGCTAATTATCACCAAAACCACCAAAGTCTTCAACTCAATGAAATATTTCCTAATCCCATCAAACACCGCAAATCTAACATTCTCATGCATCGCGTTCTTCTTCCAAGGCCGAACAGTCTACAACACCCAAAGCCTGGCTGTATTAGGCCAAGGTTGGTGCAAAAACATCGGACCCGCAGCCTGTTTATACGCTTATAATCTGGTTTTGGTGATGTTGAGCATTGTTATTCTATTGAACTTGCACACTTTGTACTATCGCTTGGTATCGATTAAATATTTTCAAGAAAAGAAATTGGTGGCTCGAAGTTTGATGATATTTTCTCTCCATTATATTTTCCCGCTGGCCGCCATTGTAAGCTTTTCCCATTTTCTTCAAAAGTTACCTTAAGTTCTTTATTACTAATAGGTAATCGGTCGAATTCGAATGGGCGATATGTCGGATGAGCACATGTTTTCAGTGTACAATGAGACGATTTCCGAGCATCCGGATTATCATTTTGAGCCTTTTGGAAATTTCGGAGGATTGCGCGATGTTCACAGTATTTGGAATAAGATTATGACCTACGCGTTTGCTGGAATTGGATGTTATTCACCAATTTCTGGATATTATATCAGATATCATACGCTGAAAGTTTTGGATACCAGGATCACTTCGTTGTCTGAGAAAACTGTGTCGCAGTTCAGGACTGTTGTGCACGTAAGTTATATTTTCGGGGAAAAAATTGAGAAAATTTCCCACGTAGCCTAAATTTTAGTTTGAGACAAACTTTGTTCTAGAGACTCTTGAAAACCCTTGAAAACAATTATAAATTTTGGTGGAGCAATTAGGTCGCACACTTTTTAGGGTCTAACAATTCAAGTTGTTCTACCATTGGCTTGTTATATCCCAAACGCCGTGCTCAATAATTACAATCAATATTTTGCTGAAACTCCCCTGATCTTCGCGCAATACACGTTAACTATAATTTTCACGATTCCCTCACTTCTCGATCCAATTTTCAACATCTATTTCATAGTTCCCTATCGAAATGCGATTCGGAATTTATTCAGCTATCGATTGGTTTTGCAGCAAAAGAATTCGAATCAACAAGCTTCGAGAAATGTGACTTCCTCGATTGCTCATACTAATTGATGGAATGTTTTTAAAAATGAAAATTTCATTTGTTAAGTAAAAGAATCGCAGAGTTTCTTAGAATAGTCTGCGAGAAGTTGAATTTTTCGTCTAGCAAGCTCTTCTTCCTCCGTTTTTTCATCTGCTCTCTCTTCACAATCCAAAGGTTCTCTCAATTTATATAAGACCGGCTCTTCTGGAAGAATGACTTGAAATTGAAGATTCGCAATTTTCGGTCCAAAAAATCCTCTCCAATACGGTTTGTCTTTTCCAGCAATTATTATTGTCAAATGTCGCATTCTTGAAGGATAATCGCTTAGTTCAACTATCATGTCTTCCCATTTCGCTGCTGAAAATTGCGTTTTTAGAGGAACCACTTTGGTTTTCTATACTTACCTGACCCAATTTCCCATTCTCTTCGACAAACCCCAAGAGTTCTATCTTCCGCAACATCCAAAGCATCTTCGTGCAAATAAACACGATGCGGCGGTTTCTCACAACGTCCCATTTGAACGGCCAATGCTAAAATTGCACCAGAATCTGTGTGATGATTGGCTTTTTGTGTGACACGGATTTTTGGACGAACATGGTCGAGAATCCACGGCTAAAAATATTGATCTCGAATTTATCGGTGAATTTCAAAAAAAAAACTCACTTCAATACCAAAATCAACAAGATCAATATCAATAAGTATTTCCTGTTCCCTGAACGAGAAAGCAAAACAATTCTCAACAGAATCATCCGGTTCACATTTCGTGCAATTGTTTTCGATCGCAATTCTACAAATTCAAGATTCAATTGAAAATCACAGAATTTTATGCAAACCCGAAATCTTCTTCCCAAAGATCATAGCGAAAATTGTATTTTTCAGCGTGTTCTTGAAAAGTCATTCCTTGATGAATTTTGAAAGGCGAATAAATATTATAACCTTTTTCCGATGCTTCCTGAAAATCATCGTTCGGATTTGAAAAAATATGAATTTCTTTAATTATACCAGATTTTCCAAGTTGAATTTGAAGTTTGCTGAATCTTCCACAGCGAGTTCACTATTCTCGAATTTGTTCGAATTTGCAGCGTCTAGCCATTTTTGAGAGGGTAGAATTTTGCCCAAAGTCATTTCTAAAAAAGAAATAAAAAGAAATGACGGTTCTAGGAGAAAAAAAGGAACAAGGAAGTCGAGAACATTTTTTTTTGATAAAGAAGATTTTTTTGTTCTTTATCGAAGTGTTCGTTTCAAAAAAAAAAGATGAACGAAAGAAACAAGTTTAGAGACCCAGAGAAAACAGAAGGTTTTCAGATAGAAATGTTTATTGTCATTTACAAATTTATGATGAAATAGAAAAAAATCTGATCTTCACTCTGCAAGAATTTTGAGTCAAAATTCTTCGTCAACTCTCTCCTCACAACCCAAAGGTTCTCTAAATTTATATAACACCGGCTCCTCTGGAAGAATGACTTGAAATTGAAGATTCGCAATTTTTGGACCAAAGAAGCCTCTCCAATATGGTTTGTCTTTTCCAGCAATTATTATTGTTAAATGTCGCATTCTTGAAGGATAATCGTTGAGTTCAACTATCATGTCTTCCCATTTTGCTGCTGAAACTAGGGTTTTTTTTTCAGAGGAAACAACATTTTGGTTTCCTATACTTACTTGGCTCAATTTCCCATTCTTTTCGACTAATAACGAAAGTTTTATCCTCCGCAACATCCAAAGCATCTTCGTGCAAATTAAAGCGAGAATCGGGTTTTGCGAGTCGACCCATTTGAACACCCAATGCTAAAATTGCACCAGAATCTGTTCGATGATTGACTTTTTGAGAGACACGGATTTTTGGACGAACATGGTCGAGAATCCACGGCTAAAAATATTGATCTCGAATTTGCCGGTAAATTTCAAAAAAAACTCACTTCAATTCCAAAATCAACGAGATCAATATCAATCAATATTTTCGATTCAGTGAACGAGAAAACAAAACAATTCTCAATAGAATCGTCTGGTTCACATCCAGTGCAATTATTTTCGATAGAAATTCTGAAATTTATTTTAGTTATCCTGACAATCATTAGATACTCACCCAAAGTGTCTCTGACCAAGTTCATAACGAAAATTGTATTTTTCAGCGTGTTCTTGAAAAGTCAATCCTTGATGAATTTTGAAAGGCGAATAAATATTATAACCTTTTTCCGATGTTTTCTGAAAATCAACTTTTGGATTTAAAAAGGTTGAATTTCTTTGATAATACCAGATTTTCTAAGTTGAATTTGAAGTTTGCTGAATCTTCCACAGCTATTTCACTGTTGCCAAAGTTGTTCGAATTGGCAGCGTCTAGCCATTTTTGAGAGGGTAGCATTTTGCCTTGTGAAGTAATTGTTGAAAAATGAATAAATGAAATATTTTTATGAGAAAAAAGAAAGTCATACATTTTTTGATAAGAAGATTGATGTGTCCTTTCTTGAAGTGTTCATTTCAAAAAAAGATGATTCATGAACAATAATTTTGAAAAAAAATTGTATTGAAAAATTTGCTATCTGAAACTAAACAATTTTTTAAAAAATTAGGAAAATCCAGAATTTTGGTTTTCCCAAACGCAATTTCAAATCTCAAATGCAGCTCTGGCACAGTTTTTCTTGCAGTTCGTTCGTTCCAAGTTCGAAAAATGTATTTTCCTCCTGTCCCAAATCAAAAATGATTAATCTTAAGTCATACATCCATGTGCACTTACTCATTGCTTCAAATAGCATCAGATAATACAAGATTATCTGAAGATTTCTGAAGAAGGGAGTTTTTAGGCTACAATATTTGTCCACGGTGATTTAAAAATAGTCTGAAATTTCTTTGGGAGTTTGACAACTTCCGCATTTGCTCACAGTAACTCACTAATTAAAAATTTTCCCAATCGAATTCTATTCTGTTGAATGAATAAATATTGAATAAAAAGTCCATTTGGTAGATGAATCAGAAGCTTGTTTTATTTTAAGAGAGCTTTGCAAAAATTCATTTGCACCTTGCTAGGATTTGCTAATAAGATTAGGCTGTTTTTCATCAGTTCATCGACAAAAAACTTTAATCCAAGCGCGCAGACTTTGTTTTGTTACTCGAAAAAAATTACAGTAGATTTTGAGCCCTAGACCAGACTTTTTCAAACATTATAATTATTTTCTCATTTCCTACCTATGTTTTCAAGCGGAACAAAATTGGAGAAAAGTTATTTTTTCTTGAGTTTGAACTTTAGATTTTCTCTTTTCTTGCCTGAAATTTCTAGAATTTCAGAACTCCCAAACATTTTGATCTTGAGATTAAAAAAATCAGTGTAAATTTTCTCAGAAACCTTAATTATATTTTTCACATTTCCTTTATACATACTTATTTTTGTTTTAGAGATGTTGTCTGAAAATTTTTAAAGATTTGATCTGAGAAATACTCATTTCATTATTTACCGTTCCAGATGTTATGAAAAATTAAATCATACACATTCAAACTAAATGCTTGCGAGATTATAAGATAAATCAAACCAGATCTCTAAAAATAAGATGATCCAAAGTTTTTGCGATCTTACATTTGACTATTTCAGTTGCTCATGTCGACTTTTTTTTAGATTTTTGAATTTAGATGAACTTCTTCAGCTTTTTCGTATTATTTCAGATGGTGAAATATATTATAATGAGATTAAGAGATTAAGCTGACATTGACAAACTTTTAACATGTTTTTTGTTTTGCTCAAAGTTTATGAGATCAAAAAATCATATGAGTTTTGGGATTTTTTAATCAACCTGAGACAAATAATTATTTCTCTAATGTTTTCAAGCGGAAAAAGTTGAGGCAGAAAATATTTCTAGACTTTTGTTAAAAGCCTTTTTGTCTGGTCTGGAAAAAAATTGAAGGTTTTCGGATTTCGAGAAGATCCCTCACAATCAATGAAAAAAATTGAGATTAAAAAATCACTTGATTTTTTTTCTCAGAGACCCTAATTATATTTTTCTTTGCATTTCCTGTATGTATACTTATTATTCGTTTTTTGTTTTTGTGATGTTACAACATTTTGGAGCTGGAAATGTGATTTTTTGTACATTTGTTGAGTTAGATTCTGAAAATAGTCCCTCAAAACCAAACTTTTTCCAGTTTTCTAAATGGTGAAGCACGATTCCGAAAAATTTCCTGAAATATTTGAATACCCAGGAAACCTGAAGCTTGGCCTAGATTATTTCTAAAATCTAGAGAGTTCCAGATTTATCAAACCGATTTTTTCTCCAAAAATTCCAAAAAGATTGGATCAAAATTGACATTTGACCTAAAAGTCCAGTAACCTAGGATACCAGAAAAACTCTTAAAAATTTATGTCCTCCCTCATCCAAGAAATTTCCCAGACATCCATGTTCTTTTGAGCGGAAAAAGATTAGAGAAGGAAATTTTGGAACTTTTGAGAAATCTCCTCTTCTTCCAAAAAAAATTGTTTTCAACAAAATCCAGTAGCAGCAGCATCCAATTAATTTCGAAAAACGTGTGGGTTTTCTCACGAGCCACAACGAGGATCAAACAACTCTCAAGTATTACTCACTCAATTATTTTGTTGAAAAATGCTTTGGGAACAAGCCGTCTTCATTTTCCAATTCACAATCTGCATATTCGGCCTCATTTCCCACTGGTTTTTCCTGGCCACCTCAGTTTTCAAGGCACATCAAAGTATTTTTCTGCGGGTCTATCTATTTTTCATCAGTTTCGGTTATCAATGCATCCTGGTTTCGTTTGTCGTGACAACCTTGATTTGTCTGGGAGGCTATGGAAGTTTTTTCGAAGTTCCGGAATGTCGAGCTGATCGGATGATTTCGCTGATGGTTCATCATTTTGGAGAGTTTTCGGTCACTGCATTTCATGTGTTGGTTAATATTGGTGAGTTTTTTTGTGGATCAGCTTACTGTATTCAAAAAAAATTTGACATTTTTCCAAATCTCCCAGTTTCTTGAGTACTGTATTCTGAAAATTTCATTTCAAAAATAAATCTTGACTACAGTAACCCAGTCTTATCGAAAACAATTAAAAAGTGACCACAGGGAGAACGAAATTTCAGAAATCGAAAAGGCAGGCTAGACTACAGTATTCTGAAGTGCAGAATAAGTTGAGAATCTGAAAATATTACGGGAGTAAATTACAGTAGTAGCCCAAGGCTCTTTTTTCACACAATTCACCTTAAAAATCCAAAAATCCATGATATTTCAGACCGTTTCTACCTCCTCTGCCAGTCCAACAGAAATCAGCGTCTCAGCCACAACTACAGTACTCCAATATTCCTTGTCCTCAACATATTCGCCTTCTCCACTTCAATTTTCTATGTCCACTTGGGTCGTCAAATTTCAACCAGTCAAAACGCATTCTACACCCTAATGACTATAACTTTCGCCAATTTTCTACTGGAATTCGCCCTATATTTATACTCGAAAAAAGTGTTCAAAAAAACACGTGGCACTTTGGCGCTAGCAAAACGATATGCGATTTTTTCGTCGCTGACGACAACTCGACGATTTTTGCCTGCCTCGATTTCGGGAATATTTTTTAAAATTCTGATTATTTTGGCGTTGTATATTGGAACATTTGTGGACGATGAATCAAAACCTCCGTTTTATTTTTGTTTCAATATTGTGAGTTAACTTTCAGCGTTCAAAACAAAGTTTTACAGTAGGATTTGAACTTTTATTTTTGCCCAATTCGAAATCAGAACCGCCTTTTTTCATTTTGAATTTTTTTTTGCAGCTCTGGAACTTGGACGCCGCATTTTTCCCGTGGTTCTTCATATTTTCCAACACGGCGTTTTGTTTGAGAAGAGGAAGGAAGGATTCTTCTAGCGTGGGAACTGTGGTTGTGCAAAATCAACAGGAATATTTTGAGGGTTTGCTCAACTCGTGGAGACAATTTTGAGATCAACAATGAGAAGTTTGTGATTTTTTTTTTGATTTCTTGAAATTTTTTTGTATAAAACTTTGTATATTTTGAGCGGGTTAGTTTGCAGTTTGGGTTACTGTTTCTGTTTTACAGCTCGAAGTACTGTAGTTCTAAAATTTCCCTAAATTGTGAACATCTGATAAATTGTGTCTGGTAAACCCGAATTTTTGCAGCTCGGGTTACTGTAGATCATAGGCTCAAGAAAATTTTAATGTTCTAGTTTCCCGATTTTTGTAGTCCGGATTACTGTAGGAAAATTTGGATGTTTTGCAGTTTGAGAGTACTGTAGATTTGATTTGTTGGAAGTTGTCCTAGAACTAATTTCACCTGGATAACATTTTTGCAGTTTGGGTTACTGTAGATTTTATAGCTTGGATTTTCCAGATTCATGCTCATTTTCAAAAGTTATTTTTGCAATTTGAATTACTGTGGATGTTAGTTATTTTTTTTGTAGTTCGGATAGTGTATCTCAAATTTAACTGGAGTTTTTGATTTTTCAAAAATCTTCTGAAGTTTAAAAAAAATCATCTTGCAGTTTTGCTTTTTTTTCAAAATTCCAGTAGAATTTCAAAGTTTTCATTATACAAAAACCATTTTTTTAGTGAATTTTTCTGCAAACCTGAAACTTCGGAACCTCTCACACACACATTTTTTAACATCTACATATATAAAAATATATATTTGGCTGTGCACAAATGCGCATAGCCAGAGCCCGAAAAAAACGGCGAGAGGAGAGAAAAAAACGGCGAAAGAGAAGAAGGAGGAGGAGTACTAATTAAATTGGACCCTCTCTCTTTCTGTGTGTCCCCTTCCCCTAGCTCCTTTTTTTGCCTGCTTATTTCCTCTCTCTGAAAAATATATATTGAAGAAGAAGAAGAAAACTGGAAGAAGCAGAAGCAGAAAAAGGCAGGCAGGCAGCGCAGAATCGACGACGACGCGAGGCGGCTCAGAATAACTACTGAGCTTCTTCTTCTTCTTCTCGTCGTTTTTTTCTCGTTTTTTCTTTTTTTTTGTCGTCGTCGTCGCCAGATTGAGCGGCTTTTTTTGTGTGTTTGTGCATCATTTTTGTATCCATCTAGGTAAGCTTATTCTGGATTTAGATTTGTACATAGATTCAAAATTTGGAGTTCTCGGTGATATCACTAGTTTTTTGAACCCTGTGATTTTCTCACAATTAGGGTGCAATTAATTTTCATTTTTATTATGGGTGAGCAACGTTGAGAGCCCTGATCTTTCAGAGATTGTTCATTTTACTGGAGTTTTTCTTGAATCAGTTTCTGAATCATTTTTGAGTAGGTTTTTTTTCAGAAAACTAGAATTGTTTATTTTTTTTTTTGGAATAAACTTCAACCTACTCTGGATTTTCGGAAAAAAATCCTGTGGAGCCTACAATTTTCACCTCAAATTTTTTCAAAAGCTACAAACTTTGTCTAGTCATCTGATGATTTCAATAAACCCATAGCCTACGAATTTCATCTCAAATTATTTGGAAACTACAATTTTTTGTCTAGTTTTAAAAATATCATGATGATCCAAAAATGTTCACTAAAATCTTCCAGCTTAAGATTGAGCTTGAGATTTTAGCTTTCCGGAATCTTGAAATCCTGTAAACCTTTGCGAACTTTTTAAAAGTTCAAAAATTATTCTGATCTTTGTTGAAAATTTTCAGATTCCAAAAAATTGGATCAGAAAAATCAAATCAATAAAAATTCTAAAAAATATAAAAATCTGGAATAAAATCAGGATTTGAAAACTCTCAACAATTCCTATTGGGAGTCTGAAAATCAATTCCAAAAAAAAACTGATTTTGAGTTGTTTCAATTTTCAGACTTTAGAAATTTTCCTGATAAGTCAACCTTAGAAATGACAAAAATTCATCAGTCTCAAACTTGAAGCACATTTTTCAAGCTCAATTTTTCCAGAATTTTTCACACGACTGAAAAGAGCTCTGATGAATAAATCTTCCGATCAGATATTCGGCAAGCAATGGCTCTTTTTTCTTTTCAAAAACTGAAAATTCAAAAACTTCTGAAATCAGATTCAGTTACTGAAAATTCGGATTCAAAATTCACCAGAGAGCTAAATTTTCAGATCAAAAAATTCCAAGAGTCATCTAGAAAAAAATTTCCCACACTCTCCCGAAAAAATCTCAGGCTGCTCTCTCGATCAAAAATCCAGTGATCCTCCAGCTCTTGCTCTTTTCCCTCATTCAAACACATTTACACACACACGAAAAAATTGTCGGATGTTTACAAAGTAAATGACACACACACACACACATACATACATACAACACTCTTTTTTTTCATCATCATCATTTCCATCTTCTTCTTCTTCTTCATCACATCTCATATATGATGAAGTATGTAGTAGTAGAAGAGCTAAATCTCTCTCTCTAGCTCTCTAGCCGACTCTCCACCGTTTCACACACTCTCTCGCCTCTCTTCCCACTATTTTTTTCTTTTTTTTTCCTCCCGTTGCTCTCGCTCACTTACTTTGTGTGTGTGTTTGACTCAAACACAATATAACATAACATAAAAAAGTTCATTCACTCGCTCTTTGCTTTTTTCTACCCTCTTATGTTTTTTAGTTGGTTTTGAACCCTGGATTTTTGATTTTGGTCAAGCCTAGATTTTCGGCCCTTTTTCTGATTTTCAGACAGTTTGATTAGTTTCAGCCAACCTTTTCAGAACTGAATTTTTTCTGTACAGCTAATTTTTTTAAGTTTTGAAAACTGAATAATTCAACAAGCTCAAGATTTTAAGAAAATCTTGAGCTTTTCACATTTGAAATTACCACGTGGCAACTTCAAACAATAAAAAATTAATTTCTAAACTTCCCAAAAAATTCCACGTTTTCAAATTTTGAAAAAAAAATTCCAAGCCTCAGTCAGGTCTTTTCCGCCAAGCCTAGATTTTAGGCTAAGCCTAGGCCCAGATTTTCCATCAAGCCAAAAATTTTGGTTAGGCCTAAGCCTAGATTTTTTGTCCTCCCCCCATTTCTCTATGAATTCATCCAGATTTTTTTTCCTGGAACAAAAATAGTAGCAGCGAAGAAGAAATTCTGAAGCGTGAGAAAATCGAGCGCGCCGTTTTTATTCTCATAATTTTTTGCTGCGGAGCGAGAAAGAGTTTTGCATAATCGATTTGATAATCTCTCCATTGTTATCAGTTTTTTTCTTTTTTCTTTTGTTCGAAAAACTTTCAATGTTTTTCTTTTCAATTTTCAAGTGTCTGACTTTTTCAGATAATTCAGCAGAATTTTTGAAGATCAAGAAGATCATAGGGTTTGCTGAAAATCGTGAACTAAACCCGAGCTTTGTGTTTTCCAAGAAATAATTCTAATTGCAACTTTGGAACGTTTTTCTGAGAATGATTTTCAGTCAAATTGAACTTTTCTGAAATAATTATAGCCCACTGATTTTTTCTGCAAAATTTTAGTTTTGATAAAAATTTCCGAATTTTTTATGACCCAAAAAATACTTCAAACAACTTTTATGAGGCAAACGTTGACACGTCATAACTTTTTTCAATTCTGATTTTTATTTCATTCAAACTTTTCCACGTCATAACTAATTCTCCAAAAATCCAAAAAATGTTGCTCCTTGCAGAATTGAGAAGTCGAAGTGTTGTCCAGCAATGCGACAAAGTGTCAATGTCGACGTCGTCATCTTCCACAACAAAAAGATCGACGGCTAATTCGAATCGAACTCGATCGCTGTGCACCACCAACAACATCAATTCCTCTCAATCAATCTCCACATCTCATTCCTCAAATACAATGATGCGTGACTCGATGGAAGAATGCACTTCGGGAACATCGGCCGCGTCGACATCTTCTTCGGCGACCGCCAGAGCTCTTGATATGTTCAATCGACGAGGTTCCGTGCTTGCTGTCGTTATTGCAGGTGTGCTTGTTGTGCTTCTTCTTTTTTCGTTTTTTTTTGATAATTCAAAATCTGATTTGATTTGATTAACCCAAAAAATTATGATTTTCGCTCACATCAATTGATATAATCAGTTTTTTGCACGCGAAGTTTTGATTTTCAATAATTTTCAAATTTTTTAACAAAAAATTTAAAAAAAATGAAAGCCAAAAAAAAACAAATTTCAGAAAGCCACGTGGCAATATTCCAAATTTTCGATAAAAACTTTTTTGTTTTTCTCATGAATTCAAAATTGTTTTCAAGTTGAAAATGCCACGTGGAAATTTAGGCAGTCACTTGAAAATTTGAGATACAAAACATTCCAAGTTATAAAATTCCCAATGCCACGTGGCAACTCAAAAAAATTTTTTTGAAAAATTGAAAAAACCACGTGGAAAAATAGAAAAAACTTGAAATCAAAAATTTGAACAAATAGAAATGCCACGTGGCAATTCCCAATATTTATATTTCAAAAATTTGCATTAAAATTTTTTTAAAACAAATTTGATTCCCCCAAATGCCACGTGGAAGTAACTGCGTTTTAAAATTTTCAAATTCATCCTCATTTTTCTCAAAATGCCACGTGTCATCTCCCAAAACTCCCCCATTTCCCCTTCCTCCCACAAATCAGCAATTCCTTCACAAAACCACCAAAATCCAATAAGGTTTGTTGTTTTCCCAGAGCCGAGCTTTTCCACCATCTTTTTTCGTTTTCTCTCATCCTCTACCTAACACAGTGTTTTTTCTCTTCTGACGAAAAAATACTGGCACAATTTTTAACGCGTGCGTGCTGTGTGTTTGCGGTGCACCTTGTTGAGTTAGGCTAATTTTGATTTTGAATTTTTTCATTTATGAAGTGAAGTGAGACCTTATCAGCATATAATTTAAAGAAAAACGAGATTTTTTTAAAGGTAACACAGCGGCCGATGTTTTGCCAGGCGGAAGTGGCGTGCCAAATCCAAGCAGTCAAATCGCAAATGATCAGCCTTCCTCAACAAACTCAGATCCCGATTCGGATTCATCGGATTGGCGACCGCCTTATCCAAGGCTCACCGCATTTCACGATTGCCTATCAATAGCTTCAGCCTGGTCTCTAGGGCTTTATCCAACCTGGTTGGATGATAAACCAACTGGAGCCAGCCAGGCACAATCCCCATCAGAAGACGATTCCGGTGATGGGAAATTCAATGATCTACTCGCATCCTGCCCGGCCTTCCGAAATGAGCTTGGATGGGAGCCGACTCGACGAGTTGCGCTAAGTCGACACACTTATGAATGCGCGGCGATGGAAGCGCATGAATGTGAGACATGGATGAGAGAGCACGCGGCTGCTGAGGCTGGGATTATGGAGGATGTGTCGAATGTATATTTGGGAGGGAGATTGTGTGCTGCACGGCAGCCGAAGACTGTTATTGAACCGCAGGATATTGGAAGTTATTATTATCGACATTGTTTTGTTGGGCGACGTGAGTTCGGGAAAGGGGGTATGACTTCTGGGAAGGTTCTAGATGAAGTTAGGTGTTGTGAATGTTCATCAAGATCCAAATTTGTTCACAGTATGACTAGATGTTTTTGAAAATTTAGAAAAACTCGACAAACTTCCGAATAGAAGTTGCTGAATTTTTAGTGAGATCCCGAACTAATTTTCAAGATCTAGAAGATTTTTTTTCTAGAAGTTATAGAGTTCTGAATCGTATCACAAGTTCAAAACAAAACATTCTGGACTCCAGGATCCCTAAATTCCTCCAAAATTTTTCTAGTCTCAAAATAAATCCCAAAAATTTTCCAAACTCACTAAAACAATCTGATAACCCAAACCCGGGGTATTAAAATTCGTCGATAAGAAAATCAACTTCCCAACAACAAAAAAGTCCTGGTCAAAGTCCTCACCGCATTCCACACAAAATTTCCAAATTTCAGAACATGTCGAATACTTTGGTATGGATGAGATCTTGGGACCGATCGCGATTTCAATGGTTCGTGAAAACGTGGATCGTCGTGATCAAGGTGCCTCAATCTACCGGATGATTATCAGAGTTTCGGATCAGCGGACAATGCGAGTTGCGGTGCCGGAAGAAGCGTTGACTTCTCCAGAAGCTGCCGAGCGCTCAACAAGATCTCTGATGCGTGAACTCATCGAGATCGTGTGTCCTAGAATCAGCTTCGGAATTCTGCGCCCATCAGTCGGCACACCTCGGGTAGAAGAACTATTGATGAAAATCGACGAGCAACCAATATACACTCGGTACAAAGTCGGAATCATGTTATGTAAATCAGGTCAATCGACCGAAGAACAAATGTATAATAATGAAACATCTACGGGAGCTTTCGATGAATTCTTGGATTTCATCGGTCAACGTGTCACATTAAAGGGATTCGAATCATACAAGGGAGGTCTTGATACACGTGGCGATACCACAGGAACACACTCAATATATGCAGAATATCAGGCTCATGAGATAATGTTCCACGTGTCAACACTTCTACCGTTCACCCCAAGCAATCGACAACAATTGTCAAGAAAGCGGCATATTGGAAATGATATGGTTACGATTGTCTTCCAAGAACCTAATGCTCTTCCATTCTCGCCGATCACCGTTCGAAGTCATTTTCAACACGTGTTCATCATTGTTCGAGTGCACAACGAGTGTACGGATAATGTGACGTATAGTGTGGCGGTGTCGAGGTCGAAAGATGTGCCGCCGTTCGGACCACCTGTTCCCAAGGGAGCGTGTTTTAGCAAGTGTGCCGAGTTTCATGATTGGTTGTTGACCAAAAGTGTGTTATGAGTTTGGGGAAGGCATATTGAACATTTTGCCACGTGTCATTTTCACAAAAATTCCACGTGGATTCTTCGGAAGGAGAATTTTGTCTCTGGATTTTTCTGAAATTTCAAATTGCCACGTGACTTTTAGAGCTCTAAATTTTAGATTACATATGACTCTAATTGCCACGTGGATTTTTAAAAATTAACTTCTGGAGAAGCCACGTGTATTCTTTGGAAAGAGACTTTGAATTCTGAACATGTATATTGCCACGTGGCTCTTCAAGTTCTAAATTCTAGATTTCATATGACTCTAATTGCCACGTGGATTTTTTTTTAATCCTCAAGCCACGTGGATTTCCAGTTGCATTCTCTAAAAGAGTTTGCCACGTGGATTGTTCCATAAATCCACGTTGCACTAAAACTTTACTAACTGCCACGTGGATTTTTCAAAACATAAATTTCCAAAAATTCCAGTTGTCAACGCCGAAAATGCAGTGCATCGCTCGAAAAAATTCGCAACAATGGCTGCCAGAACACGTCGTGAAGCTCTCCGAGATCTCGTGGAAAACTATGTTGGACCGCATCAGAATGAGGGAACTAGCAAGATTGCGAGTGAGTTTGGTGAAATCTAGGCTGGTGTTTCAGAGCCCAATTAAAATTCATTTTTGAACATTTTTGTTTTCAGCTGTAACCGGAAGATTCTTGGGTGGAAGTGTGAAGCGAAAAGAGCGACACAATCCGAAACCCGCTCATATTGTGATGCGAGGAGCATTGTCATGGCTCGTAGATGTTCACGATTTCTCCACCAATCAAAGGATATCCTGTATCCTCGGAGTCGCTCAGGATGCAATAGTTCTACTAGAAAGACCCTCCGGATCAGTGCTCTTCTCAACTCCAACTCATTCGATAATCGGATGGGCAAATACAGATATGGGATTGAAGTTGTACTACGATCACGGTGATCAACTCCTCCTCCGATGCTATTCTGAAAACGGAACTGATCTAGAACTCAATGAATTGCTCCGACGATTAGAACAAGTTACCAAAGGTGATGAAGCTCGAGAAGTTGTGTTGCGTCGATCGAAAACTACCGATCATTGGGGATTCCATGTTCAAGATGAGGGAGTTGTGACAGATGTTGAGATGTATCAAACCGCGTGGAGAGCTGGAATCCGGCAAGGATCAAGGATCGTTGAGATGGATGCGATGCCCGTCGCAACCTTGAGCTATGATAAAATGTGCGACCAGCTAGCGGTTTCAGAATGTGTTAGGCTACTAATGATTGCTCCAGCTCAGGATGGAAGTCCTAGACGGGGTTGTGAAGACCCGAATTGTCCTGCTGTTAAAGGAATCGAGCAAATGCTGACACCTGACGCTTTTGCAAAACAGCCGATTACATATCAAGAGATGTTCCGAATGAAGAATCGGGAATATGCAACCAACAGTGCCAGCAGTTCACCAGCTTCTAGTTTTGACGAGCGGACGTTTAGCTTTAGCACAAATAAGAAAAGTCTAGATGGGAGAACTAATAAGTGAGTCAGGGCTTCTGAAGAATGGTACCGCCTGGATTTCCTAATCTTGAGATAACTCCAAGCAATCCTAATCTCTCTGATTTCAGCACCATTCAACGTCCCACCACAATTTCCTCAACCAGTGTTCACGAACAAATGTGTACCCTGCTGAACCCACCGAAATGTCTGAACCGTGCCCAATCCGATGAGCAACTTCGAAGTCCACTCATGGAAGATCTCGCGAGGAAGGCGCCGCTCTCCGCGCGTGAATCCACCAATGAGCGCGAGAATTCGGAGCTGGTGCGGATACAGACGCATCTGGAGCGCACTGTGCAGGAGAAGCGAGCGCTGGAAATGTTGGCACAGCAGCTGAGGAAGCAGCTGATTCATGTGAGTTGTGTGGGAGTTTGGAAGTTCCACGTGGCGAATTTTCGAGCTCCGAGAGCTGCCAAAAATGCTCTCAACAAGTTTTCGAGCCTGCCACGTGGCTTTTCCACTTTTTTCCACCTAAACTTAATGTTTCATTTTTCAGGAACGTCAACAGCACGAAAACACCAAACGGGAAATGGAGCGATTGAAAAAACTGTATGAAAAGAAGTGATTTTTCCAAACTTCCCCCAGTTTCAGATTCTAAATTCAATTATTTTTACAGTTTCCAAATGTGATCTACCACAATCAAAAAAACAAATCGATCTCGTCAATTTTTCTTCAAATTTCATCCGTTTCTGCTTTTATCATCTAATTGTGATATATTTTTCCCCCTTTTTTTTGAAAATTTCTTCTCTGAACAACATTGAGCCGAACAAAATGAGCACAGTGCCAAAATTCTGTAGATTTCCTTTTGTGTGTAATTTTTCTGTGGATCATGATGATGAAATATTTTTTTTGTTCTGAACATTCGTTTCAAGAGGAAACAAAACTTTAAATTGGGATAATTGGTTTTGCATATAAATTTTGCGGATGGATTTCGAAATCCTTGGCGCTTGGAATTCTAAGTAAGTGGTCCAGAGGTACTGTAGTAAGGGTTCAAAAATCGGTTCGAGACCTGAGAAGCGCGTGGCGGGAACTAAGCCTGAGCATTCACATGATCCCAGGGTACTGTAAGGTTCAAAGTTCTGTTCCGATCCTAAAATTTTCAAGTTGACATCATTATTTCTTCTAAACACGCCACCCACCCACCAATGTTTGACCCATTTCAACTTCCTTAATAGTTTTTGCTCCGAAAGTTCCAAAAATAAAAGAATTTCGCAACAATTTTCCAAGAAGGAATAATTTAAAAAGATTATCCGTCGTTTTTTTGGGCGTAGCTCAACTCATTTTTTGTTCCAAGAATGACGCAAGTTCAAGTAATTCAATTTTTCGAGGGGTAAGCCTAACAAAACATCAAAAATTGGCATCAGAATTTTTGTGTGTATGTGCCCTTTTTTGGTGTTGGAGGGAGTTCTTGGAACTCGACTTCCGCGTTTAATTTTTAAAACTCTATTTTCTCTATGTTTTGTTTTGTTGTATTTTTTGCTGATAAGAATGCCTGTCTGGAAATTGCGAATTTATTTTGACCAGACTCTGGGAGAATTAGGAGTGTAACGTGGATTTCAACAAATTTTCAGAATTTCAAGATTCTCTCGGAAATTCTGAATTTTGAAGAAAAATTGAAAACAAAAAGAGTTAAATCTTTCTAGATGTTCTATGTAGATTTTCAATCTGAAATTCTGAAGTTTAAAAAAAATTTGGAAAAATCTTCGGAATTCGAATTTTCAAAATCATTTTCTGAAAGTCCTATTTTTGGCTGGAATTCCAGGTTAGCAGAAGTGGAATTATCCAGTTAAAAATTCATCAAATAAAAAATTTCAGAAAAAACTTCTTCAAAAATTCCAGCTTTTCTATGATTTAGGGTGACTGACTTATTCATGAATCAAGATAACTAATATTGAAATAAAGGTATCTCACTTCAAGATTTTGGGTCTCTAACTTTAAAAATATAAATTTCAACGTTCAAAATGAGGGTGCCTGATCAAAGACTAACTTTTTCCCATCCCAAGAAAATGACATCAGCGAAAGTCTTTTCAATCAAAAAATTCCCATTTGAATCTTCATTTCTATAGCTCAATTAGCCTATATTCATTTTCCTAGAAATTATAAAATGATATCACCGTGCACAAAAAAATGTGGAACATTTTTACAACTTCCCCTAATCACCGCATGACATTCTTCAATCGCACCCCAAAAATTCGCTGTTACAAACTTGCACTTTTCCGCTAGCTGTTGATAAAACTTCTTTTGTTTTTGAGAAGAATTTCGGAAAATTTCAGCTTTTCAAAACCCATTTCAATTTTTAGACAAGTTAGGGGAACTCGAGGAAGTTCTGAATTTGAATTAGAACAGAAAATTGAATAATTTCTGAAGGACATTCAACAAAACCATACACGCACGCAGAATGAAAATATATATATACATAAGTATTTGGCGTCTCTGAGACGGGTCTCTGTTGCTATCTATCTCCTCCAATCACTGATAGTGTGTATATGTATGCACATTTTTGTGGCCTCAGTTTTTTTCCGCCGCTTTTTTCTACCTTACCCCCCACTTTTCTCTTATTTTGAATTTTCTTTTTTTTTCTAGCCAGCCTACTAACAAAACAAAAGATCCAAGAACAAAAACAAAAAGGGGGCGTGGCTTTGGAAATGTTCTCATCTGCCCAATATTTTCTGCCGACCACATCATCAACGATGCCGAGGCCGACGAACGAACCGAACCCTGAAACAGAGACGACGACGACGACGACGACTACACACAGCAAATCAGCGAAATTCTCAAGTTCCTCAGAATTTGAAGCGATCAGAAAGGCGGCGAAAACGATCAGCGACAACACTTTTTCGACCCATCATTTTTATATTATTCATATTTTTATTCTCCTCCGACTTTTATTTTCTATACGGCGACGCTGCGCCCGTCGCCGACGCATTGCTTATTTATTCGACAGGTTTGTTAGGAACTTCATAATTTTGAAAATTAAAAATTTTCAAATCAAAAATCGATTACCAAGATGAGCGGTATGTTGTACATGTGTGCAAAGTACGCTCCGATGATAATAAATATAACCTGGGGGCATCATCACAAAAAAAAAGGGAGGAGGAGGTGAGAAAATGGATCGTAAATAGTGGGATTAGTGGAACGGTTTGCGGTTGGTGATAAGGTTGAATTTTTGCTCTCGGCACATTTTGGGAGGTTTCGAGAAATTTCGATTCAGGCTAGATTTTTTAATCGAAAGTTTAGAAAATTCACCGATTGATAGAGCATAGGAAAAATTTATTAAATTTTATCCGAAGCCTAAGAAAATCGATTCGAGTCCAATGTAAAATCGGTGAAGCCTAAGCCTAATGCTGATTTGAATTCATCTGAAGAAAAAATGAATTTCGCGACATTTTTTGTCGCGAAATTGCAATTCGTGAAACGACACGAAATAAACACGAAAATAAAGGAGAAATATTAAAGGGACACGTAATCGCTGCGAGACCCAACACACAAAAAAATAATTTCCTCTTTTATTTTATTAATTTCGTGTCGTTTCGCGAATTGCAATTTCGCGACAAAAAATGTCGCGAAATTTATTTTTTCTTCAGATGAATTGATCCATAAGCCTATACTATAAATGAAAATCAGCCATTTTTTCTTGTATTCGGGCCAGGAGCTGCTATAGGCAAACATTAAACCTGACAAGCCAGTAAGCCTAATTTTAGGCCTATCCAGCCCATTGTTCAGGCCTAAATCTAATAGCCTAGGTCCAAAAGTCGCATTGGGCAATGCCTCGAGAAGCCTATTTTGAACGCAAGAAAAATTTAAGTTAGGCTAAGCTCCACTATAAAATTGCAAAAATCAAGTTCCTCTCGATCCCGAAAAAAATTCCATCAATTTTCCACAAAGTTCACACTGACCGCTTCTTTAATTATTTTACAACTCTTTATCTTTGACCAAACAATTTTTAATTGCTTTTCAGTCTATTTCCAGTCAATAATTACTTTTCTAATTAACTTTCGAACACGAACACATATCGAAAAAGTGTTCTTATCAGATCAGAGACCATACACATGCTTATGTTTATGATTTTGATTTTGCACGAGAGAAAAATCAATAAGGGGTCTCCTCATTTTTTTTGTTGCTACCTATGACGAAAATAAATATCTGAAAAATAGAACATATGACACTTCCGGTCCACCCACCCATCTGAAAGAAAGATCAGGAGAATTTGAAACATCAACAAAAAAACACACACATTTTGCAGACAACGATCACAACAATGTGTCGACGAATTTCAACGAGATCTCGCGAAATGCATTCCTTTCGCTGACCGGCAAACCGGTCGAAGCGCGATTTCCAACCTATCATATTGTGAACAACAATAAGATCAACAATGCTCCGAAACATCATCATCATCGGAAGAAACATCGAAAAAATCGAGTTGAGGAGGGAGATGATAAGGAGGGAAAAGGTGAGCGAGGCGGAGGATCGAGTTACGCGAACTCGAGAAAAAAATATATAGATGTGATTCATGTCACAGCGAGAATGAGAAAAAGTGTCGAGTTACCAGACACGGGTCAGCCGGGATAAGCCCACAAAAATTTGGGCTGGGCCCGATTTGGATTGAAAGAGGGCCTAGACCTTTTTAAGCTCAAAAATCTGATTGAAAGGGTAAAGCTGTAAGCCTGGCGGCTCTCCTAACCTCAAACCTCTCAAGTCTCCCGGTCCAACTTCTCCAAAAATTCCAGAAACCATCCTCGACGGTCGCAAACACGCTCTAATGCAGTTGGCCGATCCGCAAGCCCTCAAAATGCAGACGAAATGCGACGGGCAAAAGTTCAAGCAACGCGTCCGAGTCGACGGTTGTCTGACAAAAGTGGTGGTGAATCGACTGTGTCACGGCACGTGCGCCAGTTTTTTCATACCGCGAATGCACTCGAAAAAACTGAAGGCGGCGTTCAAGAGTTGTGCGACGTGTGCACCGTCGGACTACGATTTTGTCGACATCACGTTGGATTGTCCCGGACAGACACCGCCCACTGCAACGAGGACTATTGTGAAGGTAGGCTAATTTTCTGGTAGAAGATTCACAAAGGTTTCTAGATTTATTTGAAATTTGACCCTGATCAGATGAAAATTTCGAAATTTTTTGAAGTTATAAATATTTTCTTTCACTGAAAAAACAAAATCAAAATGAAGGATAAAGAAAAAACAATTACAAAATTTTTGAAACGTAAAAAATCAGATCTCTAGAAATAGAAAAAAATATAATTTTCTCGGGAAAAATTTCATAGATCCCAGAAATTCCCAGAAGGTCTCAGATTTCCCGGAACCTGGATTCCTGAAGTTCCCAGATTCACAAGAACCACTGATTCCCAGACACATTCCTAGATTCATGAAGTTCCCAGAAATCCAAAATATTTTTTTGCAGGTGAAAAGTTGCAAGTGCCGAGAAGTCAGTATATCATCATTATACGCATAACCCGGTATCTCACCCCCAAAAAAACCCCACAACAAAAAATTCTCACACTTCTCCGATCTCCTCCCTCCTCTCAAAAACTCCAATGTTTCTACCGTAGTTAATGTAGATTTTGTTTTTGTTTAGCCAAAGTTCCTTTTTAGGTCATTCCCCGTGTTTTTTTCTATAATTTTTTACCTAAAATTTTAAAACTTATCCGGGTTTTTTTCTTCCATTTTTCTCTGTTATCGCGCATCGCATCCTTTTATCCACTTCCTTCACTATTTTTATTTTTATTCCCATTTTTTCCGATTATTTTTATCATTTTTCTGTCAAAATTATATACGAGTTTTCGCAAGTGCAAAATATTGGCCACCACCCAAAAAATTCAAATTTTCTTTGTTTGTTTCTATTTTTTTCTTTGTTCTTCATTTTTCGAAAAATAAAGGTTTATTTTGACCTAGAGATTGGGAGTACTGTAATTTTCAGCGCAAAACTTCAGATTTGCTACGTGGATTCTTGGTTTAAAGAAATTTTTAGATACAAATTTTAGGTCTATATTTCTTCGCCAAAATTGATTTTTCAAAAAAAAATTTCGAACTCTAAACGCGTAACTTCAGACTTAACAAGTGGCAAAATGGTTTTTTTTATTTTAAATATTAAGTTTCCCCGTGAATATTTGAAGCAACAAAAAACTCACCGGAACAACAAAAATCGAGAAGGTTTCAGCCAGATTCCAGAGTTATCCAACTATTGCCGAGCAAAAAAATTGATTTTCCTCTGAAAAACCAAGATATTTCTACTGAAAATATATTTTTCTTACCTTTTTCGATGATTTTCAGCGATTTCCATAGAGATTGCATAGGTTAGTCCAAGTTTTATGTAGAAAATACAACCATTCGACTCCACCACAATTCATCAACGCAAAATCAATGCCGAAAAATTTTGAATTTCAAGGTTTTTGCTCTGATTTTGATGGTCAGGTTCCAGAATCTTCAATTTGTTCCAAGTCTTGAGGTTTTCCAGTTGATAAATCTTGTGATTATCTCTTGGCCACCTCTTTATACCATTTTCCATGCAAATTTCGCATTGCTTTATTGACCCGACGTTTTTCAGCCTGAAAAAAAAATCAAAATTAACAACTGAAAAATCTATTTTTCTCACCATTTTCAAAAAATTCCGCAAGAATCGCTTCAGCAGCCAAAATTTGCAGCGAAAAGCAAAAAAAAATTATTTTTTCGCAAAAGATTTTTGAATTGCAATTTTCGCGGGAAGCCGGCATGTGGAGTGTCGTTGTTTTCTTTTTCTTTCTCTTTTTTTTTGTTTTGAACATTCGAATTTGCGGGTTTTTTGTTGTTCAAAAAATGAGAAATGGGAAATTTTTGGGTGCCCGATAAATTTTACGTTTTTGAAAAACATTTCACAAAAAAATGTTTTTTTTTTGAAAATTTTCTGGCATCGTTTTTTTCAGAAAACTGTCAAGTTTAGCAAATTTCATGGTTTTGTAGAAAGTTCAAACATTCAAATTTTCAGCTCTAAAATATACAGAAGCCAAATCTGTTCTGATTTCGGCCACAAACTCAAGAAAAAGTTCCTTTTTTCGGAATGCTACGTAATTTTTTTCCACCTGTTTCAGGATTTAAAATTCAGTGTCAGCATTTTTGAGATGTAGCCTTTGAAATTTATAAAAACCTGAAATTTCGAATAGACTTTTGATGTGAGTGTCTGAAAATCTCAGTAATTCTTTAAAAGTTTGTCCCATGACTTCTGGTGCGAGTTCTGAAAATTGCAGTAATTCTTCAAAAATGTGTCCCATAATAATTCTATCTGAAAATAATTTTCAGACATTTTTATCAGCTTTTTAAAAGTGTTATCTTTTCCCCTACAAGTTGTAATTTTTACAACTTTCCAGCCTAATTTATCGCTTTATTACTTTTCTGCAAAAAATCCCTGACTCTCAAGTTTTCCCTATAAAAAAGTTTCAATTTTGGAATGTTACGTAACTTTTTTACACCTGTAAGTCATTTGTTTTAGCATTTCCTAGTTTTTTCAGGTTTCAGAAATATTTAAAGTTTGGAATTTGAATTTGAATTCGAATTTCAGTTTTTATAAATTTTTGATAAGCTTATTTTTTAGTTACAGTCTAGTTGTAAAATTTTTGTATGTTAGATTGTAAATTGGATGTTTGATGTGTTTTTTGTTCTGATTTTATGGTTTTCACTGAAAATATTAAAATTTGTGGTTTTCCAAAATGTAGAAACTCGGAGAATGTGGAAATGTTAGATCATTGCATAATCTGGATAAGTCCAGGATTAGAGTCTGGGGAAAATAATTAGGGAAATGAAGTGTTGAAATAACAATCAAGATCAAAAATTTATTTTAAAGCAACACCCTCGTATAATAGGCACTTTCTTGAAAAAAGCCCAAATGTTCTCAAATCTTAGAATTAGCTTAGTTTTACTGTTTTCTAGTTCGGAGAAAAAATTCAAAAAGTTTCAATAAGTATTAGCCGAAATATGGAAGCCCATTGAAAAACTGAAAACTCAAATTCAAACAACGCGGGCTAGCGTCAACGCGGAGTCTCGTTGTTTTCTTTTTATTTTTTTGCAAATTTTTTTCCATTTTTTCGGAAAATGACAATTTGCATGGAAAAAACTGTTTTCTGGGTATGAAAAAAATAAATTGAAGAAGTATAAACATTAAGATTCAATATTTCAGACGAAAACTAATTTTTTCGAGGGAAATTGTGTTTTTTTAGTTTTTGACCGGAATATGCAATATAAAACTGAAATATCATTGTCAAAAATGAAAGTAGATATAGTTAAGGATGTTCAGAAATCATTGTTATAATTTATTTCATTGTTTTCAGTGAAACAATTCACTTTTTGTTGAAAAAAAAGTTGAAAGGGGTACTGTAGCACACAATTGTCGTCACAGTGTTTGCACAAATTTCACGAAATTGCGGATCTGCACAATCTGCAGGCGATTTTCAAAAAAAAAATGTTTTTTCTCAAAAGTGGTCAAACTTGATCGTTTTTGAGTATTTCTTTTTCATATTGCTTGTGAGCATAGCTGAATAGGTTAATTTTATAAATTTTGGTGTTTGAATACATTCAGCAATGGCCTTATTATACGAGGGTGTTGCTTTAACCAATTTTTTTGAAAAGTCTTTCGATTTTTTTTTCTGATTGTGAGTCTGAAAAAATGAGATATTCTTGAACTTCCATTGATTTGAAAATTGGGTTTCAAAAAACGTTCAATTATTTTTTCTATAAGAATTTTGTGCTGAAAACTATTATGAATTCCAGTTTTAATAATTTCACAAAATGTTATACCAAGAAAATCCCCTAACTTTTTGATTCTCAAATCAACATTTTCATGTCATTTTTTCGTCGCCCAAGAGATTTTTCCAAATCTTTTTGTTTAGCTGTCTGTCTAATTAAACTCTCAACAAAACAGAATTGGCTGATTTCCCTGATCTACAACAACTTTGCATTCAATTATCCAGCTGAACTAATTCTAAATTGTAACATTTACCATTCCCTTTTCAATTCAGATTCCAAAACTCAAAAACTTCCAGACATTCATTTTCAAAAAATCACCTGAATTCAAACAATTCATGATTCAAACGTGAAACATTTAAAATCACATCATTCAACATTTCCAACTCAACTCAAATGATATCACCGCGACTTGCAATAACTTTTTCACAACACACACAACAAATTCAGGTTCCGGCTGAATTTTCCCAACTCAAAAGCAGCTGAAATTTTCAGCTCAAAACTAGATCATATAAATAAAACATGAGAATATCTGATATCATTTATTCACTCATTTTGTGTTTCGATTCAGAAAAATCTTGTTGAGCACCGCCCAAATTTGCCGCGAGCCCCTTATAAATATCAGAGAAACATTTCTGTGTTGTAAATGAAGACGAGAAAAAAAAAACAGAAAAATAATAGAGTGTTATCTTGTCAGTTATACAACGCCTCTGTGTGTGTTTCGAACGGTGGGCTCGCTAATTTTTACACCGTTCGCTTGATTTTTTTCAACATTTTTATGCCTTGCACTTTTATGTATTCATTTTTTGATTATTTTATTTTCGCATTGCGGTTTTTGCGGTCAAAAATACGTTTCACAAGGTCCAGATATAAGAACCTATGACACAGACTTTCTATTAGATGCCGCAATTCATTTTCTTCAATATTCGTGGCTAAAATTCAGAAGATTTGGTTACTTGAACGTCGTATTTTTGACTCCAAAAGTTAATTTTTCAATTTAAAACTTCTTCGCCTTGCGAAATATTCAGCGTGAAATTCAAGCATATGTATTCCCAAATTCTGAAAAATCAGTTTTGACATCTTCCCATTTCAGTTGCTCTTCAAAATTTCAAAATTCCACGAATATTATCATGTGATTGCCCAGAGAATCGAGATTTCCATTTCTAAAAATTTTGAAACCTATTCTCCCCGGCAAAAATCAAGAGTTCAAACCTCAGCGCGAGAATTATGACTTTTTTTCCAAAAAAAAAAGATCAGAATCTCATTCTCATCCTCGCCTTCCCCAGCCCAAAAAAATCAGCTGTAAGTCATACTATACTTGTGAGCAAAACCCCTCTACATTTTCCTCAACACAAAAAAAAACAATTTCCATTTCGCTCTATGATAAAATCAGGTAGCTGTCAAAAAATTAATATTATTATTATTTTTTCCTGGGTTTTGCCATATTTATCAAATTTTTTGTTCGTCTCTCATAAATGTGTTCAAGTCAATCACCAAAAGTTGACATGTTGAAATTGTTGGCCGCGGGCGGCACTGGTTGACAGAGAAACCCCGGCTACTGATAATTTTTTTGTGATTTTTTTTTGATCGGGAGCAGTTATAAATAGGTGTTTAGGCTTATTGGAAACGGTAAAAATAATCAAATTCTAACCTAAGCCTAAGCTAATCTTAGGTTAGGCCTTAAGCCTAACCTAGCCTAACTTAAGCCTAACGTTAGCCTAACTCTAGCCTAACGCTTTTAGAAAGCTCCAGCCCGATTCATCTTTAGAAAAAAACTAAAATTTGGATCAAGTCTCCAATTTTATCATTTTTTGCTGTAAAACTTTCGGCATCGCTTTCAAAACTTTTTTTTCCATTTGTTTTTGTAACAAAACAGTGTTTTTTTGTTATTTTCCTATTTTTTTGGAAAATGTGTGAAAAAAGGAGAGAAACAAAATATCCTATTGTTCAAAGAAAAAGTACACAGGTGCGCAAACTTTGGGCAAAAAATTGTGAAGTGTCAAAATTTTTTCCTCGATTTTTGCCTTCTCTGAAATTTCGCCCAACACCTGATAATAATCTTATATAAACATTTTTCAATTTTTCTCAATTTTTGACAGGAAATTTTTATTTTAAAGTGCATTCGATGACAAATTGATTTCGATTTCTGTTATTTTTCTCGATTTTAGATTTAAAAAAATAATTCATTTTTCGCGATTCTCATCTAACCCAATTATTTTCAACCAAAAAAAATTCAAGATTTTTTACACACACTAATCGGGCCGCAGATAACAATCTACGAGAGTTTTTTTAAGCCGACAGTTTTTCACCTCGTCTCTTTTCGGCTGTGTGGAACTTCTATACAAAAAAAGTGTCCTTAAAAATTGTTTCGAGAAACACACACTCCCACCATTTTTTTCTCGATGGTTTGAAAATGACAAAAAAAACATTGAGATAGAAAGAAGAAATTTTTGAACACTTGTTTGATTCTCTTTTCTCCTGGGACTTACAGTAACTTATTCTATTTTTTGCACTTTTTTCATTAATTAAAAATATCCGATGTTGAGCTTGAACTTGTGTGGGCTTACAATACGTTCTTTGATGTTTGATTGCTACGTGGCAAAATTGGACTAAAACTTTTGCAAGTCAGTCTAGATGTTTTCCAAATCCTGAGAGCTATAACGTGGCACAATTATTCTCAAAGTTTTAAATACTTCTTTGATTCTCGATTTGCTCCTGGGACTTACAGTAACTTATTCTATTTTGTCGCACTTTTTCATTAATTATAAAAATTTGACTTTGATAACGAGCTTGAGCTTGAACTCGTGTGGGCTTAGAATAAAAATAGCCTTCTTCAGTTTTGGTGTTTGCTTGCCAATTCTAGAGCTCTGCACTCAATTTTTAGAATAGCTATGACAGGCATAAATTCAGAGATCAGCTCAATAGTTCAAGAAATTTGGAATTAGAGCGATGAACTTATGACGTGGCAGAATTAGATGTTTCTCGATTTTGAGAAATCGGAATTTTTCCTGATCCCGTAAAACTACTATAAAAATTATAATCAGCCAAAAAGCCAATTTTTAAACATTCAATTTTTGAACATTTCTAGGATTGTAATCCAACAAAATCTTTCAAAAACATTTTCAATGATCTTTTTGATCAAATTCATCCACGTCATAACTATGAAATTTCGGAAATTAGCTAGAAAAGTTCTTCTGTATTGTTGCCACGTCATAACACGAAAATCCCAAAAAATCATAGCTCATCCTATATACAAAAAAACGCCTTCTCTTTTGTTGCGTTTTGTGTTAAACACTTTTTGCGAAACCTTTTGCCCGGTGTATCGAATTTCGTTCATCATTTTCACCCAAATATTTTGATACATCTTCTTCTTTTTTCAACACACAAAATCGTAATCTTCGAGATTTTCTCTTGATTTTTATTTTTTTTGAAATTAAGTGTAGTTTTAGGTAAAGTTAGGCTAACTCTACCTTACCGTATTTTTTGAAGAATGCGACATTTTGTGTGCTTTTTGCGTCTACAAAAGTGTCGAATTACAAGTTGAAAATTATCCGACTCTTTTCTCGTTTTTGTCCTATTTTTTGCTCGTTTCTCCTGCTCGGGAGCGAAGAAATGTGTCAATGTAAACATGGATGAGTTTTCAACTTTTTTTTGATACATGTTTTTTTTGAAATTTCGAGCTTGGAAAATTTGAAAAAAAAATTTTCTGTATATTTTTGCCCGAATTCTGATTTTTTTGTTTAACCTTCGTCATCCAGATCCATCTAAAGTCGGATTAGAAAGGAATAGGTATATCTGTGTTTGTGCTGAGATTGAGAAATAAAAATTATTCATTTTTATTTTATTTTTAGTTTTTTTCTCCAATAAGTTTTTGGGCCGAAATTCGAAACATCATCAGATTTTCAAATTTGGAAATCAGAAATTTTTGAGATCAATTTTTTTCGGTGCCAAAAATAAAAAAAGTTTTCTGTGACGCGTATTGTTTTTGATTACCTTGATTATTTAGAGAACATCACATTTTAGTGGTATGGTATGCAAATTAGGCTCCAAGGGAACTGGGATTTCGGTAGTTATTTTTCTTTCTGATAATCAACCACAAGTTCTACCTCCCTCTAGCCACTTTGGGAAAATTTTAATGCTCAAAGAACGGCGAGCTTTTTTGCAGAAGCTTGGAAATTTTTGATGAAAAAAAAATTTGACTGAATGATTTTAGTGTGAACTTGATGATTATTTGAAAACTAGAATCTAGTTTAAATAAGAAAAATCTTTTGGAAGGTTTTCAATAATTATAAAAATTTCAGAGGACCTCTGAAGTGCTCTGAAAAATCTTGAAATCTCAGAACATCTGTCAATAAAAATTAACAATTCACTTCAATATCCCAATCAGAACTTATGAGCTTCTGAAGATTACTTAACTCATCTCAAACATCCAAGCTCACTTCAAAATACCAGATTATTCAGGTTACCTAGACATAAACACAAAAAATTCTCAATGAAAGTTTCCCAATCTCAAAACACGTGTCATAAGCGAGGGTTAACTCGGGATAATCGCATAGAATATCTACGTAGATTCTCTCTCTGTGAGCACATATCCGATTAAAATATATTTTTCGTCCTAAAAACCCGTCCTGAGAATATTTTTAGAATTTTTCGGGAATTCGTCAGGATTTTTGAATTTTGGAAACAATCAAATAGAAAGGAAATAAATAGAAATAAAAAGACTTATCAGCTTGGGATACTGTAGGCATTTAGAAATGAATAACAAAACGAGAAATGGATTAGATGACAGATTTTCGACAAATCTTATATTTCTTTTTGCTTTTTAGATTGATTACATTTCTATTTTCATATTTTAATGTGAAAAAGTGGCAGAAGAAAACAATTCTGAAAAATTACTGTAGGATTTTTTTTTCAGCTGCTCTCTTAGCTTCCGAATTCAACAATGAAATTTGAAACCAAGATCCTAGAGAACTTCCACGTGGATTTTGTGAACAGAAAATCACTAAATCCACGTGGCACCAAAAAAAATCTGTTGAAGTGTTTTTTGAAAATCGTCTAGTGCACTTCTGAATCATCAATGTTTTTTGATTCTTAAAATAGACAAAACAAAATGTAATTTCTCCAATTCTTGACGTAACCAAAACCAAATCTTCAAATCCTCTCTACATTTTTGTTATTATCCGTAATATTTACGATTGATAGCGCGAAATATTATCAAAAAAGAGAGGCGGAGCCACACTGCCTTTTACATATATCTACAAATGATTTTCTGCAATTCCTCAATCACAAATGAATTTCTCTCGTTTTGCTCTCTTGAATTCTGCTGAAATCTAATTTTCACTTTCAGACTCATCTCGAGAATAAAACATGATGCTCTCTTCACCAAAATCAGCTTCGTCGCCAACTTCGCCAGGATCACAGGCTCAGCGATTTTTCAGTCAAGGAAAACGCATTCCAAAAGGTTGGTTCGGAGTGGAAATAGGGTGGATTCAGAAGCCACGTGGCATTGTCTGTCAGACATTGGAACTCAAAGGGTTGAAGGGAAACTATAGCTGAAATCCACGTGGAATTTTCTAAGAACTTTGTGTTCTGTGAAACTTCTAGAAGCCAAGTAGAGTTCTGTAGAACTTCCAGAAGCCACGTGGATTTATGTAAAACTTTTAGAAGCCAAGTGGAATTCTGTAGAACATCCAGAAGCCACGTGGATTTCCGTAAAAAATTTTAGAAGTTTCGTGAACTTCTGTAGAACTTCCAGAAGCCACGCCTGAATTGCTCCCAGCCAAAAACTCTCCATTTTTCAGATGTCAAACGTCACTGCGGAATGTGTAAACAACACGGTTTGCTCGTCGAAACCCGCGGTCACACCTGCGGCTACAAATCCTGTCAATGCGAGCAATGCGAGTTGGTCCGCAAGCGCCGTGAAATCATGTCCACACAAATCCGTCTCCGCCGCGAGCAAGACAAAAAATTCCAACGGACCACCGACGCTTCCGAGGCGGATATCGTCCCGTGGACCGGGGAAATTGGAGAGGCCAAGCAGATTCCGGACAATATTAACATGTGTTATTTCTGTCAGAAATGTAAGAATCATGGGATTCTGATGTGGAAGAAGGATCATAAAAAGAAGTGTCAATTCACGGATTGTCGATGTGAACAATGTGATTTGATTGATTCAAGAAGAGCGTTAGATCGACACATCAAGAAGAGAAAATTAAGTGATACCGGAACTCTCAAAGCAGAATCTGTTGGCTCAAAGAGCCCAAGAAAAGAGGAATGCTCATCCGAAGAATCCTCCTCCTCGGATTCTTCATCTCTTTGCGGTGGAAACCTTCTCACCGTCCCAACAATCTTCAAAAGATCCACATCGAGTTTGGAAGCACCTATATCACCAACAACTGCGCCTGTCACACCACTCAATTTCCCGCTCCCACTTCCCATGTTTCCCATTTTCCCACAAGCCCCGCTACTCAACTTCAATCCTTATGCGGCGTTTTTGGGAAGCAACCAGCAATTCTTCTTCGATATGCAGATGTTGTTTCAGAATTTGAATTGTTTGAATGAGATGGCAATGCGGAATAGTGAATAATATGTGTCTGTAACATTATTTTTTTATTTTTTTTCGAAATTTTTTTCTTTTCCCTGTGATTTTTCCTCTCCCCAAAAAAGCTTCTTTAATAATTTATCTTTTCCCATTTTGACGCGGGTCGCTTTATTTTTCAAATAAAAATTTTACAAAAAAAACCATCAAGAACTCTGATTTTTGAAATGTGAAGTCTCTGGACAATTTTCAGAATTATCAGAAAAATGCACTCACAATCAAATTAAAAAATCCTTTGAGATTTTTTTACAACTGGAATTTTAGAACAATATAATTTGTTTTTGAGAGAAGGATAAATGATTCTGATTTTTCAGACAAAACAAATCAGATTATCAAATTGGGGGAGAACTTCAAAATTTTTTTGTTTTCAACTCACCTTATCAGATTTCCTGAAAAGAATACTAGAAAGGTCCAAATTCACAGCGAAATGTCAAAATTTCCAGTTGAATCCTGAAGTTGATGTCAAAATTGATGTCTTTAAGTTGATCGGACCATCCAAAACAGAAAATATCTGAAAAATAATAGTTTCAAGAAGTTCAACATAGTTTCAGAAGGAAAACACTTCAAAAAGTTGAAAAAAAACTGAAATTAATTTTGAAAAAACCCAAAAACTATGTATTTCCACAAAAAAAGTTCAACAAAATTTCAGAAAAAAATCACTTCGAAAAATACAATTCAAAAATTTGAAATAAAAACTAAAATAAACTCAAAAAACCCCAAAAAAACTATCTATTTCCACAAAAAAATCTAAACACAAAAAAAACAAATATTGATTATTTGGAGACGCCTCAAAAAGAGAAGACATGCATGTGCGCTCTATTGCAAATAATAAAATGTCTCAACAACTTTAGAACTTTTTTATTTTTTGTCGTTTTTTTTTGTTTTATCGCGTTTTTACTCGAATTTTTTGAAATTTTTGAAGTTTCAGAGGATCAATGGAGCTTGAGGATAGATTATGCTGGAAGGATCAATGCCGGAAGCAACTTGTTTGTGAGTTTTTGGGCACTTTTTTTCCAGTTTTTTAGAAACATTGTTCCCTTTTTGAAATAAAAATTGTTTCAAAACCAAAATGTCAATTCAAAATTCCAAAATTTCAAAATAAATAAATATATGTTCTGTTCAGCTCTCTTAATCATTCATTCGCAGTCTGTTTCTCGAAAAATTAATGAATCTTTTTGCCCTTTTTCATGCGGGTTAAACCACAAAATATGTCAAAAGTCATCGATCAAAAATTTGCTGTTCCCCTTTTTTGTCAAAAAGCTCACAGGGTTTTTGAAAAAGGGAGGCGAAATTGAATTAATCAAACATTTTTATGAATTTTTGGTGACATTTTTGGGGTGAGATTGTGGTAAACAAAAACAAATCAAACATTTTTATTTAATTATTTTTAATTGCGTGGGATTATAAGATGAGCAATGCCATTTTTGACAAATTTTCTTGAAATACAAATTTCAAATTTTGATATCAGCTTTAATTAGAATTTATTTTTCTAATAAAATTCTAGCCATGTCTGTCAATTTCAATTCAAATTTTCTCACAAATTTTCAAAACCACAAAAAATGTATTCTCTCCAGGAAATTGAAATTAGCATATATACGAGATATTGTTCGTTTCTTCATTTTTCATTTTGTATAAATTTTATTATGAGATGAAAAATGAAATGTGGTGTACATAGTAGTAGTAAGGAAAATGTGCATAATCTTCCCGCCTTTTTGTGCATTCATTATCAAAACGCATCTTTTTTTTTCGAAACCAAGAAAAAATGAAAAATGTGCAGAATGTTGTGAAGTGGGAAAAATGAAATATTGGGTTGTCAGCAACATTTTCTAGTAGTTGAAAATCCCTGAGGACAGATTTTTCCACAACAAAAAAAATACCCAAAAATATTTACCAAGAAATAAATAAAAGAGTAATCGTAATAATAGGTTTTTGTTTTTGTATAGTTTTTTTGGAGAGGAAAATTGGAATCTGAAAAATTGATTTGGAACTAGTTTCTAGAAAAGCCACGTGGCAAAAAAAAATCTGAACATTTCGAACAATTTCTAAAAAACAAAGAAGTTTCACGTGTGATTTTTTTCACTTTAAAAGAAATCCAGCGTCCAATTTTCAGAAGTTTTTGTGATGCAGAATTGAAATTTTAGATTTTCAAAAATAATTTTTTGCTTCATGCAAGGTTTTCTGAAAATCTGTTTCTTTTCTAGTCAAAATATTGCCACGTGGATTTCCAGTTGTCATTTCGAGACACCTTCCCCCTGAAAACAATGCCACCTGGATTTTTCACAAGAAAAAAATCCCAGATTTTTCCCATGAAAATTATATAGTTTATTAGTTTTTCATAAAATTATTTTTTTCGAAAGGAAAAAAAAGTTCTCACGCTATTTTTCACCTCAACTCATAAATAAAAACATTACTCATATTATATATTTTTCTTGAAAATCTCAATTTTCCCATTTCATCTCATCAAAAAAAATTGCCTTGACCACCGCCAAAAAGCGAAAGCGAAAAAAAGAAAAATATGGTGGTGAGCAATTAAAAAATGTGCGCAAGTAGCAAATTCGGCTCAAGAACACCTGTCCTCTTTTTTATGGATAGCAAAAAAAAAATAATACGCTTATTTCTTTCCAAAAATCAATTGAGCGCAAAATTGTGGCACCAGAATGGCGGCGAAAAAAATCATCTTGGGTGTATATAAAACCGGCTGGTGATTTTTTGGCGGTGGTTCCGGAAGGAGGCGACAAATTAGATGAACCTTGACAAAAAACAATTGGATTTTATTGGCTTTTTTTTTGAAATACATACATCTGTAGATAGATGGATTTAAATTTTTTGAGGTTGAAGAATAACCTGGGAATCTTTATTTTGAAAAATTGTACACCGTTTTTGGGACCTGAATTCACTAAATCTTCTGATGAGCTCGAAAAAAAAAATGTATTCTAAAGAATGCGTCGAAAATCCACGTGGCACCTATTTTTTAGGAATGGAAGGATTTTCTAGGTTTCAAAATTAAGCTTAATTTCTGGCAGAATTTGTTAATTCATTAGTTCAGTCCACCTTGTTCAATTGAATATAAAATTTTCAAAATCAAGGTTTTCAGATCTTTTTGTAGATTTCAGAAATTCTGAAATTAAATAGAAAATTCTCAAAAACTTTTAAAATTAATTTTTAATTTTCTAAAAAAAAATTCAAAACGTTCATCAATCTTCAAACTTTCACCAAAAGTTTCCTCCAGTAGAAATCCCTCTTTCCTCAAAACCAGTCTTCAAATCCCGAATCCCCCCTGTCTAATCCCTATTCATTTCAATTCACCTGATTAAAAACCTCCCCATTTTCTAATTCTAATTTTCCTCAAATCCCAAAATGCGCGAACCTTTTGCCCCCTAAAATTAGCAGCATCTGCTCTCCCCTGTTTCTCTGCACCCTCCTCTCCATTTTTGCACTCTCACCCGACTCCGCCCATTTTCACTCATTTACCCGCTTTTTTGCCACCACTCATGGTAGTTTTTTCTATCTAGCTAGAATTATTTTTTTTCGATAATTTCTCCATGAAAAATGCTAATATTCACTATATTAATTACACTAATTAGCCAATTAATTAGTGGCAGCCAAGAAATTGAGATTTCTTGTAAGCCATGTGGAGTGCCAGCCAAGTTTGGGACAATTTACCTGGCCCCAGGTCGACCTCCTTGTCTACATCCAGGCCAGCCTATTTTCTCATGGCCTGGCGGCTTGAAATGTCCAGTTTTGGGACCACCAACTAGACTTTGGAGCCCGAAAATTGGGCTTCTCGAAGAAGAGAGTCTGGTTTTGGCCAAGGAACGAATTTGCTTTTTCGATGGTCCCCTCAAAATTTCATATCAATATCAATGTGAAGGATCGGAAGAGATTTATTCGTCGGAGATGAAAATCGGGCATCCTAATTTTCCCGACCGGAGGAATTTTGGGAGGGTGAAGAGATGGGCAAGACGCAGGAATCCTGATGCAAATACGGTGCATTTTCAACAGGACAAGTGAGTTTTTGTTTTTGGGAGCCCAAGTTTCCGAGTGTTTATGAAGCTCGGGAACTTGGGAAATCGGGAAAATTCGAGGAACCGGATTTCTTGGAAGTAGGAGCTTTTGGAACTCATTCTAGAAATTTTTATGAAATTTATTTCAGGACCAAGATTTTTGAAGTTCAAAATTGTTGGAAAAAGATTGAACTTTTCTATTTCAAAAATTAATTTCAGCATTTTCTGTGAACCTCAATTTATAACCAAAAATTCATTCATTTTCGAAAAAAATTCAGACTAATTTTTTGGAACTTTTCCAATTTCCTGTGCAATTTCAGCAATCTGAACATGAAAATTCTCTGTTTTTGAATGTTTTTGTCTGAAAAAAATTCTGAAAAACATTTTTCAGCTGTTCCCAAAGTTCACAATTTCTCATTCCCCCAAAAAAACTTGAAACCATCTCAAATTTCACCAAAGCTCTTTTTTCCAATCCAAAAAAATCCTTATTTTTTCTTGTGAACTTTATGAACTCTCAAAATGCTCCAAATCCAAAGCTAAGAATATCCACAGTAACCAAGCCATATTTGGTCTCAAAACGCTCCAAATTTCCAGTAGATCAAAACCAGGCCCAATTTTTTTTCAGATATGTCCGCGAGTTGCCTGAAGACACTCCAATCGACACCATTGTCGCCTCAGTCAAAGCCACCCATGCCTCCAAAAAGACCCTATATTATTCAATGGTCGCTCCACAAGATTCCAGGTCTCAGAATCTTTTCACACTAGATACGGTAACTTTTTCAACATTTTCTGAGCTCAAAATCAACCCCAAAATCCCATTTTTCCAGACCTCCGGTGAAATTCGCCTCGCCAAAAGTTTAGACCGTGAAACGTTGGACAAACACATTTTGAAAGTCACCGCCTATGAGAGGACCGAACCTACAGTACTCGCCACAACTACTGTAGTTGTGCATGTGTTGGATGTTCAGGATAATGTGCCGATTTTTGAGAAGGATTCGTATTTTGGGGAGATTCGGGAAGATGCGCCGGTAGGTGGTTTTTTCGGGTGGTAGATCAAATTTTTCTACAGTAATATGTTTGGATTTGTTTTTGTATTTTGTAGATCAAAAATTACAGTAGTCTTGTAAATTGTCTGATTTTCTGGTAGATCAAAACTTCAATATCTACAGTAATCGTGGAGGTACAGTAATCTAGAAAAATATCCGAAATTCAGAAAAAATCCTATTTTTCTCTAATCCTCTTCTCTCTCATCTCATTTTCATCCATTTTTTTTGCTGACCACCAACAACCCTCATAAAAAACGCAGGCGAAATTGAAATTAAAATTCTCGTCGCCGAGTCAATTTTTTTTTCTATATGAAATTGCCCTTCTTTCGCCTGCCTGCCTGGCTCCGAGCCAAAATGAGCAGGCAAATTTCGTAATTTTAATTAAAACTATACAAAAATAAAAGTGTGTCGTATAAATTTTGAGTGGCGAGTTTCGAAATCGCGTGTCAGAAAAACACTTTTTCCCAAAAATTTTCCTCAAAAATAATAATAATAACTCTATGAAAAAGGAGGACTAATAATAAATCATGCAACATTGTTGTTTTTTCACTGCACTCTCTCGACATGCCGTGCTATTTCGCTTTGCACAGGACGAGGAAATGACCATCTGTCATTAGGAAATTGCCATATTCTCGGAACCCTCTCCCGGAAAAATATGGGCACCTAAAAAACTAAAATGGGAATTTTCCGTTGAAAAATTAGAAATCTTTTGGTAAAAAAAAGTAACGAAAAAAGTGGAAGGGGGAGATTTTTTTGTAAATTAAATTTGGGATGAGTTTTGACTAACTAGCTATACTTTTTTTTGGCTCGGAATTAGCCAGGAAGGAAAAGTCGGGTTTTTTTTGGGAAAATTTAGAAATTATGGTAGATCATATGTTTGATAATTCAACAATTTTGGAAGTTGTTCAAACTTCGAATTTTCAAAGTTTTGGAATTTTTCCGGTTTTTTAAGACCTTCCTGATTTAAAAAATGTTCATGATCTCCATAAGAATTCCAAAGTTCTCGAATCCAGGAGGTGTAAACCTGGAGCATCGTCAGAAGTCTGTCTTCTAGGTGGAGTGTTTTATTTTTTGCAAGCCCCAAGAGCTCAAGCTCAAATAAATAACACACAGCCATTTTTTGCAAGCCCCAACCAACTAATTCCAAATTCATTGGCCACTTTTTTCTCGTGGCGGTCATCGGAGACCCTCTTCTCATCTCATTTCAATTTCCTCTAACTCATCATTTTGTTGTTTATTGGAAGAAGAAGAAGTAGCTGGGCTGAGGCTATTAGTTACTTACTCACTTACTCATTTTAGTAGTATTATTTTTGAGAGTACAAGTCTCTAGGCTAGTATAATACATAACATGTCCGCTCCATGCTTCCCTCCCCCTAATTATATATTCGATGCTTTTCGGACATGCTCCCCCCTACCACAAAAAGTCGTTTCCCCCTTTTATGATATGTGAGGGCTAGGCAAAATGTCTTTGGTTGGAAAATGGCATATTACATAACATATAACATGAGAATGGGATTTACATTGGCTCGCGAAGCAAAAAATTAGGGAGAAAATTAGGGAAAATTCAGGAATGCCGAAGCCAATGAATTTGGAATGAGAAAAAAACTACTGCTTAATTTATTTGGAGTGGGATGGTTGAAGTTGTACTCGGAAAAAAGTGGACTGGAATTTAGAGTTTGAACTTAAAGTTTAGGTGTTATGAAATATCGGTTAGCACATTAATATAATTGTTATTAGCAGTAGAAAATGATATGAGAATTGGAGTTGCGAAATATTTGAAAGGGAACTTTTTAAAACTTGAGAAGAGAACGAAAACCACCGAAAAAAAATCGGAAACAAAATTTTAACTGAATCTCTAGAATCTTTGAAGCCATGAAAATATTTAAATTTCAGTTAATCAATTTGAAAAATAAAGAGCTCTCTCAAAATTCCACAAGACATATTTTACAGATTGGCACCACTGTTCTCTCCGTCTTCGCTCGTGACATGGACGCCGACGAAAACGGTGAAGTCGAATACAGTCTAGCCGACGGCGATGGCAAAAACCTGCTCTCAATCAACCCGAAATCCGGTGTTGTTCAAACAAGCGCCCCCTTGGATCGAGAAACCCTTTCGATCATCAGATTAGATGTGATTGCTAGTGACAAAGGAACACCTCGCAAAGAATCCAAGGCGTTTATTGAGATTACTGTAGTTGATGTGAATGATAATGCTCCAGTCTTTGAAAAAGATTCGTATAATATTACGATTTCGGAGAATATCACACTTCCAGCTGTGATTTTAACAGTGAAAGCGAGTGATATTGATGGAGGTCAGAATGGAAAAGTGCACTATTCGATGGCTTCAGCGAGTTCTGGAATCAATATTGATTATTCTAGTGGGCAGGTTACTTTGAGAGACCGAATTGATGCCAAAAACTCACCGCTCACTGCAATTATCCGAGCCAAGGATGGAGCTCAACCTGCTCTCTCATCTACTGTAACCCTAACCATAAATGTTATTGATATCAACGATCATGCTCCAAATTTCATTGCCGCTCAAAAATTGATCACTTTGGAGGAAAATGTGGCGATTGGCGAAGAAGTTGGGCGAGTTTATGCGATTGATGAAGATAGCGGGAAGAATGGAATGGTTTCGTATTTTTTGGAGGGAGCTGAGGATTTTATGATTGACCGTGAGACGGGAGTGATTAGAACGACGAGGTTGTTGGATCGAGAGAATGTGGCAAAGTATAGCTTGAAGGTGAGAAAAACTAAAAAAAAAAACAAAAAAAATTAAGCCACCTAGGGGACTCGAACCCCTGACCTTAAGATTAAAAGTCTCACGCTCTACCAACTGAGCTAAGGAGGCCACATTTTTCGCAGTCTAAAATTTCTAATACATTTCAGATCACTGCGAGCGATCAAGGCACTCCACCCTTAAACACATCAACAATCATCAGTGTAATTTTGAAAGACATCAATGATAATCCGCCGATTTTCGAGAAAACTGAATACAATGTGACGATTTCTGAAGAACTACCAAGAGGAAGTCAAATCATCACCCTCAAGGCTAAAGATATTGATGAAGATCAGAAGATTAGCTATAAAATCGAGGAGACGACCAGAGATATTTTCAGTATTTTGGAAATTGGAGAGATGGGCGCAATTTTGAGTATATCCGGAGAGATCAGTAGATCAGATCATTTGATTCGAGTCGAAGTTTCGGCAACAGATCAGGGAAATTTGCAAGGCCGGTGTGTGGTGAATGTTTTTGTCAGTGATGTCAATTCGGCTCCGGTTTTTGTGGATCATCCATTTTCCGTCAAAATTCCTGAACATTCTCCGATAGGATATCCGGTTATTGCGTTAAAGGTGAGTTTTTTCTGGGAAAAAATGTTGCCTGAAATTTTACGTTTCAAAAATTCGATTTTTGAAAAAATTGAATATATTTTTTATTGCGTAGATCTTCCACAAATCAATTGAATTACAGTAATTTAAAGGTACACAATAAACATTTCATGAAGAAATCTACAGTACTCCCCCTCCCCCTAAACTTCAACATTTTCCAGGCTATTGACAATGATCGCGACTCCAACGCCGCCCTCACCTACACAATCGACACCGCCTCTTCGGAGCACTTCAAAATCGATGCGACGAGCGGTGAACTTGCAGTCGCCCGCGATTTGGATCGCGAAGATCTTGCGACTTTCACAATTCAAGTGACCGCTACAGATCAAGCAACACCGCCGCTCAGCGCGACAACTCAATTGGAAGTTATTCTTGATGACAGTGAGTCTTGACAAAAAAAGTTAGCCCGGGTGGGGTTTGATCCATGGCCTTGAGATTGAGAAGTTAAACCTTACCCGCCTGAGCCAATCAGCCACGTTTTCACTTAGCTTTTGTTTTTGTTTTTAAAACTGACGAAAAGAAAAGAAAAGTGAAGTGGATTTGAGAGTTAGACTAACTAGATGAAAAAGATGAGATAAAATAAATTGGGCGGTAAATCTTTTTTGATCTACTCGACTTGAAAAGCATGTCAAATTAATTTATGTATTTGTTCATAAAAGGGTGTGAAATAAAGGGTGGAGGAGAAAAGACAAACACGAGTTAGCCTAAATGACAGATGTTTCGAGAGCTAGCGCTTGTTTACGGAAATTCGGTATTTGTATTCATATATGTGTATTCAAAGGGGAATATTTGAATTTGAAATTGAATGGGAATGAGAAAAGCAACTTTTTCGGGGACATTTGAAAAAAAACCACAACCTCAAAATTTTTCCAGTCAACGACAATGCTCCGCAATTCACCTCTTCCTCCTACGCCGCCACAATTTCTGAAGATATTCCAGTCGGAACTTCGTTTCTCCAAGTGTCAGCAATCGATTCGGACATCGGTGCAAATGGAATTGTTGACTATTTTTTGAATGAAACAGGGTTGAGCGATGTTGGACAATTATTTCGATTGGACAGAACTTCGGGAACTTTGAGGGTTAACTCGAAATTGGATCGGGAAACGCATAAGGAGTGAGTTTTCATTTGGGAAGGGTTATTTTGATTTTCTGGTGACTAAAATTCATATCTGCTCGGTTAAAGTGGTGCGCCATTTGGGGCGACGTCGCATGCTAAATTTGACAGAAAAATTTGATGCGACGTCGCCCGAAATAGCGCCTCAATTGATGCACTGTTTGGGGCGATGGCGCACATTCCGGCGCTATTTCGGGCGACGGCGCTCACTCGCACTACGGTAGGAAACAAAGTGTGCAAGCATTTTATATGACGCGCACCCTTTTTTTTTCTTTTTTTTTGGGCGGCCTCTTTTTTGTTTGTGTTTTTCGAGGGTTTTCAGTATTTTTTCAAAAGAAATTGTAGTAAAATGATGAAAACCACGTTGATTTTATCTTTTTATATGTTATTTGCTGCCGAATAAGTAGAAATCTCAGCTCTATTAGGGAGAAAATGATTTTCGAAAAGTTTTGTCATTTTTCGATGTATTTTTACAAGCCGTAATATTTTAATAAAGTATTCAAATTTACGAGAAATTTTCCGGCAAGATTTCATTATTTTTACGTGAACATTAGACGTCATTTCATTTTCAGTTAAATTCTTGATCCTAGAGTCAGTTTTTTGTTTCTCTTTCGACCCAATGGCAATTTCCTATTCGTCTGGCTTGTTTCTGCGATAAGATAGTTTTCAGATAACCGGAATCGGAAGTACGACAATAAATAACCAATACAACATATGGTGGCGTCACAAAAATCATTTTGTTTTGCGCGCTCCTCAGGTTTGATTTTTATGTATTGTCTTTCGAAAATTCAAAAAAATCGTAGGTTAACTGATTGATTCTAGATTGGAACAATTGAAATATCATGATCAACATCGAGACGGTCGAAATGGAAACAGATCGAATGGCCAATCGACTAGGAAAACAAAAGATGGTAAGTGTTTTTCGATATGAATCTCGAAATACAGACAAAATACATAAAACTCATGGTTTTCAGCTCGAAAACTAGCATTTCTCTCGAAAATCCCTGAAAATCGCGATTTTTCAGCTGAAAATTGTGATTTCCAAGGATTTGGGCAGAAAATCTGAAATTTGGCTTGAAATTTGAAAGTTTGCCTTGAAATTCACGTTTTTTTTTGGATGAAATCGCAACTTTCTAGGTGGTTACTAAGCCTAATCCTGAAGTGGTGTTGAAATTTTGAAATAATTCTTATACTTTCAACATCATGTTCAGGTTTTGGACTTAGACATAGCAAACCCCTTAGAAAGTTGCAATATGTTCCGAAAAACATGAATTTCAAGCCAAACTTTCAAATTTCAAGCCAACTTTCATTTTCTGCCCAAAATCCTTGGAAATCACAATTTTCAGCTGATAAATCGTGATTTTCAAGGATTCCCAGCAAAAAATCTGAAAAGTTGCTCGAAATTCATGTTTTTTCGCGAGAAAAAAGTTTCAGCCCAAAATTAAGAAAATTTGGAATTTGCAGCTTTGACTTGACCCGGAACCTTGAACTTTCAAATTGCAAGGTTTCCAGCGAGGGAAAAGCTGGATTTTCAATCAAAAATGATGAAAATCTTGAATTAAAGCAACACCCTCGTATAATAGGCACTTTCTTGAAAAAAGCCCAAATGTTCTCAAATCTTAGATTTAGCTTAGTTTTACTGTTTTCTAGTTTGGAGAAAAAATTCAAAACGTTTGAATAAGTAGTCGCCGAAATATGGAAGCCCATTGAAAAACTGAAAAAACTCAAATTCAAACAACGCGGGCTAGCGTCAACGCGGAGTCTCGTTGTTTTCTTTTTATTTTTTCGCAAAATTTTTCGGTTTTTTTCGGAAAATGACAATTTGCATGGAAAAAACTGTTTTCTGGGTATGAAAAAAATAAAGTGAAGAAGTATAAACACGAAGATTCAATATTTCAGACGAAAACTAAATTTTTCAATGGAAATTGTGTTTTTTCAGTTTTTGACCGGAATATGCAATATAAAACTGAAATATCATTGTCAAAAATGAAAGTAGAGATAGTTAAGGATGTTCAGAAATCATTGTTATAATTTATTTCATTGTTTTCAGTGAAACAATTCACTTTTTGTTGAAAAAAGTTGAAAGGGGTACTGTAGCACACAATTGTCGTCACAGTGTTTGCACAAATTTCACGAAATTGCGGATCTGCACAATCTGCAGGCGATTTTCAAAAAAAAATAATTTTTTTTTTCAAAATCGGTCAAACTTGATCGTTTTTGAGTATTTCTTTTTCATATTTCTTGTGAGCATAGCTGGATAGGTTAATTTTATATATTTTCGTGTTTGAATGCATTCCGCAATGGCCTTATTATACGAGGGTGTTGCTTTAAAGCTGGATTTTCAGCCAAAGTTCTAGAAACATCCAAATTTTGGGCCAAATCAGACCGTATTTTCAGGAAAATCTGTAATTTTGGGCCCTGAGTCTGGTTTTCAACAAAAATCGGAATTTTTGACAAAAAAAAATGGGAAAAATTTGAAATTTCAGTCAAATTTCTAAAAAAAAATCCAAATTTTGGGCCACATTTCGATAAAAAGGCCAAATTTTTGAAAAAATCTGTAATTTCGGGTCCATTTACCTTTTTTCGAACATTTTCGCAAAAATAGTGGACACGTTTTTGTTGACTTTTCCTCAATTTTCTTTCATTTCGAAATGGATTCAAAAATGAGCACCGAGTTTGAACCACGAGTCAACAAAGCTCAAATGAGTTCTATTATTAGAAAATTAGCCTAGATAAGCCGAGTTTTACTGTAGTTATTAGAGTATAGGAAGATTATGAAAGTTCATATCTTACAATTCGCAGAACTGCTTCGCTATGTTTATACCAATACCATTTTTCAGATTGCGGCACGAGATTTTCAATCAACAACAAGCTGCCGCAGAGTCAATAATAATTATTTATGTTATAACTTCTGTATTTAGAGTAAATAAATATCATTGTTTCAATATGTGATGTTAATTTAGTATTCAATTCAGCTTTTCTAGCGCTTATCGAGCTTTTTCTGGTCCAAAAACGCTTTTTCTAAGGTTTGCTGCGCTATTTCGAGCGCCGGCGCGTCAATTTATGCGCTATTTCGGGCGACGGCGCGTCGTTCTGATGCGCCATTTCGGGCGACGGCGCATCATCTGAGGCGCTGTTTCGGGCGACGGCGCCCGGCTGTTTGATGCGCCTATCGCCCCAGATGGTAGCAACAGCGCCCCAGAAGTCAGCAAGTGGCGCATCACTTTATCCGAGTGGTTTGATAATTCGAAATATTTTTGAAACGTATATTTTTTGGTATTTTTTTAAAAAGTTAAAAAAATTATCTGAACATTTTTCTAGTTTTTTTAACACTAAAAACCCCCCAACATTTTTTCCACCTAACTAACCTAATTATAATGATCTATCCATTATTCCCACACCCATACACTTACAGGAAATCACTCACCCCTTCAAAAAATGTACCTAATTCACATTGTACAATAATAATAATAAATGTACATTATCCAAAAAAAAAAAGCAGGGGTCATCCTATAATTAATTCAAGAGCCCCCCTTCCAAAAAAAGGGGGAAAGATTACAACATCATGTAACAATAGAGATTTTTTATAACACCTGCTAGAAAAAATACACAGACACACATTTTTTGAGTTGAGTGGTTTTTGAGGGAGGACACATGTTGTGGGATTTGGGGGATTTTGATACTGAAAATTACTCGAATCTTGTGAAATGCACTCGTCAAACAAATGCACTTCGAAATATTTCTTCAAGTGGATTTTTTGAAACGTAAAAATTGTTGGATTTTTTTCTAAATCTAAATCTTGAAACCTAAATCTGGAATCCTGGAGAATTTGAGTTGCAAAACTAGTTATGACGTGGCATTTTCTGGCTTCTATCGAACCTCCCTAATCCATTTTTTTCCAGAATTACCCTTCCAATCTACGCAAGAGATCGAGGCTCCCCTGAACTATCTTCATCTTCCTTGATCACCCTCACTATCTCCGACATCAATGACAATGCTCCAACCTTCGAACAATCGGCCTACGATTTATACATCGCTGAAAACTCGCCAATCGGAAGTGTTGTTGGAACAATCATTGCGAGAGATCCAGACGATGCCGAAAATGCTGAAATTGTTTTTCGAATCTTTGGAGGATCTGATGCCAAGCTTTTCGATATTGAAGAGGATGAACTGCAGAATGGGGTGGTTAGAATTCTGTCGCGAGCTGAATTTGATTATGAGGCGAAATCGAACAAATTCTTCTTTGAACTTCAAGCTTCGAGCGGGCAATTGTCTTCGATTGTTCCTGTTCGAATTCATGTTTCGGATATCAATGATAACAAGCCGATTCTGAAGGATTTTGTGATTTTGATGAATCGATTTGAGGATGCGAATTTGCCTGGACAGATTGGTTTTATACCAGCGTTGTGAGTTCCATTTTCAAAATTCTTTCTATCTTCTTCTAAATAATATTTTTCCAGCGATCCCGATCAAAATGCAACTCTCGAATATTTCCTCGAAGAAAACGACCTCATCGAAGTCGAAAAATACACTGGCAAAATTCTTGTCAAACAAGAATGGAAACGAAATATGGACCTCAAATTCAAATCTTGTGTATCCGATGGTCCGAATACCGAATGTGCCACGTGTCGCTTCATCCACGTCATCATCGAACCAGAATGGCTGAGTGAAAGTGTAACAATTGCGATGAGCGGCTTGAGCTTGGATGATTTTTGGGATCCGATGGTTTTCCAGAGATTCAGAGATTCAATTTCAACGTTGGCTCCAGCATGGAAATCGGCGGATGTTCATATTATTTCTGTCAAACAGAATTCTGAAGATCAATTGTATATTTCGATTGTTGTTCTGGAACATGGGAATCATGTTGTCAAGTGAGTCGCTTTTTTCCAAAGATCTCAATCAAGCTAGATACATATATAAAATATATGAAAATCTCGTTTCTGATCAAGATAATTTCTATCTGTCTATAGACCAGTTTTTTTATATAGACCAGTTTTTTAATAAGAATTCAAAAACTATGACGTGGCAATTTGAAAATAATTTATATCTCCTAACAAGTACAACAATAACAAAATTACGTTGCCTGTTTTCCACAAACGACATTCGTTGGTGTTGAACTCACGACACTCGCATGCATTCCAATAATCTGTGGTCCATAGGCCTCATCCAGCCAAAATAGAGCGTCACCATAATCAGAATCTTGAGCAGCTGCAAAAACTTGAGTACCTGTAGTAAAGCCGTCGCTCCAAGTGTAGGCTGTTTGCAAACTACAAGTCGCTGTTTTCGTGCAGACCGATGGGGCTGGAAAACATTTGGAAAGTTCTATGTAGAATTTATTTCCCATCACTCACTTGAACATTCACATGCAGTTTTGAGAGTTGCGCCCAAAAAAACTAAATCGACGTTTTTCAACGTTCCGATAAGCTGCATCTCCTCGTCGTTTTCGACAGATGAAATCACACCGCCAGCCATGGTGCATGTTTGCTCGGCTTCGTTTGCAGTTGATACCTCCAAATTTATAACCTTCATACACCATCCGCCCATGGTTCGCACAACTGTTGTCCAACCATCATCGCACACCCAGACTGGAAAAATCTTTTTTCGGAGCTTCCAGACTCTTCTAACTCACCCCTTTCTGTGGTTGTCGTAGTGGCTGGGGTAGTTGTAGGAGCCTGGGTAGTTCCAGGTGTAGTCGGTTTTGCAACAGGTCCCATTTTTGGGTGACATGCTTCACATCCAATAGCAAGAGCTAGCAAAAATATAGCAAAGCGCATAATGATTTCAAAAAAAATTTAAAAAAATCACGTTATTTGAGCGCTCTTTTATATTTGATTTTGTACGAGACACAAAAAACAAGTTAATCAATGAAGCGCGAAAAAAATGATCTTGGATATTTATGAATTAAAACGAAATGAAACTTGAAACTTGCTTATCTTGTGATAAAAATGATCTTATACATAGTTTGACCAATGAGGAAGAATAATTTTTTTTGGAAAAAAACTTGATTTTTGCAGAGGTTGGCGAATCATCGAACTCGTCAAAGAGTCGATAAAACGTTTGGAGAAAATGACATTGCTGAAAATGGAAATCATTCGAGATGAATCGTGTGCCAATGAGCCGTGCCCGTATATGTCAAAATGCCGGCAAACTCAAAAATTCGTCGGAGATATGACGACTCATGAAACTGACAATTTCATCGCGAGGACTTTGAATACTATTAACACTTTTGTTTGCGAATGTCCCAGTGGATTTACCAGTGAGTTTTTCGGGGGAGCTGGGAAGAGGTGGGAATTATCATGAATGTTTTCTCAGGCTCAAATTCAACTCAACAATGTGATACTCGAATCGATGAATGTTACAAAGGACAATGTTTGAATAATGCCACGTGTCATGCTTATGAGTCAAGTTATCGATGTGAATGTAGACCTGGATGGATTGGTGAGTGAATTTTTCTAGATCAGAAATTAAAGAAGATCCAGCTGAAAATTTAGATATTCTTGAATTTCAGCACAAAATTTATTTCGCTTTTCCAACAAATAAAATTAATTGAATCATCATAAAATTTCAATAATAATTTTTGTGTGCTGCACAAAATTCTCTAATTTAATTCCATTTCATTTTCATTTTAATAACGCGATAATTGGACAGATGGGGAGTGGCTCTTTGAAAAATATTATATGGAATAAAATTTTAATGGGGAAAATGGGGGAGGGACTTTTTTTAGTAGGAAATGGGGAATTTGGATGATTTTCAGGATTAAAAATTTTTTTAGCACGAAGTTTCAGCTATAAACATTTTTTTTCAAGATTAAAATTTTTGATCCACAAAATTTGGAATTTTTTTTTTGAAATTTTTCTTCAACTTCAAAATTCGAATCTGATTTTTGATCTGAAAATTTCCGCTCATTAATTTTCAGCACAAAATTTTCAAAAAGAAAAATCTCCCTTTAAACTTCCACAACCCCGGAATTCCTCTCCGGAACCAATAAACTCCAAATTAATGTGAAATATTCAAGGCCGTCACTGCGAAATTTCAACAAATGCACTAACTTGCGTGCCGGGTTACTGTAGTTCGGATGCGATTTGTGAACTTCAAAATTCGGGACCATCTCAATCCCGAACTCAAATGCAATGTAAACATTGTAAATATGAGCAATCGGATAGCGATGAAAGATGTCGATTGAGAAGTTTGAGTTTTGATGGAAATTCGATGATTAATTTGAATGTGGATTTGACGAGGATTCAATGGATTTTGGAGTTTAGATTGGCGACGATTTCACATAATGGGATATTGATTTTTACGGGCGATCGGAGAAGTGATTTTGTTGAGATTTCGATTGTTGATAGAGTTTTGAAGGTGAGTATTCAAAGAAGATTTTGATTCAAAGAAAAAAATCCTCCAGAAAAATATACGCTTCAAAATTTGTTTTAAAAAAATGTATATCATTCATTTCTGGTCTTTTCAAATTGAGATCTTTCTGAATTTTTAGAAATGTTTATAATTCTTCGAAATTCAATTCAATTTGAGCCCTCATATAGGATTTTTCAAATTGAAAATTCTTGCCAAAATTTCCGAGTTACAGTTTTTCAACGATTTTTTTTCCAGGCCCAATTCTCCCTTGGCGGTGAAAAATCCGACATAAAAATGTCGGAAATCGACATCTCAAATCGAGTCAACGACGGCGAATGGCATCGTGTCAGACTAGAATATTCAAATAGGGTAATTAACCTAATCCTAATTAATAATTAATTAACCTAATCAATTTTTCCTTCCAGCAATTAACAATGTCTCTCGATGATTGTGAAACCTATTCCGGTTGCGAAGTTCGTGCCAAACTCACCCTGGAACCAAAATGCCGTGATCCAACTGTTCCGTGTTATCGATATTTGGATGTTTCTAATGGGATCTTCCTTGGAGGCCGACCTGGACATGCCAAGCAGATTGAAAAGGCCTACGAAGGATGTATCTCGGATCTTTATGTGGATCAGGAATTCATTGATTTCACCGGATTCAGAGAGATGCATAAAGTTGGAAATGTCAAGGAAGGCTGTAAGCCAAAGCGAGACTTTTGCGCCGGGGAGAAACCTTGCGCTCAAAAATGCACCAACAGATGGAATGGGAAGGAATGCACCACTGGTGTGAGTGGTGGAGTGGTATCACTTTTCGAGGAAGAATCATTTGTCTTGTATGAGCCACGAGGATCGTCTTTGCCTTTTGAAGTATCATTCGATTTCCGAACTTCTAGAAGTGATATGCAGATTGTGGCAGCAGAATTTAGCCAAAGTTCGCTTCTTCATTACAATCTGCAACTGGATGATGGCAATTTGCAATTCACAATTGGTGATAACACCATCTCGATCCCTGCACCATCTTTGAAAAATTCCGAATGGACAAGTGTCATAATCAAGTTTGATATCACCTCAATATCCACGTTGGTCAACGGAGTTCACAGCGCTGAAACCACCCTGAAAGATGATTCGTTGACCCTGGAGAAAATCTATTTTGGAATAGCTCCCGGAACTGGTCATCCTTCGAGGTTCGAGGGATGTGTGAGGAATCTAATGATTGATCGCAAACCAATTCAACCGGCCAAGAAAGGAAAAACCCGACAGAATTGTATTGTGCCAAATCGCTGTTCAATTGAGCCATCGATTTGCCCCGCGGATAGTGTTTGTCAACGGAAATGGAATCGACATGAATGTAAATGTCATAAGGGATTTATTGGGGACACTTGTCAGCCGATTTGTGCTAACCCAAAGATCTGCTCGAATCAGGGAGAATGCATAACATCTATGAATTCCACGAGTGGCTATGAATGCATCTGCCAACCTGGAAGAGCAGGAAAGAACTGTCAATTCGATGCTCCTCTCCAAATCTGCCCAACAGGATTCTGGGGAAAGTTCCCACGGTGTCGAAAATGCTCGTGCTCGCCCAGGAAGGGTTACGAGAGCCAATGTGACAAAAATACCGGAGCTTGCCAATGCCAAAAGACCTATTTCTCAACTATCAATGGATGTGTGAAGTGTGAATGTGGAGTGGGTGCGGAATCTGCAGAATGCGATGCGCAGGGATATTGCAAATGTGCTGGAGAGGCGGTGGGAAGGAGGTGTGATCGATGTGCGAGGTTTGATTATGTAAGTTGTTTTTTTAAGTGTCGACAATGAGTCTGAATTTCACCGCATAATCTGATTGTTTGCAGCTCCTTGACGCTAAGACCCTCAAATGCAAACACGCCCCATCGAAATGCCCATCAGAAATCGAATACAGTATTCAATGGCCAACCAGCTCGAAAAACGCAATAGTTCGACAATCTTGTCCAGCTGGAGAATCCGGTTTGGCCACTAGAAAATGTCTAGAAAATGGAAGATGGGGAGATGTGAACTCGTGGAATTGCACAAGACCGGAATATTCGATTATGGTTAACAAGTTTGATATTTTGGAACCTTCAAAGATCCTCGCAATGATCTCGAATGCCACGATGAACGAGGCAACGATCAGGGGAAGAAATCAACAAATTGCCGCGGAGGCTTTGATTCGTATCGTTGAACATGAGGAGAAGATGAAGATCAAGAGCAGGCAACATGTTCGAGACATGAAATTCAGCAGAGAACTTGTTGATGCGATGGGCAAAGTGATGAATGAACATCCTGTGGAGGATTATAACTACATGATTGCCAAACTTTGGAGTTATGCAAACTTGGTCTCAGAAGCGCATAGTTCTTTGAACTTCCTCCCACCATTCTTCATTGCTACGGATAATATTTTATTTGCAAGTGATAAACTAGACTTCGGCAATATTCTCCCAAAATTCAATAACTTCATCGACACAAGACCCAGTGGCTTCCCCAATGTCAAAGCTGTTGTTACCGGAACTACCCAAGTCGTCTACTCGATTATCCCATACCCAAGATGTTTGAGATGTGAAAATCCGATGGTTCTAGTGATCGCCCAAAATTCCACAGATCCAATTATTATCGAATTTCCAATTGACGAGGAAGATGGTTGGAAATATCCAGAATGCGTTAAATTTAATGAGAAGAAGGGAATCTGGAGTTCGGATAAATCAATGTTGATTGGATTGAATTTGACGCATGCCGCTTGTGAATTCTATGAGAATGGGATTTTTACGATGTTTGTTAATGATGAATCTACTACGATTGTTCGGGTTGCGAATATTGAAACTATTCATTCACCAATTATCGCGGCAATTGCTCTAGTTTTATGTGTGGTTTCAATTTTGCTAACTGTTATGAGAAGAACATTGAAAAATCATTCGATACGAATTGGATTTATATTGTTCTTCGCGATCAATATTTTAAATTTGTTCTTTGTGCACAAAACGGCGGTTAACCAGGTAAGAATTTTAAGGGCCTTTTAAGGACACTCTCTAAATTTTAAGGCCCCCCTCATCCCTTTCTATTCCAGGCCTTCTGCCCTGTTCGCAACGCTATGCTCTCCTTCACCACCTCTGCCCCCTTCAGTTGGCTCTTCTTGCACAGTCTCTTCATCTACCGAATGCTCTCCGATGTTTCCAACACACCAAGTCTCACCACAACCCTATTGATTGGTATCATCTTCCCATCCCTGATCTCATTCACCACATTCCTCTTCACCGAACAATGCTCACTCTCACCAAGTTTATGGCTCTTCTGGTTCATCATTCTTCCCATCGGCATGTTCTTGCTTCTCTCATTTTATGCAGCGGCCACCGCCATTTTGGTGTCAATGCATAAGAAGTACGATGTCTTCGTGGCGAAATACAACGTGAAACGTGCTGTCTGTCAACACTTCTTCCTCACAGCTCTCACACTTTTCATGACAATCGCCGGACTCTTTGCAAATCTCTCAAGCTCCCTGAATTCTGAGATTCTGGAGATCACTCAAAGCTGCTTCTATCTACTTGGCGCTATGGTAGTATTCATTTGGAGTATGTGTGACATTGGTGGAAATGAGAATGGCGGAGATGGCGCGGAGATGTGGCTTGACCCACCCGCAGGAAAAAGCATCATCATGACAGAAAGTGTGCTGATTGGCGCGGAAGTGCATTCACCATTGCTTCCTCGTCCCGATTGGCATGAGAGCCCAGTTCCATCAATCCACCGAGCTCCAGCATTACAATCGAATCACATTCTATCACCAGCTGACAAGATTCTCAACGAGGGAATTGGACATGTCTATGGGAATCAGATGGGAAGTTTGCCACGTTTTGCGAGTGCACAAGATGAGGCGGATGATGCGTATTATACCTACACATCGACCAAACGATATCAGAATTCACACCAGCCACGGACTTTTAATAGGGATTAGGTCAGGCCTAAAAAATTGTTTTGTTGTAAATATTGATTTTTATTATCTTGTCACTTATTATTGATTTTTGATCTCAAATTTTGTACCGATGAAATTTAATAAATTATTTTTAATTAATTATTATTGAGCTTTTCATATGCTCTAATTAGACAGCCATTCCGTTCTCATTAATTATCGGCCACATCATATGACCCATCATTTTCACATTATTGCAAAAGTTGTCAGATTGTGTCTGCAAATATTAATTTCAGAGTTCGGAATTGCCACGTGGCGACCATACCTTACAAACACCATCTGGTGCCAATTTCGCCACGCAAAGACAATATTCGGCGTCGCAATTTTCTAGCGTCTTCTTCTTGTGAACATAACACCAGCCGTGGGTTTTACAGCATTCCTGGTGATGAGCTGGAAATTTTCAGATTTTCAGACGAATTTTTGCTTTTAAAAACTCACTCAAAATCGAGGGACAATCGAGTTTTGTCTGAATTTCCATCCAATTGTTAGTGATCCCATCCAGACCGCAAAAATATCTCGAATCCACAAAATTCAAATTCAAAAAAATTAGAAAAACCAGGAAAACTTGCATTTTTATTAGAAAGTTAGTCTAACTTTTAGTAATTTAATTAGATTTTTATAATTTTTTTTCTGATAAAAAGTAGGTTAGGAAAAGGGAAATCTTATTTGATAAGCTTGTTTTTCAGGATTTCTGGAGAACAAATCAGAAGCTAGTGGGAGCTGAAAATTATTGAAGCTGAAAAACTAAAAAAAAAAAGAAAAAGGCAAAACCAAAAAAAAACTTTTGCTCTTGGAGGTCAGATTTGACACGTGGTATTGTGAACTTTTCGCTCGAACCAAAAAAAACTAATGAAATTTCGAAAAAACAGTGTTTGGTTTCAAAATTTCACAAAATTTGTAATGTAAAAAATCTCACGAAATCCACCGAAACTCATTTATTTCCATCAAAAACTCGAATCACTCAAAAATCCAGCAATCACCACGAAAATCATCCAAAAATCCAAAATTCCCGCTCCATTTTTTCTCGCATGTTTCAATTTTCTCTTCCCATTCCACAATTTCAAATTAATTCGATGTCTAATCATCAAATTCTGTTGATTCGTAGCTCCTTCAATTTGCAATTTCATTCCACTCATTTTCTCAATATCCAAAATTTGTGCCAAATAATCAATAAAAATGTCATTTGAATCCATACAACTCCATGATTTTGGTAGAATTATTGGAAATATAAAACTCAAACTTTTCATTTCTTCAGGATTTTTACATCTGGGCGGATTTATTGATTTCCAACCATTTTTTGAACATGATAAAATTATTCGATAAAAATGTGTTGGATCTTCATCTTTATCTGCAATTCCACTTGGATCATCCATTTTTCCATCATAATTTGAATCAATTGTTGTTCCACTTATTATAAATAGATTTTTGTAGGATTTCAAATATTTTTCAGTCAATTTATCGAGTGGAATGAGAATTTCTAGAAGAAAAAAAGTTAAAAATTTGGAAAGGCTTCTCCTAAAAACTCACTTTCAACAAAACCATCGGAAAGCTCAAAATACGTATCAGCCAAAGTCTTTCTCACACTAATACTCTTCGAATTCTTCAAAAATTTACATTTTTCTTTCTTATTTCCGGCATAATTCTCATCATAGAATCGCAAATCCGCTCCATTGTTAAATCCAGATTTCTGTGACGTCATACCCTCAAAAACAGTCAAAACTTTCGAAAAATTCGGCGTGTTTCACAATATTATCTTGACAATAACTTTCATAGCAAAAATTGTTGGAATTTTCAGAATTGAAAGGGACAAATGGAAGTCTTTGACCAGTTTTGCTACATTTCAGAGTTGGTCGGGTTTTTGGTTTTCCACAAGATTTTGGTTTTTGAGTGTCGGAGAGCATTTCACATTCTCTGGAAAAAATCGAATATTAATTCTGGGTGATGCATTTCAAGCTCAAAAATCACTCACCTAATATGTTCCTTTAATTCGACCAGTTCCTTCCTCGGTTCCACCAGAATCCTATCAAAAAATCCCAAATTCCCATCATTTTTCAATTTCTCCTCCTTCGGAATCTCGAGCAAATCGATAAATAAATTCATCAATTCCACATTTTGAAATGGCTGAATTCGAGTGTCTTTTTTAATTCCAGGTCCTCTTGCAAAAAATATGGCATGCATAGTTTCCACATTAAAATCATAGCCACTATCTCCTTGATTTCTCGGATTTTCCGGTGAAAATGTGATGCCCGGTTTGCCTTCAAAGATAATTTTTCCAATATTTGAATTAATGACCCTCGAATATTTTTTGCGATACGGCATACTTTGCCAATTATGCACTCTGATATCATTTTTCGGACACGGCATTTTATCAAAATATTCTTCCTGTTCAATTGTATTCTCCGTTTTCCAATGGATGGATCCGAACAATTCCTGATTTATTAGAATATTTTCTCCAAAATGTATTCCAGATAATCTCGAGGATATTGCTATTGTTTCATTGAGGTGTTGCATTCCTAGAGAAAAAATTATATTAGATTTTTTCAGGATTTTTGGGCCCCCGTTTTTATTTTATGAAAAAAAATATTTTTTTTCCGATAAAAATATTAATTTTCGCAGTTTCCGTCACTTTTTATGAGTCATTGTTATATTGTTTGCTTTAAAAATCACGGCGCGCTTTCCTTTACGTCGCCTGAACAAAACAACCGTCGAGAAAATCAGGATGGGGGCGGCCAAACGCGCTCTATTGACACATTCGCTGGCAGCGACACAATGTGTGTCCGTATCAACATTGCCTAAATTTTTTTTCTTTTTTTCAAAAAAAAACATTTTTCTCTTTTTTTTTGGGTTTTGGTTTGTATTTTAATTTCAAATAAAATATTTTGTTGGTTTGGCTTTGCACGAGGGGAGAGATCTGGTTGAAATCGTTATTTTTGTTTTTTGTTTCGTGATTTCGTAATAATATTCTTTGAAAAAACGCAAATTCACAATTTTTCAGTTGGGAAATCGGTGGTCAAAGTGCCAAGTGCGATTCAGTTGGGAAATGGGTGGTCAAATCGTCAAGCGCATCTATGAATGTGGAACAGCGAAAGGTGAGTTTATTATCCCTTCAATGTTTCATTTGGAAAAAATCAATATTTTCAGATAAGAATTTGGAATAAAATCTGGATTTTGGAGAAGTTATTAGCTGATGAAAGATAAACGCTGAATGCTGATTAGAAGATTGATGAAAAATTGAAGAGTGATTAGAAGAATGATGAAAAATTGAAGGCTGATTAGAAGATTGATGAAAAATTGAAGGCTGATTAGAAGATTGATGTAAAATTGAAAGCTGATTTGAAGATTGAAGAAAAATTGAAGGCTGATTAGAAGATTGATGAAAAATTGAAGGCTGATTAGAAGATTGATGAAAAATTGAAGGCTGATTAGAAGATTGATGTGAAATTGAAAGCTGATTTGAAGATTGAAGAATTATTGGATGAAAGTGAAAAACGTGCCTATTGGTTGAAAGAGGAAGATGTTGTGATATAATTTGGTCAGTTTTTGTTTTTAATATTTATGCTAAATTAACATTTAAAATTACATCCCATTCATAAAATCTATATCAGAAAATCTGTTGAAAAAAATAATTTGCCTTAATATCTGTCTCATTTGTTTTTCTTTGTTCCTTGTTGACTCAAATCTTCTTCTCAGTTTGTTGAAAAATGCGTGGAAGCTTTCTATGGACTGTTCACACATTTTTGCCCATGTTCGATGGAGTTTCGCAAAAACAGGAACGTGGGAGACCAGAATATGCAGTTTCAATGTAATAGTGTCATAGGGCAAGGCTTTCTTGAGTGGCTCTATCATTTCGAAGATAGTAGATTTTAACTCTTCGATTTCACCATCCGAGAAAAAATCAGAATGGCACATCCTTTGAAGACTGCCCAACTTGCCAATAAACTTGCGAATATTATCTGTTTTCTCATTCGATGGGAAGATGGACATATATTCATCGATGGCAGTTTCCGATAACAACTTATATACATGGTTACCCGAAAATGTTTGATGCCATGCACTCATATCGGCTCCAAGCGAACTCCAAGTTTCCTCAAGTTCTTTTCTCTTTTCACCCATACCATCGACCACAATTTCTTTCAGCGTCACATATTTCTCTCCCAATGTCTTCATTTCTTTTTCTAATTCTTCTAATCGCTCGTTGATCATAGTTTTTGCGGTGGTGGCTGCACTTTTCAGGAGCGCAGGTGTTGTCAATCCTGTGCAAGTAGCACATGTAAAAGAGTCATCGATTGGATCATGGATCGAAGCTCTTTCATCTTCAGTCCATATAGCAGCACATACCTCGTGCACTTTATCCTCACATATATCACATTCAAACTGTGGCAACTGTTTGGAACTGGTGGTCTTCATTGCCTTATCTTTATACAAACAAAACGATGCGCCACAAATTGCTGAACACTTGGAAGGTTGAATGGAATTTGAAGCGATATTGTCAAGAGATTTCATAACATTCTCAATATTTTTCAAATCAGCTTTCCAAGTAGCTGTTATTCTTTTGGTCTTCTCCATTGTTCCTTAAAAATATATTTAGGTTGTTTTAATAAGATTTCGTGTTACCTTTCAATTTTTTCAACTCTGAATTGTGTTCGCTGATCTTTTTATTTTCATCTGTCACCACAATTCCGGCAGTTTCCAAATCAATAACATGAGCCATATCCAGTAGCACATTGAATGCATATTTTTGTGCCAACCCCATTATCACATGGAGCGAAGGCGGAATCACATTTTCCAGAGGTATCCAATAAAAAACAACAGATGAATCTTTATATATTCCTTTGGTTCCTGTTTTTGCACATGTCGCCAAAGTTTTCAGTGTTCTTAGTGTATATTCTTTATTCGGGTCGAAATCGGCCAATTTTGATCCATCTCGATTGATATGAAGGCATAAGGGACAGTTAGAGCTAGAGGTTGCACCTTTGTGCCCATAAACTGAACACAAAAACTTCATATCACCACCCAAAAATTGTTCAACATCTTTCACCACTATCTGACCATCGACCGAAAACGACACTTGTTTGAAGTTCTTCAACTGTTCGAGAACTTCTGGACAATATTTTCGAAGATCTGCAGCCGTATCTTCACCCTCAAAAATAACAAGTGGTAGCGCGTGATAGCAGCTGTTTGGATTATGCGTGTCTCCAAAAATTCCAATTAATTTTGTCCATCCGCCTCCTTTATCACAAAACACACCAAACATAACTTTGCCTTTGCCATCATCACGGAACATGAGTTTGTTGGCAGCTGCAAGTGCTGACAATCTTATCGAAGCCATTTCATCCAAATTTTTCAATAGTCCGACAACATGTTTTTTACCAGTTTCTGGATCGACAATCAATTTGACGTCGAACAATTCATCCTGGCCAAAAATTTTTTCTAGTTTTTCAATCGAATATCTGGAGGGAAACACATCGAATTTCAATAAATGTCTCAGATATTTTTTCAGCTTCGCTTGTTTTTGCTTTGAAATTCCTAATTTGTGAAATACATAGAAGCCCTCCTCCGGTGTTAACTTGAAACTTGCATCGATCTCATCACTTCCAGATAATTCTTTCAATAAATCGCGCAAAAATTCACCACATCCTCTTGGACCACCTGCCAGCTTCTTCACATGCTTCCACAGGAATTCTCTTCGCCTTTTTTTACTTGCTGCATTCTTGACAGTGCCATAATCTTTCTTGAACTTTTCATCTTCTGAATATTGAAAAATTAGCGTTTTAAAAATTTCTAGAATTTATTACCTCTTGCAAGACATTCTCCTAGCAAATTTTCTAAAGCTTTCAGTTGTTTGTCTCTTGTTGACACTATATCTCTGTGATTGCGATTTAACCTCTGCGAGTTTTCAAGTCTTTTGGATTTCTTATCCAACTCCTTTTCAGCTTTATGTTGTTCCGATATGGCCTTATCTCTTTTGAATTTCCACATATTCGACATGTCTCATCAATTCGATGTTTTCCCTGGCGGCTTCTCTCAGAGTATCGTTGGAGTCTTCTAGATTCCGCTTCATTTTCTCCATTTGATTGCCAAGATGCTTTTTTGTAATATCCAACTCTCTCGTGACATTTTCCATATTTTGAGTAGTTTCTCTAGCCACAAAACCCAATTTTTCGATTTCCATTTTATATTCCATTTCTCTTTGAACAAAATCCTTTTTTTCAGATTCATGCAACTGCCTGGCCAAGCGCAAATTGTTCCGCATTATCGCCACGTCATTCGATCTAATAAATTTGTCACCTTTCGATAAACCATTTTTCTTCATTTTCAGACATTGATAAAACAGATTCTTCGCAAAATTACGCCATTTTTCAGCTTTTTCTTTCTCGGTTTCATAAAGAGCTTCAAAATCGGGTACAACAGAATCGACTTCCATTTGCGCGAAATTAATTTCGAAATGATAATTTTCAGTCTGCCTTTTGTCATTCTTTTTTTCGCGTTACCGTAATCTTTTCGTTGCGGGAGCAAAGCGAAGAATATGTCCCTTTATTAAAATTTTTGAATTGCCGCCAGGCTCCGCCCCCTCCCTGCGTCCCTCCCTTCCCCCTATTTTATACTCTGCTTCTTTTTATTTTTTTTCTCAACGGGTGTTCGCGTAAAGGAAAGCGCGCCGTGAAATTAGAAGAACATCAAAAAAATTATTATTCTAAACATTTTTTCTGAAAGGCGCTGAAATTTTGGTGAGTACTGTAAATGTAAAAAAAGCGCTGCAGGTCCCAAAAACTCGTTGAAAAATTGCCACGTCATAAAAAATAAAGAATATCCGATTTTTTTCCAAATAAAAACGTGACCGAAATGACGTGGCAAAATTCATAATCATTTTTTTTAATTTTTGCAAGAGCCAAAAACACCTCACCATGATCCGAAACAATCACCAAATTCACACAATCCAAAATGTCAGCCTCCCTCAACTTCTTCATAAAATAATCCAAATCCTCATCAATATTCTCCAACTCTTTTTTGACTCTATCAATCTTCCCGTTCTTCATAAAACTCGAATATCCAATTCGTTCCAAATCTGAATGATGCGCCAAAATCAAACCGGTTGCCGCCTGCTTCAAGAGCTCCACAATTTTGAGAAGTTTGCCACGAAGTTTTTCATTGGGTTGGGGGTTTTCGAATTCTTCTGCATCGACTGAAGACTCATCAATTCCAGGCCATCCAAAAATCTTGATTTTCATCTGCTGGTTTTCCACTTTTTTATATTTGTTCCAAATCATTTCAGCACTGCTATTCAAAAACTTTCCAACCATTGATGCATTTCTAACATCCACAAATTCTTTGCTTTCTTGATCATAGATTTTTTCATCAATAATCCCATGGTTCTGTGGATGTAAGCCGGTCACAATGGAGAAATGATTCGGATAGGTTAGCGATGGATAAACTGGATACATTCTGCTGGATTTTGCACCACAGGCTGCTATGTGATCGAATGTTTGAACAATATTGTAGTTGAGATAATCGGCGGCGAAACCATCTAGACTTAGGATAACTAGCGGAGGTTTGGTGAATCTGGAAATAGATAATTACTGGGTCCTGCCACGAAAACAACTCACTTTCCACATTTCGGAAGATCTTTTCTTTTATCACACCCGCGCCACGAATATTTTTGTGAATAGCAAAGACAGGGCGCGAAGCACAAAAATATGAAAATTAGATTTTTGAGCAACATTTTCTATTTTCTAATTTTCCAAAAAACAAAAATAATTCAAATCCCCCTTCCTTTTTCCGAAGTCTCAAAAGGTCACGTTTTATAAAAATTCTTTTTTTTTGTCAAAAATGAAAAGAACTCGGCTGAAACTGGAATTCATTAATAAATATTTCAAGACTTGTTCGTGTTCAGAATTTTTTTCCGCCTTTTTCCGTGGGGCTGAAAACTTTGTGTTAGTGAGCAGGTTTCTTCAGACCAATCCTTTTTTGTTTATTTACACATTTTTCTTTAAAAAATTCGTCAAAAAAGCAAAGAAAAGAAAAGAAAAATGTTTATTTTCGCCCCAGAAAAAAAGTGGGGAAGAGCCTTTTTTGGAACTTTTCCATATTATTTGAAAAGAATGGGAAAATTATTTGATTTGATTATATTTTGCCTATTCTTTCAAAACATACCTTTGTTGTTTTCTTCCTCCATTTTTCCTTCATTTTGATTTCTCTCGATGAAAAAGTGAAAAATATTGAAATTCTGCAAAAAAAAAAACTGAAATGATTCAAACACCTGTGAGTTGCGCGCGCCGCGCGTTGCGAGACCACACACAAAACCTCATTGCGCCTTGAAAAAACTACTGTATTTACGCGTTTTCATTTTTTATTTTATTTTTTCATCATTTTTCATTCCAGCTCCTGATGGAGTCGCAGAAAGAGGTTCAATATATTGCATACAAGGAAAGATGGCTAATATTGTCAGTTTGTTGTTTACTAGCACTATCTAACGCCACGGTATGTTTTTCGTTGAAAAATTAGAAGAAAATCAAAAAAAAATGTTTTTAGCAATGGATGTCACTTATGGCAATAGCCGGTCAAGTTAATACATATTATCGTGGTGGATCTCAAGACAGTACAACGGTTTATGACGTGGCATTCATAGAAAATCAAATTTTCCAACTCGTCTGCTTTTTCACAGGATTTGCTGGAATGTGGATAACGGATAATTGGGGAGTCAAGGTTTCTTGTCTGATGGGCACAACAATCAACCTGATAGGTGCCTCAGTACGATTTGGCGCCTCTTTTCCGCAAATCAAAAACATGATTGTTCGAGAGACGGCTCTTCACATTGGCTCTTTTATCGCCGCACTTTCGCAGGGATTTTTTCTGGTTTTACCTTCGAAAATTGCGGAATGCTGGTTTCCACAAGATCAGCGAGCTATTGCCAATGTTTTGTCGTTTGTGGCGAATCCGGCGGGTGTCGCGTTGGGAACTATTATACCATCGCTGATTTTTAGCCCGACACTTGATAAGGATTCGAATTTGCCGGGGTTTTATGTGAGTTTTTTTGGTATTGATTGGGATGTGAAATTGGAAAAGGGGAGTTAGCAAACTTGGTCTATTAAACAAAATAAGATTTGAAATGTCTAGAAACCAAAATGGGCCGGCAACGGAAATTTTGAGCACTTTTAAAAATGTTCCAAATAAATTGATGAATGAAACTCAAAAATGCACTTATTTCAAAAAAATTGAAGTTGAACATAAATTACAAAAAAATAAAAGATTTATTTCGCCGAACTATTTTGGTGGCCGAGAAATGTCGGGAATTCGGCCAAAGCAACAAACGCGCTCCAACAATGAGCATTTTTGCAACATTAGAGCGAGTCCACAAAAAATAGTTCGGCCACTTATATTTTTTATTTTTTCTGAAATTTACATGTTCAACTTCAATTTTTTGTGTGCATTTTTAGTTTCATTCATTAATATTTGAACATTTCTAAAAGTGCTCATAATCTCTCTGAAAATTTCAGACCTTCGGAATGCTTCTCCTCGCTCTCCTCCCATTCATCCTCGCCCTTTTCATCCGTCGCAAACTTCCACCAACTCCACCCTCAGTCTCCGCTTCAAAAGCCGATCATAAATGCGAAACCGGTTTCATCGGCTCGATTATCGAATGTCTCACCACATTTCAATTCGTCATACTTCTCATCAATTTTTCGTTAGCCTTCTCTGTGCTTTGGAGTCTGATGATCTCACTGGAAGAACCACTTATATCTCGAAAATATCAACTTCAAGGATATCCGACAGCTGTCGCAGCGATTATTGGAACAATTTCATCGCTTATCGCTGGACATGTTGCTGACAAAACTCAGGCTTTCAAAGAGATTATACGATGTTGTGCGTTCGGTTTTGCACTATCTGTTATCACTTTGAGGTTGTGGATTGAGAAAGAGAGGAATTTCGGGGTGATGGATGATGTGGTGGTTTTAGTGTTGTGCGGATTTTGTGGCGCTTTTAGTATACCACAATTTCCGATTGGTGTTGAGTTGGGAGTGAGTTTTTTAAGAGAAAATTTTCATTATTTTGTGGTAGAGAGCATTTTCACTATGAGAAAGCTGTAGTTTCAAATGCGCTCTACCGAGAAAAATTATTATTATAAAAAGGTTTTTCTTGCTTCGAAACTTGAGATAAAGAAAGTGCGGTCTAGGCCAAATTTTCAAAATCGAGAGATTTTTTTCAAATATTTTTCCTAAGCTTCTGAAATAAGTGCACAGAAAATCTAATTTTTCACGCTTAAGGAATCCCGAAGAATACAAACGCGCTCCACCGAAATCCCTACAAACATGTTTTTTTTCAAATTTCATTATTAGAGCGTACTTTCCCCGCTTTTTTCAAAAATTCCTTTTTATTCTCCAGGTCGAAGCCACGTTTCCAATCCTCGAAGCAACATCTTCCGGAGTTTTGGTGGTTTTTGGCAGCGGTTTCCTAGTGCTAATCCCGATTTTACAAAACACCCTCAAAAAATATCCGATTTTATATGAGGAAAATTGGAAGTGTGAGTTTTGGGTTATTTTTTTTTTGGGCCCAACAAAATTCCCAATTCTCTCTTGCAGTTCCTCTTGATGTCCTTTGTGGCCTTGCAGTTTTTGCCTTCATTTTATCCGTAACATTGTTGCGTCCAACGTATCGACGACTCGAATTGGAGCACACAAAAATCGCGAGCCCCGAAACCACACAAAGCTCAATTTCAGTAACTGAAAAACGAGATGATTCAGAGAAACTCGAGTAACAATTTCACTCACACTAACTAGTCGACCAAAAATTATTATCGCATTGTTTTTGAAAAAAACACACACTAACAAAAATATGTATTTAATATAGAAATAGGTTCATTTTTCCCCTGTGTTTATAGATTTTATCGCATTTTTTTTTGAAAAATAACCAGTATTTTTTCCCCGTTTTTTTTTTTGATTTGTCAAATTCGATTCTTCTCTGTAAAAATACACACATATCCCATGTCAAATGAATATTTTCGAACTTCTAGAAAAAATGGCGCTGAAAATTGCGCCAAGCTTCTCAAATGAGCAAGAAGAATTTAAAATTTATCCGGAAAGATGGTGGATTTTGGCCACGTGTATGACATTGACAATGGGAAATATTATGGTGAGTGTGCCAGGGTTGCAGAAAGTGGGCGGAGCTTAAAAATATTCATATTTTCCAGCAATGGATGAGCTATTCCGCTTTGATCCAAGAAACAAATCAATATTTTTGTGGTGAAATGCAGTGTTCGGCCTCATTCTTATCCAATCAGATTTATCAATTGGTTGCCGCACTTTTTTGTGTTGTTGGAATGTGGGCCGCGACGAAATTGGGAGTATTGTATACGGTAGGCGGGTACTGTAGGTTACCTGAAATTCTGTTTTTTTTAAGCTTCGAATCTGCGCAATGCTGAATTTTCTGGGAGCTGCGATTCGATTGATTTCGTCGATTCCATGGATTGAGAATTTTGGAATTCGAGTTGCGATTATGCTTTTTGGAACTACGGTAGCTGGTGAGTTTTTTTACCAGTATTTTTTCAAACTTCAAACATTTGAGTTTAACACCCTAAATTGCTCCTAATAAGCTAAAAGTTTATTTTCAACCCGCTTAAAATAACCCAGACAAAGCGTGTTAGTTCTCAGAATAACGGAAATTATCTGAAAGTTCAGCACAGTATTCCAGATGTTATTTATGGCTCTCATAGTTTTTCTATTTCTGTGCTCATTTGCTTTTGAATACATATGGCACTAAAAATCCACCAAATTGCTTCAATAGTTTGTTGTGTTCTAACAACATTCACAAATTTGATTCTGATTATCACAACTGCTTGGTATATTAGGAAAAAGTTTGGGGTTTACAAATATCTTATCATTATTTTCTCGTTTCTCGGTATTCTCTACGATGTTTTTGGATTTGTTCTATCTCCAGTAGGTTTTTTCAGAAAGATTTCACAAAAAAAAATCTAAACAATGTTTTTTTTTCAAATGGTTCACTCATTTGATTGTGGATTTCTATTCTTCACTCTAGTACAATCAAATTTTATCCCACTAAATCTGATTCGAATATCTCTAGCAATATCTGCAAGCATTCTTATATGTCTAGTATCAATGTTATCTGTAATGTTCATTCATCGATATTTTTCTGTTGCCAAACCTGAGCAATTATTTCACTTCCAAGGAAAAAGATTAACACTTTGGCTAGTTTACTCGTTGTTTTTTGGTGTTGTTTTTCTACAAATTGCTTTTTTATGTTGGAGATGTCGATGATTTCACAAGAGACTATGCAAATAATGATTTTTTGATATATTATGGTGTTCGTGTCGATGATATTGCTCTTTTTTCATTACTCATTTATGACACAAAATATCGATGGAAACCAATTTTTCTAATTATTTTTATCACTTTGACAATGGTAGACCTTCTACATAAATTCAGAAATAATTTTTAAAAATATTCTAGGTTTTGCAAAATTCCATAATCATTTTTTGTGGAATCAAAATTCGCAAAAAACTTTATTCTAAAACAAGCACATATTCTCCATCTCTCCGCAAGTTACATCAACAACTTTTCAAAACTTTGATTTTCCAAGTCACAATTCCAACATTTTTCATAATCTTGCCAGTCTTCTCCATTTATTATGCTCCATTTTTTGGCCTCAAATTGAGTGCTACACTCAATAATGCATTTTGCTTGCTTTATTTGTATCCAGCAATAGATTCGATTTTGGCTATGTATATTATTACAGATTACAAAAAGGCTCTGAAGGGTTAGATTCATAGAGAGAGAGAGAGAGAGAATTGTGATTGTCAAATTTACAGATTTGTTCAATGACTTTGTATATTTTATGAAATGCTAGTCTAGAATTTGCCAATTAAATAAGTATGAAACTTTGTAAGAAAATCCCTAAAAAAATCAAAAAACTCAACTTTTTTTCAGCATGTTCCCAAATGTATTTCGTCATCACCACAAAACTCGCCGAATCCTGGTTTCACTCGGAAAATCGTGCCAGCGCCAATGTCGCCTGCATGAATAGTGTCCCTCTCGGAGCAGTTCTCGGCTCATTTATCCCATCTCTAATAATTCCAACAGATCTTGGAACAACCATCTCGAACACTTGGATTTTCTTCGAACTCAATTCAATTATTCTACTGATCACGTTGGTTCCTCTGGTGATAGCTTTTGGATTTTGCAAAAATTCGAATCCTCCAACACCGCCTTCTAGATCTTCAAGACATTCTTCAGGTCCAGAAGTTTTGACTCAAATCAAGATCTGCCTTAAAAATCCTCAATTTTTGGTGCAAATCCTGATATATTGCATAAACTTTGCGCCAGTTATGGGAATTATTTTTGTCTCGGAACATCTTACAATTCTCAAATATGATCTCAAAGGTTTTCCGGTTGCGATTTCCACGTTGGCTGGAATTTTAGCAGCGTATTTGGTGGGTGTTTTGGTGGATCGGACGAGATGGTTCAAAGAGGTTGTGATGGTGAATTGTGTGGTGCAGGCCGTGGTGTTGGCGGGATTGAGATGGGTGAGAGGGGGATTTTTGAAGCCTAGTGGAAAAAAATTCCAGTATTTTTTACGTTTCAAAAAATCCCAAATTTCTGTTAAAAAACTACATTTTGATTTTGAATTTGCAGTTTCTGGAAAAAGAGCACGAAAATCGGACGGATTCAATAATTGTGTGCTTGTTGTGTGGAATTGTGAGTGAGTTTTAGAATTTTGAAATGGGATTTGAAAAAATTGGGATTTTCTGGAGTACAGTACATGTACAGTACCTCAGGCGGTTCTAAAATCACCAGATTTTTGAAATATAGTGACTATATTTCACTCAAAAACCTGAGGTTCTAAAATTCTCTCTACAGTAAACTGATCATTTTCTATCACCTCAAAATATTACTGAAAAATACAGTAACCCAAATACCGTAATCTTATTTTTCCAGTGTCCACCAGTTCAATCCACATTCCAATCGGATGTGAGTTGGGTGTCGAAACGACGTATCCAGTTCATGAATCAATTTCTACAGGAATCCTGAATGCTATTGGGTCAGTACTGTAGTCTTAGAGTACTGTAGATTATTCTATAGTGTTCTAAGATTACTGTGGGTACAGTATACCAGCGAATTTATTTCCAGACAACTTTGGCTGTTCATTTTCTTTTTCATTTTGTACGACTTGGAATATGCCGGATGGTTGAGTGAGTTTTTTTGAGAATCAAAAAATTTCCAGAACCTGAAAATATTTCCAGCCTCCATAAATTTCTGGCTCACCACCTCGATTCTCAACTCATTTCTGGCTCTAATCTTCCTCCGACCAACCTACAATCGAATGAAAGTTGAAAATCAAAAATGAATCTGCAGCAAAAATCATGTGTCAAAATTTTCCATCAATCATTTTTCCCCACAGAAAAGTGAAAATAAATGAGTTCTTTTTGAGCTGCAAGATTTATTGATTTTTGAGAAAAATCTAATTTTTTTTTGAAAGAAGAAGAATGATCAGATTTTTGATTTTGGTGTGCATTTTGGTGGTTGGAATTGTGGATGCGGATGAAACTAATGAGACAATTGTGGTGCATCGTGAGTTGTTTTCTTAATTAGTGTATTTAATTAACAAAAAATTTTCTTTTCCAGACGACGGTCGCCTTTGGGATGTCATAATTCAAACATGCAATTCAGAAGGCGCTGGAACAGATGCGGCTGCATATCTCAAAATATTCTACGAATCCGGTCATGACAATGAGATTTTCCAACTCGATAATCCTGGCAAAAACGATTTTGAGCGAGGATCAAAGGATCATTTCAAGATATTTTTCAGACAATCGGATATTGTTAATATGGGCCTGTTTTGGTGGCCTGGATTTAGGCGAGTTCTGAAAATCTGATCTCAAAATTTTATCTCGAGCCCAAAATTAAAATTTTTTAGCCTTTCACAATCTTGGTGTGTTGATTGGGTTTTGCTGTTGAATTCGGATATTGAAGCGTGTTTTGAGGGAATTTTCGAAAAATGGATTTTGCATTATCGGTAGGTTGAACAAATTTTTGATGGTTCACAGTCCCCAAATCCATATATTTTTCCAGAGATCCTCCCACCTACGCAACAAACTTCCACCGTTTACGCTACGCAGATTGCGTCCAGCCGGCGCCGAAATCCGCGCATCGACGAAGTTTCCTGCGCTATGATGATATGCAGAAAAATATGGATAAGATCTGAACGTGAACTTTGAACAAACAATGAAATTTATATAATTTATTATATAATTTCCTCAAGATCAAAATCATACACATTTATAGCCTTGCCCGATGAAATCCTCTTTTTTATAAGCAGATGGCAGGATCGTATCACATTTGATGAAATGTTTGTTGAACAGGTGGGATAATTTGCGGGAGATTCGAAATTTCAAATTTCGCCGAAATTCAGGGTCCAGAGAATTTTCAGAAAAAGGAGCGTAATGAGTTAACCAATTTGAACCAATATGTTTAGATGAGGTTAAGCGATAATGCCTGGGAAAATTGGAGATTATGTGGGCACCATAATTAGGGCTGAGGTGGTTTAAGAAAAATTTGATCTATAGCTTACCTGAAATATCCAACAGTACTATTCAAACTCATCACCATCTTCCCTGGTGTAATCCGATATGACCAATGATAAAATGGCACGTGAGAATACTGATGTTGATAAATACTCTTATGATTATCCCAAAGTGGACGCGACATCTTCCGATATTTCTCAAAAAATGTTTCACTTCTCCCTAAAGTTCCAGAATCCTCCACTTGAACTCTTGCAACTGGAAAAGACAACCCAACAATTTGCTCAGCATTTTGTAGATTCTCAAGAAATCCTGGTAGATTTGTTGGATTTTTCATCAAAAACCTCTCATCAATATCGATGTTGATCACCCATTTCGAGTGCATTCGACTGCGAAAATAGCAATCCTAAGTTCAGGAAAATTTTTAGGAAAAGTTTTCAGAATTTGAAACTTACAGCAACTTGAATATAGTGAAATTGATAGGTGATTTGCTTGAATTCCAGGTTTATCCACGTGGCTTCCATGAGGCCCAGCTTTTCGTAGTCCAAAATTACAAGTTTTGTCGGGTCGTCAGACTCGAAAATGGAGAGGTAGAAGAATGAGGCGCCCTGGAAATTTTCAAACCTGTAAGCCCCTATCTCCAAAAAACTTACAATCATTCTATGATGCTCCACAGTCTCCACAACATCTACAAATCTCGTCCCCTTCCCATAAATCTGCCCAACGCAGACTCCAATCTCATGCAGCGGTTCGATCGCAGTTCGATCTGTCAACAAAATCGGCTCCCGCGCCGACAAATCCTCACCAGCTACAGTAATCGAAATGAATTCGGCGCCGAATTTTCGTACGCAGCGGACAGCGGCCACTGGGAAAATTCGAGATTCGTAGCTGGCGATGTGCTTCCGATTACAATCAAAGTAGTGACATTTTACGGGGCGACTGGAAGATTTGAGGAGTCACTGGGATAATCTTCCCTTGTCATAACTCACCTAACATTCTCTCTTCCAAACATACTTATCACAACTGCCGCATGATCCGAATACACAAAAGCTGACACCAATCGCATCTCACCTTCAGTTACCGTAATAATGTTATCGATTATCCTCTGCTCTCTCCAGGTTTCGTATAATCTCTCATCCGGTAGTTTTTCTGTAGTCACGTCGTTTTTCGCAGTAATTTGACACGTGTCATGGGTTTTAGATGTGGTGCGAATTTTTAGATCTTCAAGAATTGTTTGATTTAAAGCTTCCGTGGATTCTATAGATGTGGTGGATTCTAGAGATGTGGAGGCTGAAATTTTAGAAAAAACTAATTTCTGAGCGATCCAAGTTTTTAACTCACCAAAAATTGCGAGACCAATAATAATTAGCATATCTCGTTCATATAATTTATGTAGCTTAACATTTTCAACTGAAACAATGTTTTATATAGGTGTTATACATCGTGAAAAAAGAGATTTTATCGACAATTTTTGATTGTCTTTTATGCAAGATTTATATAAATTGTGTATGAATAAAGAGAGGTGATGATTAATTGGCTAATGACCGTTTTCCCGAAATGCTAATACATTTTTTTTCGGAAAAAAAAGAAATAATTTATTTTTCAAGTGACGTGAACACGAATAAAAACACGACACGATTTGGAAAAGATCATTTCCAATTTTTTTTTTTACTTTTTAGTTCTCGGTTCCCCTTTCAGGCTAGATACCTAAATTACAGTAATAGTGAACCAGGAAATTGGAAATTTTGAAGTTCAATGAAAAAATTTATATCAAAACAACACGTTAACTGCTGGTCTATTGATAACAAAAATATTATTCCCAGTCGTAGGAATGTTATAAACTTCTGATCCTGTTTGGAATTTCTTTGGAGTTAGCATCCTATAGACACCTTTCTGAATTGTTCCATTCATTGTGAGATAGACAATTGAGACAGAACCTGAAACTTTCAAGGTTTTTTTAACTCCGAAAAAAAACTGTGAAATCTACCATTGCTGAATTGCCAAGCAAGTTGACCAAATATTATAACAACTGGTGGAGAGTAGAAATATTGCATGTAGACGTAGATGTACGCAGCCAACGCGTTAAATGAGCAAATAATTACGGATTGGAAGAATACTTGTCTCTGGGTTCTATTTATAAATCGAGATGAGGAATGTCTGGATTTTTTATTGATTAAAACGCATAGATAAATATAGGTACTTGTGGTGATTATTGACACCGAACAGTTATTCACGGTATGCATCAGATTCTTGTATAATTCTGGATTGTTATTGATTTGAGGATTGAAAAACCAGGAGAAATGATCGGATTGGAATAATGGAGGTTTGATGAACAAGGAACCGTAGGTGGCGTAACTGATGATTAAAAAGAAAATAAAATATATCCGCTTTTCTTGAAAAATCCAGCCTAGCTTCAATTTTGGATTAAAATCGCAACATCTATTGATTGCTAGGGTGACACAAGATAAACAACCTCCAAACCAGGAACCGCAGCCTAACGCGCCAATTATAAACATTGATCTGGGGAAATCGCAGAAATTAGCACCCTTGATTCCGTAGAATCCTGTAGCTATGGAATCTGCGAAAAGTTGGAGAATATCAAAAAATGATGCGCAAAACATGATTTTATAACAGGAAACTCTGCATAGCTCACTGGTGAGCCCAACGATCATGCACAGAATAAAAGGGGCAATAAATATTGATCCGGTGATAATAGAGTACCACCCAAGAATAGTTTGGCTGCTTCTCGTGCCTTGAATCGCTGCTAAATCTGAGCAATTATAGAATTCTTGATTTGGTGTGAAATCATTTATGAGAAAATTGAAAAGAGACATTTCAAAATCAGACATTTTTGTTTTTTATTTTCGACAGAATGAATTCTATATTTTTCAAATAAAAAAAATAACTCTCATGGGAGGCTATTTTTAAACAAAACTGGATCAGAATACGGTCCCATTTGAACTTGTGACTCGGCGAGCTTGAGAAGTTGGCTTGGTTGAAACGGTTGCTTGGACTGTTGCCCTGGCTTTTTTTTTTTTTTTTTAATTTTTTTAGTTTTCGGTTCTCTCTTTTCAGGCTGGATACTTAAATTACAGTAATATAAGTTCATTGAAAAAATTTATATCAAAACAACACGATTAACCGCTGGTCTATTGATAACATTATTCCCAATGGTAGGAATGTTATAAACTCTTGATACTGTTCGGAATTTTTTAGGGACCAACATTTTGTAGACACCTTTTTGAATTGTTCCATTCATTGTGAGATAGACGATTGATACTGAACCTGAAATATTCAAAGTTTTTTTTAACTCTGAAAAAAGCCCTACCATTGCTCAATTGCCAAGCAAGTTGTCCAAATATTATAACACTTGGGGGAAAGTAGAAATATTGCATCAAAACGTGAATATACGCAGATGACGTGTTCAAGGAACATATAATTGCGGATTGAAGATAAACTTGGCGCTGAGTTCTATATATCTCCATTGATTGAGAAAACCTGGATTTCTTATTTATCAAAATACACAGATAAATATATGTGCTTGTCGTGAAAATTGATACCAAAAAGTTATTTGTAGTGTGTAAGACGTTGATGTATAGCTTTGGATTGTTATTTATTCTTGGATCAAAGAACCATGACATAAAATCAGATCTGAAGAGTGGAGGTTTGGTGAATAGAAAACCATAACTTGCATAACTTATAATAAGCAAAAATGAAAAATAAATTTTGTTGTTTGAAAATACACAGCCTAACTTCAAGTTCGGATTGAGATCACAACATCTGTTGATTGCCAGAATAACACAAGATATACATCCACCCAACCAGGCACCACAGCCAAGGGAACCGAGGAGAAACATTGATATTGGGTAATCGCAAAAATTAGCCGACTGAATCGCATAGAAACCAGATGCAAAAGATCCGACAACAATTTGGATAATATCAAAAAATGAGGAGAAAAACATAAGTTTATAGCAAGATGTTTTGATAAGCTCACTTTTCAACCCAACAATCAAACATAAAATGATAAGAATCACGAATATCGCGCCAGAAACAATGAAATACCACCCAAGAATATTTCGATGCGTTCGAGTTCCTTGAATTGCTGCCAAATCTGAGCAATTATAATAATCTTGATTTGGTGTAAAATCATTTATTACAAAATAATATAGAGACATTTCAAAGTTAGGCATTGTTATTAATATTATTATTATTATTATTTTCGATGAACTGAATTCATTTTTTCGAACAATAATTAGGGAAAACTCTCATGAGAGGCTATTTTTAAACAGAGAGAATTCAGAATACGGTCCCATTTGAACTTGTGATTCTTCGAGCTTGAGAAGTTGGCTTGGTTGAAACGGTTGCTTGGACTGTTGCGCGGGCTTTTTCACGAATTCTTCTTGGGACCAACATCTCGTAGACGCCTTTTCTAATAGTTCGGTTCATTGTGAGATAGACGATGCACACCGAGCCTGAGAATATGGGTTTAGATTATAACATAAAAAAGTTATGCTAAGTTCTGAGAGGGGCATAAACCCATCATGTTTCACTTACCATTACTAAACTGCCAGGCAATTTGACCAATAAGCATAACAACTGGAGGAGAGTAAAAATATTGCATGTAGACGTAAATATACGCAGCGATTGCGTTGAAGGAGCAAATAATCACGGATTGGAAGAACACTTGACGTTGAGTTCGGTTAACTGCTTCAGAAGATGCGTGGCGGGATTTATGAATCAACAGGATGCAAAGGTAGGTGTAGAGAGAGGTGGTGCAAATTGACACCACACAATTATTAGTGGTATGGGCCAAATTCACGTACCACAGGGGATTTGTGCTAACTCTTGGGTTAAAGAACCATGTCATATATTCAGATGAGAAGATGATAGGTTTGGTGAGAAATATCGCGTATAACCCGTAGGCTACGATCATCCCGATGGTGTAATATGTTCGTTTTCCAATGAAGATCCAACGAAGTTTGATATTCGGATTGAGATCGCAACATCTATTAACAGCTAACATGACACAGGCCAAACATCCACCCATCCACGAACCACATCCGATTGCACCAAGGGTGAAAATTGATTTTGGGTAGTCACAGAAATTGGAAGCTGTTAGACAGTAAAAACCAGTTGCGATAGAATTAGTGATCAGTGATAAAATATCAAAAACTGATAAACATAGCATAATTTTATAGCAAGATGTGTTCATCAAATCAGATTTGAGGCCAGAAATCACACAGGGAATGTACAGGCTCTGAAATGAACAGGCAGTTTTTTCCATCATAAGTTCCCCTAACTCACCACAAAAATAATTCCAGACACCAGGAAATACCAGCCAAACAAGTTTTGCTGAACTTTGATACCTTCAATGCAACGTGGATCCGAACAATTATAATATTTTTGATTTAGCGTATATCCATTGATTATCACGTTTAGAAGTGACATCTCAAAGTCACTAGGAACAGACATTTTAGTGATTTTCGAATATGGACTAGAATTTGAAATTTTCTTCACAAAATCTGAGCTTTATCTTTTTTTTGAAAATGAAAAATGAACCTTCTACGTAGTTTATATAAGCCTGCAAAGTATCGTAATCTCATCTTGAGTGATCTCATTTTGTGGATTAAAATTTTCGAAATTTCGAAATTCTATACTCTTTTTCAACTTATTTATGGAGTCCAATGAGACCATGAAAACAACAAAATCAAAGAATTTTATCCGTTGTGGAATTAGCTTGCGCAGTATTGCCAATCGATGTGCTACGAATTTTGGAGGATTTTTGGAATTTTTTAGGGACCAACATCTTGTAGACACCTTTTTGGATGGTCCGGTTCATTGTGAGATAGACGATTGAGACAGAGCCTGGGGAAAATCATAATCAAGCTCGGCTGGTTTTTTGCGCTTTGTAACCTACCATTACTCAGTTGCCAGGCAATATGACCAATGAGTATAAAAATTTCCGAACTCTCAAAATATTGCATGTAAACATAAACATAGGCAGCAATCGCATTAAAGGAACATATAATTGCGGATTGGAAAAATACTTGCTTTTGTGTTTTGCTCACACCATTCGATGAGGAACTCCTAGATTTGTATCTCAACAAAATGCAAAGATAGGTGTAAGAAGTAGTGGTGAAAAGGGAGACCAAACAGTTGTTTGTGGTGTGTAAGATGTTGATGTATAATATTGGATTGGTACTGATTCGAGGGTCAAAAAACCAAGACATGTAATCGGAGCGGAATAATGGAGGTTTAGTGAATAGAAAACCATAACTCGCATAACTGATGATTAGAAAAAGTATGAAATAAACTCGCTTCTCTAGAAATATCCATCGAAGTTTCAAATTAGGGTTTAGATCACAACATCTGTTAACAGCAAGGGTGACGCAGGATAAACATCCACCCAACCAGGAACCACATCCTAAAGCTCCGAAAAAGAAGATTGATCTTGGGTAATCGCAAAAGTTTGCAGCCTGAATACCGTAGAATCCGGAGGCTAAAGAACCAACGATTATTTGGAGAATATCGAAAAATGAGGAGAGAAACATGATTTTATAGCAAGATGTTTTGATGAGCTCACTTTTGAATCCAACAATAATACAAGGAATGAATAGGAGAATAAAAAGGCAGCCGGAAATTATGAGGTATCCTCCAAGAATAGTTTGTTGGGTTCGAGTTCCTTGAATTGCGGAATTATCCGAGCAATTATAATATTCTTGATTGGGTGTGAAATCATTTAGGATTGCGTAGAATAGTGACATTTCATAATTACTTGGATCAGACATGTTATTTTTAGTTAGCCGGTAGACAGAAAATGAAATCAGACCTCTGAAGTTGTGTGATCAACAACAATTAGTTCAACTCTCAAGAGTGAGATAGAAATTGAATATTGTTGAAAATAGAATTGATGTGAATAGATTGGTAATTGTATGTTGAATGAACTTTGAATGATATCACAAAATCGAAAATCAAACATTCTAGACTTTGCAAAAAAATGAAATAATTTTTAATTACGGGGGTCTACATTTATTATTTTCAAACAAAAATCCAGGTAACCTTTCCCAGTAAAAAAGGTGGATTAGACTGAAAACTGACTACACTTTGCTGGTCCAAAAATTCTGAGATACTGTAATCCGTTTCAATTAAAACGCCGTGGATTAATAAAAAAAAGTATTCGAAGTAAACTTCGGATTATTTGAGCACAAAAGTTCAACGAGCACTTTACAAAAAATATTATGGTAAATAAAAATAATTGATAAAGAATTTTATCAATTTTATTTATTTTTCAATTTTTTTTTATTTCTGCTCCAAAAAATGCCTATTGAAATTGATGAAAAGGTAAGTTATGAATTTTTGATTCAAGAAAAAAATGACCTTTCTCTGGAGCACACACTGAAAAACCAGAGAGCACAAAAAGTTGCGCAATTCAATTCTCTTCCCGTTTCTATGGTCACTTTTTTTGAGGGCCCCTATTAGCATATTACGTTTTTTTTGTGTTGTGTTGTGTTGTGTTCGGATTATATTTTTTTGTCATTTTCCCAAATTTGACATCATAAAAATAGGAAATAAAATTGAATTGATTATTATTTTTCTCGATTTTCCCATCACATTATTTCTAAAAAACGCCTATTTTCTTTCAGACGCCGATGATTTCTCGCGGCGCTGTTAGTTCGAGTTTTGATGCGAATGCAATTCACACGGGTAAGCTCAAATATTTGATTTTGATCAATCTGATCATTGAAACTATCAGACAGTCAATAATCAAAAGTTCAATGAAACAAAAAAAAATTGAAGCACGCGGGGGGAATTGAACCCCTCGCCTATTGGATAGCTGAGTGCGCACTAACCGACTACACCACACGGCACTATTTTCTCCGCATTTTTTTTTATATTTGAACAGCTGTTTTGAAAATGTTTACATTACAATTCCAAATTCCAATTTCAATACCAAAAAAAATTCCAAAAAATTTCTTGCAAAAATTCCGTTTTGTTTACTTACTGTCAGGTAAGTAAGTACTATTTATAATTGTCTTTTCTCGCACATTTTTTGATTTTTCTCAATTTTTCCGATAAAAAGTTTGCGTCGCTGAATTTTTATAAGTTCCCCCGATACATGTAAAAAAAATTATTCAAAAAATGAAAAGACATAAAATTGTTTTGGGGGGCCTATAAAACGTCGTGGGAGAGGGCGTATAAATGTTTTCGGACAAAAAAAACAGACAACAATGAGAATACGAAGTGATATTAGTTATAGACAATTAGGTGAGTGGAATTTTTTGTGTAGTTCTCCGGTACAATTAGGGCTTAGGCCTAATTTGTCCTGTGAGCCTGAAGCTAGGCCTAGACAAACACTAAGTCCGAGCCTGGGCCTGAAAACTCAGCGGGCCCTGAGCCAAATACCTAAGTCCAAGCTTGAAACTGCTTGAAAGAGCCTCTAAAATTCAAAAAAGTCCAAACTTTATTTTTTCCTCCCCCAAAATTATCTTTACTTCCGATCTTTTTATTCGAGATGGAACCGATCTGCCTGCCATTCCCCCCATTTTCCTATTGTTCATCATTTTTTTTGTTCATCTCGAGGTCACACAATCATTTTTATTCTTCCTTTTTCATTCTAGACGAGGTCGACGAGACAAAAAGTTGGTTTTCACGACGATTCTGTGTGCTCATCTGCATCTCGATAGTCACAATTGTGATGGCGGCCACCAGTTTGATTCTCATTTTTGTGCTCATCTCGCAAATGAAGGCGGCGAGCTTGAGCTCGAATGGAGCTGTCAGGCAACAGTTTGAGCAGCTGGCAAAGGTGAGGATGTTTTTTGATGTTCCCGCAATATTCATTATTGAAAAAAACTTTACTTGTTTCAGACGCTCCGCGAGCCCTTGGACAAACTCTACCCAGCTCTACAAAAAATGCAAACCCAGACCCAAACCCTAACCCAACTCCCTCGACCAGACGGTGTAAATCCCATAAATCCAATAATCATCGACAAAAAAACGATGACCGAACCGGAGCCAATTCGAAGATCTGAACCAGCTCGACACGAGTGGAAGAATTGCGAGGAACATCAGAAATGTGAGCTCGACGGGTTCGAGAAGCCGCCATTGGTGATTTTGAGTTTGGATGGATTTGCGAGAGAATATTTGGATCGAAATGTGGTGCAGACTTTTAATCATATTGCGAAATGTGGAGTCAAAGCAGAGGTGAGAAGAGAAAATTGCTTAAAATGTACCCCGAATCTCAATTTCAGCATGTCTACCCTTCCTATCCTTCCAAAACCTTTCCAAATCACTACACAATAGTCACCGGTCTCTATCCCGAATCTCACGGAATAATCGACAACTCAGTTTTCGACCCGGAAATCTCGCCGAATTTTGAGTCAATGAAGAAAACCACTTTCGGTGAATTTTATGGTGGCGAACCGATTTGGTCATTCTACAAACGAAAAACTGGAAAACCTGCGAATTGTTTGTTTTGGGTGGGATGTTATTATAATCAAACTGGATATAAACCGGATATTGCACCGGCTTATAATGGTGATCTACCATTCAGAAATCGTATTGATAAAGTTGTCAGCTGGCTCAAAGAGCCTGAAAATGTGCGAGCCGGTCTGATTACAGCCTATTTACACGAGCCGGATAATGCTGGACATTATCAAATCAATGAGGATGATATTGATCGAAAATTAGCTGAACTTGATGATATGTTGGATTATATGATGAGTGAATTAGCTGCGAATAAATTATTGGGGTGTATTAATCTTGTGATTTTGTCGGATCATGGAATGCAGGTTTTGGAGGAGACGAAGTATTTTGAAGATTATTTGAGAAATTCGAAAGATGTTATTGGAGCAAGTGGTGTTGTTGGGAGGATTGTCTTGAATTTAACTTCTAGCACAGGAAATCAGGAGAGAGTTTCAGAGATCTTGGAGGACTTCACGTGTAAAATTGAGGATGTTAAAGTGAATTCGAGAAGTGATATGCCTTATAGAAAACATTATTCGAAATCTAGGAGAATTGGAGAAGTTGTGATGGAGGGAAAACCGGGCATCACATTTTATAAGTTAGTTTTTTTGGGGATGAAATATCGTTGAGAAAGCTCAACACAGTAAAATAAATTTTGAAACCTATACTTCCCTGGAATTTTCAAAATTCAAGTTTTCAGCAAAAAATCAGACGACTATCATTTATCCGGTGATCATGGCTACGATTATTTCCACAACAAAATGCACACAATATTTTTCGCGCAGGGTCCGAATTTCAAGAAAAATGTCACGATTCGACCCTATCAGAATGTGGAATATATGAATTTATGGATGGAATTGCTGGGATTTGCTGAAGAGGAGTTTCTGGAGACCAATGGGACCGTCGGAGTTTTCGATGATGTTTTGGTGAAGACATCGGAGCGCAGGAATTTCGGCGAGCTTTTTGGAGAATGCGCAATTTCTGGAGTTCCGAATGTTATAGATTGTCAAGGAACTTCGAAAAATCTTCAAGAACTTAGCTCGAAACTTCTAAGCTGTCAATTTGCTCCACATAATCTTCCAATATTTTCGAAACCTGGGAATGAACACAATTATTGTCAGCAAAACTTCTGTGATAATAATTTGCTGATTTCTGAGGAGAATTTGATCTTGACTGAGGTTCTGAGAGGACTTCCTGATTCTGAAGCCAAGAATCAGATGGAAGCTTTTATCGGAAGTGGCAAATATGCAAATTCCTGCCCAAAAACTCTGGGAAATGTTAGTTTGGCAGTGGATCAGACAAGAGAATTTTCAAATATTGCCAAGATTTTTCTGGATTTGCCACGGTATTTTGAAGAGAGTGAGTTTTATTGGGTTATTTTGAAGACTCTAAATTTAGAGCTGCTTTTTGGCCATTAATTTTTGAGCTAATGTAAGAAAATTTTAATTTTTTAATTAAACCAACCATCATATTATGAACAATTTCTTCCACTTTCTCCAAATTATGTGAAATTTTTGAAACGTATAATTTTCAGCAAAAAATACGTTCTCATTTTTTTCCAGAAATCCTGTCACCTCTTCAAAACCTCACGCTCAAATACCTGGCCAACTTTTCAAAATTATTTGTGATCACCGGAATTTCGAACAACTCCACAAACTTCTACCGAATTATTCTAGCATGTGAAAACGGAATTTTCCTCTCGGAGAATCCACCGACTTGCGATAACTTTGAGAATACCAAAATTATCTCATTCATTTTTCCAATTATTTCCAAGCCAAACACTTGGGATTGTATGGTAGGTCAAAAAAATTCACAACATTTTTTCAAATGCAATTTTTTGCAGACCTCTGAAGAAATCCTGACTGATCATATCTCAACAATTATAGACATCGAAAGAATCGCCGGATTCAAGTTTCAGAATCCTGGATATTCACCAAATCTCAATATCAAACTTCGAACAAATATTACAACTAGGTTATGGTAATTTATATTCCAAGTTCAAAGGATAAGGAAAAACGGGCATATATTTAAAAATTAGTGATAAATTGTTTCAATTCTTTCTTGACAAATACAATACATTTAGCGGAAAATAAGGGGTATCTACAGTATCAACTTTCCCAAATCCACAAGATTTGATAAGTTCAACAGCTCTTCGTTTCCCCCACATTGCGCCATAACAAAGAGCATCTGGAGAATTTGAGCCAACTGGGAGACAGTGGAACAACGATGCTCCATAGATCAGAGTTGCAGGTAGGCCAAGCATTTCTCGATCTTCATAGATGTTGCTGGTTCCGAGCATCTCAATCATCGCAAATAATCCAGTGGGTTTTAGGCATCGATGGATTTCTTGGATGCACTGAAAAATGAATTCCAAAAATGTTATTGCTCATGTTAAATCAAAAATCTAGACCTCAGAAAGTTGAACTCTGAATATTCTTTCAAACTTTTATTAGAGGATTGCTCATGTTTAGTCTGAAATTTCTTGAATTTAACATAAAATGTATAACAAATTCGCAGCATTGCTCATGTTAAATTTAAAAAAAAACCAGAGCAATTTTTATCTTGAGTTCGATTCTCTAAATATTTTTTTTAATTTAGAAAATCTGAAAATTTTGAAAAATTCAGAAAAACAAGCATTGCTCATGCTAGTGTTTTTTGTTGTAAAAGTTCCTCACCAAATCCGGTCTCATCTGATCGTGACACGCATCAAAAATCAACACCAAATCAAAAGTCTCCGTCCAATTCTCGGGCATAAATGAAGCGTTGCACTGAACAAAATCAAGATTCTCGAAATCGCGCCCATCTGTTCGTTTTCGAGATTTGGCTGAAGTTATCGCATCTTCTCCAATATCCAATCCAGTGAATTTGGACTTTGGGTATCTCTCAGCTAGAAGTGAAGAATGAAAACCATTTCCACAACCAACATCCAAAACTTTGATGCCAGTCTCTAGTTTTTCACGAATCCCATCACCGAGAGAATCAATAAAATCAGTAAATAAATGTTTTTCATGAAGCGATTTACTAAGATTCCCCATAAAATCTTGGAATTTCCCAAACTTCGAATAATCCAATCCATGCGGTCCATCTTTCTTGAAACAAGTTAGAAGATCTTCAAAAGGTTCCAGCAAAGTAATCATCATTCCATGAGAAATAATCGGATAATCATCAGAAGTTAGAGCTGCGATATTTTCCGGGGCAATATAGAACTTCTCATCTTCGGTGACTTCAAGGATTTTACCACAGGCTAGACAATTGCACCATTCTCGAATATATCTTTCTTTACATCCGGAGGCTTCAGCGAGCACTTTGGGGAGAATTGGAGTTTTGAAGGTGGCTAGAGTTTTGAAGAGGTTTAGACGATTTCCGATGTTGATTGCGTTTGAGATCACTGAATTTACAGCGATTTCCTGGAATGGAAAAAATAGGTAAGTAAGCCTAGAAATAAAAACAATTTCAAAAAATTTCAACTTACAAACAATCTTTCTTGCATAGTCGACATTTTCTTTTCCGTCTGCAAAATGACAAAAATGAAAAATAATTTTATTATTATGTTTTCCTATGTATTTATATCATTCTATCTGTTTTGTTTTGACAAAAGTCACGTGGTCAAACAAATAGATGTTTGATCTAAAATTTCATTGAATAGAAGTTAATTGAAACCTAGTTTTTCCATTTTTTTGAAAATTCAAATGTTCAATGATCTAATCTCTCTGAATTTGAATTGAAATACTTATGTTTTCGAGTTTTTTAATCTCATTTTTTTTCTTGGAAGGATTACAATACTCAGGGTTCAGTGTAGCCTTTTCAAAAATTTTAAATTCTAAAATTAAACAAAAAAAAAATACAAAAAAAAATGTCTGATGATATCAGCAGTCAGAAAATGTATTCATAGTGCTCAGAGAAGGTCTGGCTTGAACGGCGCGGTTCGCGAAACCCAGAAATCTGCCAATCCGCGGCTGACACAAGAACTTTAGCGAAACGTCCGCGAAATTATACTCCGCTGTTAGCGAAACATCCGCGCAATGCACTCTCGAAATATAAAAATGCTTCACTACCCCTGATAATTATCAGAAGTTAGTATTGACTTGTAGTTCCAACCCAGCCTCGATCCCAATCCTGTCGTTTTGTAGTCATCCATCTTCCTTGCTGCGCTATCCTCGTTGTCGCGTACGCGATACAATTTATCCTTTTTATACCCTCTCTCTCGAGTTCATCCGCGGATCCGCGAAAAACGCAAAAAATCAAATTTCCAAGTCAAAAAATTTCGCGGAATGCGCGAAATTCGACTCTCATTGGCTGAAGTTTCGCTGTCCGCGAAATTTTTTTCGCGGAATCCGCGTAATGATTTTCACCCAAAAATCGGTGAAAAATCGTCCGCGGACCGCGCCGTTCAAGCCATACTTTCTCTGAGTGCTTCTCTACAATTACTGCTTATTCAAATTGTGTTTTTTGAACCAGACGTTCAAGAACATCTATAAAAAGTCAGGTTCATCTATCATTTTTTCATTAGTCATGACAGAGCCCAGCAATTTTGAGATGTCTCTATTCTACGCAATCACCAATGGTTTTACACCCAATCAAGATTATTATAATTGCTCAGATTTTACGGCGATTCAAGGAACTCGGAGTCGCCAAACTGTTATTGGGAGATATCTTATTGTTTCTGGAACAATATTTGTGCTTCTATTTATTCCTTGTATTATTGTTGGATTCAAAAGTGAGCTCATCAAAACATCTTGCTATAAAATAATGTTTCTCTCCTCATTTTTTGATATTCTGCAAATAATTGTGGGATCTTTAGCCTCCGGATTCTACGGTATTCAAGCTGCAAACTTTTGCGATTACCCAAGATCAATATTCTTTTTCGGAGCTTTAGGATGTGGTTCCTGGTTAGGTGGATGTTTATCCTGTGTAATCTTGGCAATCAATAGATGTTGTGATCTGAACCCTAATTTGAAACTTCGATGGATATTTCTAGAGAAGCGAGTTTATTTCATACTCTTTCTAATCATTAGTTATGCGACTTATGGTTTTCTATTCACTAAACCTCCATTATTCCGCTCCGATTACATGTCTTGGTTTTTTGACCCCCGAATCAATACCAATCCAATGTTATACATCAACATCTTACATACCACAAATAACTGTTTAGTCTCAATTTTCACCACAACTTCTTACACCTATCTTTGCATTTTGTTAAGATACAAATCCAGACATTCCTCATCAAATGGTGTGAGCAAAACACAAAAACAAGTATTTTTCCAATCCGCAATTATATGTTCCCTAAATGCTATCGCTGCCTACGTTTATGTTTACATGCAATATTTTAAGAGTTCTGCAACTTTTATACTCATTGGGCATATTGCCTGGCAATTGAGTAATGGTGAGATTTTTTTTTCAAAAAATACTTTATAACTTTTAGTATTTCAGGGTCCGTCTCAATCGTCTATCTCACAATGAATCGGACTATTCAAAAGGGGGTCTACAAGATGTTGATCCCTAAAAGATTCCAAAAAATATACCAGATTCGCAGCACTTCTATTGGCCATAATGTTCAAACTCACACAGGAAGTGATATGATTCTCTGATGATTTAATTCAATAAAGTGTGTTTTTTTCATACACGAAATGATATAGACATATTAAAGCAGAGATTGTCAATTAGCACGTCACAGTCCAACAAACATGATTACAATTTCAAATTTGAAAGTTTGATTCCGAAGATTTTTGAACTTTTCGATCTAAATTATTTGTTGGGCTCATGAAATTTAATCAAAAAATTCAAGAAAATTTTAATCCCCACCGCATTGAAATTGATACCTCGAGACTCCCATAACAATAGATTCTAGTCTCTATAAAAACCCCCATCAAAATTCATTTTTCACAACAAAACATTATTTTTCCGAAGTCTAGCTGACTAATTGTTATTCAAAAACAATGAGCGAGCCTTCTAACTTTGAGATGTCACTTCTGAATGTGATAATCAATGGATATACGCTTAATCAAAAATATTATAATTGTTCTGATCCACGTGGCTTACAAGGTCTCAAGGTTCAGCAAAACTTTTTTGGCTGGTATTTTCTGGTGACTGGAATTATTTTTGTGGTGAGTTAGAGAAACTTCTGATGGATATAGATTTCTGTTCATTTCAGAGCCTGTACATTCCCTGTATCATCTCTGGCCTAAAATCTGATTTGATGAATACATCTTGCTATAAAATTATGTTATGCCTATCGGTTTTTGACATCCTATCTTTAATCACTAACTCAATTGCAACTGGATTCTATTGTCTAAAAGCCTCAAACTTCTGTGACTACCCAAAATCAATCTTCTTCTTCGGTTCCCTTGGCTGTGGTGCCTGGTTGGGTGGATGTCTATCCTGCGTTATGCTAGCAATCAATAGATGTTGCGATCTCAACCCCCATCTCAAACTTCGTTGGATATTTGTAGGAAGACGAACCTATTTCACAATTGCTGCAATCGTAGTTTACGCATCATACGCTATGTTTCTCACCAAACCCCCATTATTCTCCTCTCAATATATGACGTGGTTTTTCAATCCAATGATAAGCACAAACCCGCTATGGTACATTAACCTGCTCCATACCACTAATAATTGTGTGGTGTCAATTTGCACCACCTCTCTCTACACCTACCTCTGCATCCTGTTGATTCATAAATCCCGCCACGCATCTTCTGAAGCAGTTAGCCGAACTCAACGTCAAGTATTCTTGCAATCCGTGATTATTTGCTCTTTCAACGCAATCGCTGCGTATATTTACGTCTACATGCAATATTTCTACTCTCCTCCGATTATTATGTTAATTGGTCAAATTGCCTGGCAATTTAGTAATGGTAAGTGAAACATTGAATGTTCATTGGGAATCTGAACTTCCAGTTTTGTTCCTAATTTTCAGGCTCGGTGTGCATCGTCTATCTCACAATGAACCGAACTATTAGAAAAGGCGTCTACGAGATGCTGGTCCCAAAAAGAATTCGTGAAAAAGCTCGGGTCACAGTTAATGCAACTTATTCTAACAAGAGTGCTCCGCGAGCAATGACAAGTTCACATGAAACTGTTTTCTGATGTTAATAAATGCTTCTAATTGAAATACTTGTTGTTACGTTTTTCTGTAATTAAAAAAGTTCAGAAATAAGCATAAATTTCTTTGATCACTAAACTCCTTTAGCAATTCTTGAAAAAGTTTGCACTTTTCAGCAAAAACAGATCGCTTTTGTCTGAAATTCCAGCTAACTGTGAAAATTTATCAATTCCTTTAAGAATAGGTAGAATTTATCGAGTTTCACATTTTCTAAACCTTTCAAGCTAATGCCGTGTTGTCATTTTCGTGTTTTTTTCTTGAAAAATCTTAACTTTGCACTATAAATACATATAAATGAACTATAGTAGGACATTTCAAAATCCTCTCATAATATATTTTCATTATTATTTATTCTTCAAGATTTTCTATAGTTTTCGAAATTTTAATCTTCAAATGAGATTACCGCAGACTACGATAACCTCGCATATAAAAGCTACGTAGAAATCCATTTTATAAAATAAACTATATTTTTCTGAAAATGACTCAGCCAAGTGAATTCGAGATGTCTCTTTTGAATGCAATTATCCACGGTTATACCTTGAATCAAAAATATTACAATTGTTCGGATCCACGTGGCATAGAAGGTATCAAAGTTCAACAAGATTTGCTTGGCTGGTATTTCTTGGTGACTGGCGTTGTTTTTGTAGTAAGTTTTTTGTAGAGAACCTTCCATATGTTATTGATTTGTTAATTCAGACTCTCTATATTCCATGTGTTATTTCTGGCCTCAAATCTGATTTGATGAATACATCTTGCTATAAAATTATGCTATGCCTATCAGTTTTTGATATTTTATCACTTATCACTAATTCTATCGCAACTGGTTTTTTCTGCCTAACAGCCTCTAATTTCTGTGACTACCCAAAAGCAATCTTCACTTTTGGTGCAATGGGATGTGGTTCCTGGATGGGTGGATGCTTATCCTGCGTTATGCTAGCAATCAATAGATGTTGCGACCTAAACCCAAATCTCAAACTTCGTTGGATCTTTGTAGGCAAACGAACTTATGTTACGATTGGTGTTATTGTGACCTACGGGTTATATGCAATGTTTCTTACCAAACCTATCATTTTCACATCCGAGTATGTAACCTGGTTTTTTAACCCAAGAGTTAGCACAAATCCCCTGTGGTATGTGAATTTGGCGCATACCACTAACAATTGTGTGGTCTCAATTTGCACCACCTCTCTCTACACTTACCTCTGCATCCTGTTGATCCATAAATCCCGCCACGCATCTTCTGAAGCAGTTAGCCGAACTCAACGTCAAGTATTCTTCCAATCCGTGATAATTTGTTCTTTCAACGCAATCGCTGCGTATATTTACGTTTACATGCAATATTTCTATTCTCCCCCAATTATTATGCTTATTGGTCAATTTGCCTGGCAATTTAGTAATGGTAAGTGGAACAGGATCGACTTTCAATAACTCAATTTTGCCGTCAGGCTCTGTGTGCATCGTCTATCTCACAATGAATCGAACTATTCGAAAAGGCGTCTACGAGATGTTGGTTCCAAAAAAGATCTGTGAGAAAACCCGCGCAACAGTGAACACAGCTACCGTCAAACCACCAACCAAATCCCGTTCCAACGGAACTGTTTTCTAATTTCTGTTCTGTTTTATTTCAATAAATCAGTGTTAGATATTTGTCATAATTTTTCCCTGACGTCTCTCATTCTTTTTTGTATCATGCACTAATAGATCAACGAAGCTACAATTTCGCAAAAAATATTTCAGTAATCTAAAAAACAGCTATGCTTGACTCACCTTCTCAATTTAAGATGTCTCTATTTTACGCAATCCTAAATGATTTCACACCAAATCAAGATTATTATAATTGCTCAGATTTAGCTGCTATTCAGGGAACTCGTACACGCCACGTTACACTAGGCTGGTACTCTATTATTTCCGGTTTGATATTTGTGGTTAGTTAGAGCAGAATCATCACAACAAGAAACAATCAAATATTTCAGATCTTATACATTCCTTGTATGATTGTCGGAATCAAAAGTGATCTAAGCAAAGCGTCTTGTTATAAAATCATGTTTCTCTCCTCATTTTTTGAGATTTTGCAAATAATCGTTGGCTCTTTCGTTTCAGGATTCTATGCTATTCAAGCTGCAAACTTTTGCAATTATCCCAGATCTATGTTCATTATTGGGGCATTGGGATGTGGTTCCTGGTTAGGTGGATGTTTATCCTGCGTCACCCTTGCTGTCAACAGATGTTGTGATCTAAACCCGAACTTCAAGCTACGGTGGATTTTTCAAGAGAGGCGAATATATTGGATCATTTTACTTATAATAAGCTACGCAATTTATGGTTTTCTATTCACCAACCCTCCATTATTTCAATGTGATTATTTCTCGTGGTTCTTCAATCCAAGAATCAACAACAATCCACACTTATACATCAATGTGTTACATACCGCAAATAACTGTTTGGTTTCAATTTTTATCACAAGTTTCTATTGTTATCTTTGCCTATTGCTGAATCAGAAATCCCGATTTTCTCTATCCAGCGGAATCAACAAAACCCAGCGACAAATATTTCTGCAATCCACTATAATATGTTCCCTAAACGCGATCGCTGCGTATATTCACGTTTACATGCAATATTTCCACACTCCTCCAATCGCAATTCTTATCGGACATATTACCTGACAATTGAGTTGTGGATCTGTTTCGATTGTTTATCTGACACTTAACGGGACAATCAAACAAGGAGTTTGTAAAATGATAATGCCGAAAAGCTTTCAAAGTCGTGTGGTGACAAGATCTACTGATGTGATTCGAATTTGATTTTTTTTCATTTTAAAATAAATTTGGTTCTGCTTACATTCATAGAATCCGATTTCGCGAAAAAAACAGACATCACTTGTAGGACGCACTTTAAGTAAAAAACTACAAAAGCTAACATATATTATTATTCTCATTTCATTCCTCACAATGTCCAAAGATTTTGAGATGTCTTTATTCTTTGTAATAACCCACGGATTTATTCTAAATCAAGACTATTATAATTGCACAGATCCTGAGGCTATTCAAGGAACTCGTATCAAATGGCCATATCTGGGATGGTATTTTATCATTTCCGGTGGCTTTTTTATTATCCTCTTTATTCCATGTATTATTGTTGGGCTCAGAAGTGAACTAATCAAATCGTCTTGTTATAAGATAATGTTTCTCTCTTCATCTTTTGATATTTTACAACTAATAGCCGGATCTCTTGCCACCGGATTCTATGGAATTCAAGGCTCTAACTTTTGCGACTTCCCAAAATCAATTTTCTCCCTTGGTGCAATCGGATGTGGAGCCTGGTTTGGTGGATGTATCTCTTGTGTTACCCTAGCAATCAACAGATGTTGCGATATTGATCCGAACTTGAAGCTACGATGGATTTTCAACGGGAATAAAGTATATGTTCCACTTTTTCTAATCATGTTTTATGCATCTTGTGGCGCTTTATTCACCAAACCACCATTATTCCGATCTGATTACATGTCTTGGTTTTTTGATCCTCGAGTGAATAACCATCCAGAATTCTACACTAATATGCTATTCACTATGAATAATTGTTTGGTCTCAATTTTCACAACGAGTTGCTATGTTTATCTTTGCATTTTATTGAGATACAAATCCAGACATTCAACAAACTCAAATGTGATTAACAAAACGCAGAAACAGGTATTCCTTCAATCCGTGATAATTTGCTCTTTCAACGCAGTCGCTGCCTATACCTACGTCTATATGCAATATTTCTACACTCCCCCAGTTGCAATTATACTTGGACATATTACCTGGCAATTGAGTAATGGATCGGTTTCGATTGTTTATCTCACACTTAATGGGACAATCAAAAGAGGAGTTTATAAAATGATAATTCCAAAGAAGTTTCAAAAAGTGACAATGGTTCATAATTCTGTCAGTCGTATGATGACTCGATCAACTGTTGATGTAATTGTCAGATTTTAAAGTGTGGAAAATTTCTAATAAAAGTTTTTGTTGAGCTTGTTTGATCATTTCAAAAACGAATAAAAACCACTGAAATTCTTTGATCTTGCTCGATTTCATGTTCAACCGCATCTGTGCAAATAAGACTAAAAAGTGCTAAACTAGACATACATCAATTTCAAAAAAATGTTTAGATTTCGAAATTAAATTGAATTGGAAGATTTGAAGCGGAAGTTGAACTTGACAGATTGAATTAAAGCTAGGCTTCTGAATTTCACACCTAAAACTTCCAGGTTCAAAAATTCTGGAACTTTGATCCAGAATCACGCTTCGGGGAAAAAAGTGGCAAGTTTTGCTTTTTTAAATTTGTTGAAAAACTCACTTTTCCTCCAGTTTTCTTCGAAATTCAACATCGTTCAACTAAAATTCGCTTCAATTATTGTTTCGATATTTCCATCATTTCGCTGACGTTTTTCCTGTAAAACAGAAATGAATCAAATTTAAACAAGTAAGAAAAATTCAAGAAAGTACATTTTTTCATAAAATTATCGAAAATCAACTAAACTTGTGTCACTTGTACTAGAAAAATTGATAAATATGAATTTTACAACAAGTTTCATTCAAAATCACGGGAAAACAACAAAAAAATACGTGAATGAAACATTTCCGAAAAACAAAAACAAGAAAATAAAAGTAAAAATGGAAGTGCGCCCTATTGATAAAAATTGCATGTCCCGCACTCTTTCAAAAATGTGTGTACACAACTAGAAAAATACAAACTTTTTAATTTGATTATCAAAAATTACCCCAAACTTACCTGATATACTTCGTGTTCTTTCACTCACTGTGTTCTTTCACTCAAAACCAAACCCCAAAACCCATTAAACTGACCTGACATGAATTGTCGAACCAAGTCCTCAAATTAATTTTGTTTTCATCGTTGAAATTGGAGTGGGAAGCCAACAAATCTCAAGCAATCTGGAATTTCTATGGATCATAGAAAAAAATAAATTCCCTCTTACGTTTAATTGAGAGCTCTCGACAGGCCAAATACAAAATGAAATATTTCAAGAAATGAGAGTCCAACCTGAAAAAAATAAATAAAACTCATCATAATCAAACACAACGTTGTAAATAATTTTACGAAAAACTAAAAAACCAAAAACTCGAAAACCAAAAAAAAACAGTGAAAAAAAAAATAATAATTTTACGATAAACAACAGGCACGCGGACAAACGGAGTGTTGTACTAAAATTGAAAATCGGAGTTTCGTTTTTTTTTAATTATTACTATAGTATTCTCCATGGAAAAAGTGACGTTCCTGACATACTTATCGTTAGCCTATTTTCTTTGTATTTTTGCATTTTTCTGGTTTCAAAATTGATTATTTTTACCCAATAAGGTGATTTCTGACTTGCTCTATCTCCCTCCCAAATACAAAAAAAAGTTGTTCTATTGATCACCCTGGCTAATTAATCCAAGACACGAGATAAAAAAGCGTGGGGTGTGCTCAAATTCAACATGTAACCCGCCTGTTCAAACAAAATCCTCACAAAAACTTGGCCTATATAAAATTGACCCCATCCCCACATTCCTCACCAAATGATACGTCTCGTTCTCCTACTCGTTTCATTTTCCGCAGTTTCCGCGGCGGTTAACGCAACCGTTGAGAAATATGTGGAGGATGCGATTTTTGAGGCGATGGGAAATGTGAACTCGGCCACATCGGCGCCATCTTCAGGAACTGCTGAGAAAATTGTGTCTTCGCAAATCGCTAACGCCGGAGCCATCGAACTTCAGTTCACCGGTGATATTCTTGAAGAAGCCACCAAAATTCTTGTCGCCAAATATGGTGTTGACATTTTGCCAGCCGCCAATGAAGTTCTCGAAGCCTGGAACGCCGAATCCGCCGCCGCAGCAGCCACAGATTCACCAAACTCCAGCTCGGAATCGGACTCGAATTCAAATTCAGCTGACAGTTCCGAAGAATCACGCTCCAAAAGAGATGTAAATTATTTGTTCTGGTTGATATGAGCAATAAATGGATTTTTGCAGGTTTTTCGAGTGAAACGCGGTGCCGGCGGGTATACCAACACTGCCAGCAATCAAACATGCAGAGGACCACCGAAACGTTGTAATGATAGAGTACAGTGAGTGATTTCGATCCCTCCCAAACAAAACCTGCTCATTTCTAGCGACCGCATCCGCTCTATCACTGGCTACTGTAACAACCGTGCCAACCCAACCCTCGGAAACGCTCTCACCTCCATTCGTCGTCTCATCGGCACAGTCTCCTACACCGACGGCCTTCAAACAATCCGAAACCTCTCCGTCACTGGCTCCCCACTTCCATCAACCAGATACATCTCCAACAAACTTCACGACGAAGGTGTCAACCCGCACTATTCCCCATCAGTTAACCATCTTCATATGCAAATCGGTCAATTTATTGCTCACGACGTCATCTTTATGCCATCGTCAGTCGCCAAAGATGGATCAGATCTCAATTGTTTATCCTGCTCTTCTCCAACTACAGTCTCCTCAAATTGCGCACCAATCCCAGTTCCAACTGATGACGCATACTTCAAGCAAAATGGAACAACACCAAGATGTATCAGATTGACTAGATCTTTGAATGGTCAAACTGGATTCGGTGTCAGAACTCAAATCGATCAAAACACACATTTCTTGGATATGTCAACTGTTTATGGAAGTTCAGATTGTGAAGCTCAAAGTGTTCGAAGCTTTGTGAATGGACAACTCAAAGAATATACCACATTGGGATACACTTTGCCACCACAAAACTTCAATGATTCAAATTGTCAATCGACAAATCCATATTATTGCTTTACAGCCGGAGATTTCAGAAACTGTCTTCATCCAGCACTTCTGCCACGTGAGTTGTAAACTTTTTCCATATTTCTCCAATCAGCCCCCAATTTTTTCAGTCCACTCTCTGTTCATCAAAGAGCACAACCGTCTCGCCACTCTTGCCAAACAAGTCCGACCCAACATCAACGACGAAGACCTCTATCAATTCGTCCGACGAATCATGGTCGCCCTCTGGCAAAACATCGTCTACACCGAATATCTTCCAAAACTTCTCACCGACAAATATCTCACCGATTTCAAATTGAAAACCACCGGTCAACCTGGAATCTACAACAACAGTCAGAATCCATCGTTGTCTGCCGAATTCACAGCAGCCGCTTTCAGATTTGGACATTCGCAGGCTAGACAGAACTTCACAAGACAAGATGTGAATAATAATACAATTGGACAATACGATTTAGGAAACAATATCTTCTATTCCGATCAAGTGTATCAAAAACAACTTGGTGGATGGGAAACAATGTTGAATGGATTGTTGAGAACCCCTGGAATGGTTGCAGATAGATATTATTCATTCCCAATCAGAAATCAATTATTCGAAACTCGCGGGCAACCAGGAAGTGGTGTTGATTTGGTCGCTGTCAATATCATGAGAGGTCGTGATGTTGGACTTCAACCCTATGTGAAATATCGATCGGCTGCTGGTTTATCTAGTGTTAACACTTGGAATGATTTGAGTTCTACATTCAGTTCAACAAATCTTGCCGCACTCAAAACTGTTTACGCTGATCCAGCTGATATTGATTTGTATACTGGATTGATTATGGAAACTCCATTGACTGGCTCGCAAATCGGGCCAACTGCCTCATATATCATTGCTGAACAATTCAACAGACTCAAAACCGGAGATCGATTCTTCTATGAGAACTTTGTGCCAAACACTGTTGGTTTCAGACCAGAGCAAATTCAAGCAATTCGACAAATCAAATTGGCTAAGATCATTTGCGATAATACTGGTATTGTTAGCAGAGTTCCATCGGATATTTTCGATTTTACTTCAACACAAGTCGCATGTTCGAGTTTACCCAGTATTGATATCAATTTGTTCTTCCTGTAGCTGTATACTAAATGAAACGATTTTATTTTCTAGTGGATTTTGTGGTGAAATAAATGTTTGAAAAAAATCTTGTTCACGTCATTGAAAAAGTGGATTTTCTGATTCGAATCTCCGAGTGTTTTTTAAAAGAAAAACTTTTTCAGAAACTTGACGATTTGAATGGCAAAAACTGACTTGATGGAATTAAAAGATAAAATTAATTAATTAATTTTAAAAATATTTCTAGTTCATTTCAAGAACGTGCTACGTTATACTTTCAGGGTGAGACAATTCCAGCAAAATTTAAGAATTTCTTAGGCAAAACCAAGGACCTTTCTAATAAGAATCAGTACCGGTTTGAGAATTTCAGAGAAAAACAGCTGAACTTCAGAAAATCAGGTCTAAAATTGTTGGGCCCTTTTTCGAAACTTTTAACCTGACAAAGCAGGGCAAAGTTCACAACGGGTTTCAGCCACAAAACTGTACCTGAAGTCTATCTAGAATCCAGTTCCGCGTAAATCACAAAAAACACATCAACATCAGGGCAGATCGAAATCTCCGACAATAATTTTCGAAGAAGGGAAAAAAATTTGTTCAATGGAATGGCGAAAACTTGAAAAATGGCAAACATGAAAAAATTCGATTTTACAGAGAAATTTGTCATTGTTGTTCCAACAAATCGATGTAATCTTTATTTATGTACATACCCGAGAATCGGCAATTAATAACAGAATAACAAAATACACGGTTTCTAGAATACATATACAAATATAATTTGATTCAATACTGGGTTCAAAGAAGATTATTGTTCCAGAAATCAGTTTGATATTTTGCATCTAACACATTTCTATTAAAATTGAAGATCAAGTAATCGTATAAATAAATCTTGTGCAATAAATCGCGAATCCTGGAGTTCTCCCGAATCATATTCTCAGCCTCCAAGCGTTTTACAGATTTATGAGTTCCATGATCAGTTTCGCCATTCAAAGATCCACTAACAATTTTATCAATCAAACTCTTCGGCACATTTTTGGATGTCAAAACATTTGCCAAATGTAAAATTGAGCTTCTCCTCTCCTCTACATCCGCTCCCATCATAAATAAATTATAATTTTGAATTTCGCTGTCAAAATCGCAGTTCCAAGAAAGCGGCGCCGCGTGCATCTCGATATAGTTTGGTGTGTAGTCACGATGGATTTTGAAGCGTTGAAGTTGTTTGTAGAGAGTCTCAACTACACATTCCATATTCGAATCACAACGCCAGCATTGTTTTTCGCTGGAAAAAAAATGGATAAATGACGGAGAAAATTTAGGGTAACTCACCGTAAACATTTATCCAAATAAAATGAGATGAATCGATCGAAGGGATTTCGAATAAATGCAATTTTTGTGAAATTTTCGTGAAGTTCGGGGATTTTTCGGAATTTTGGATCATCGTAATTGCAAGCTCTGAAATAAAATAGAATTTGAAAATTGAAAAAACTAGATTCTGAATAATTTAAAAAAAAAACCTCACCCCTGCGTCTTCCAAGTATCATTCAAACTCTGCCCTTCCTTATCAAACGTCTCTGCATCATACAACAAACACATTGTGTTTATCGTAAGTTGCGACATACTCTTGCGAATCCCGCAAGCCGCAATCCCGTAATCTGGCGCCACAAACAAATCCGAAACAATATTAATAAATGGCGGGATAAAATCTTCCGCTCCCGTAAAATTCACCAATTTATTCTCGATGAAAATATTGAAAAATATCTCACGCCGTGTATAATCGTGGTACAAAAATAGTGTCAGTGCTGATAGAATGGCTATGAGAGCCCTTGAAAAAAATCACACATTTTATTTTTCCAAAAAAAAAAAAGATCCGGATCTCTCACCTGGTCACATTCAAATGCGCTGCCATGTTTTATTGGAATGATGTAAGAATGAGAAATGCGTTTTGGCTTAGACTCGCACTTGGGCTTATCGCGATCGAATACGCAATGGCTGGAATAAAACCTGATTTAGATTTGTGTTTTGGGAAGGACGAGAAATTCCGTTTTTTATGAGATGCCAACGGAAGATTTATCATCGAGACAAATCATTGAAACACACGGGTTGGAATTGATGTTTCACTTATTGTGTTGGAAAATACGTTTACTATGAGCAATGGGGTTTAGGAAAAAATTAGTTTAGGCTTGAGCTTATCAGAACTATTAAGCTTATTAAAATGTGATGTTTGAACTCAAAAAATTTTAAAATAACGCATTTTTTTGTATATGAAAAAAGTTTCAACTGCAATATTTTTACGATTGTTTGTTTAGTCTGTGAATTCCGAGTTGAACAAATCAATAATCTGGAAATTGTTTTGAATTTTTTTGTATGTGAATCGGGAAAAAATGGAATTCCTCTTTTGTTCTACATAGCACCCCCGCTCTCCTCATTATTTTCACCTGTTTTTTCCTAATCCGCAGAAAAAAGTTTAGCCAAATATTTTTTCCATAACATTTTTTCCCCATCAAATTCCTATGTCCCCACATTTTTCATGGAACCCGATAAAATTGGCGAAGTTTTTGTCACCTATTTCGTTGCTTTCACCACAGTCTTCACTTTTCCAATCTATTTGTATACCTATCGGGTCAATGAGAAGAACGACAAAAAATTGCCGATTTTTCCGTTCGTCCAACAATTTTTCTATATCGCTTTGATTATTGAGATCACTTTCACGCTCAATTATATTCTTTTGGTTGTCAGAAAAATTATAGAAATTATTGGGTGAGTTAGAGGAAGTTGTGGGGAGATGGAGCCTGAAAAAATTTCGGAATTCGGAGAGCAAAAATCGGAAGTTCTGGTTTTGATTTCAATGAACGTTGAGCACTTCCCGATTGGAAATGTCAAACTGAAACCATTTTGAAATAAAATTCGCGTGGCACATAATTTTTTCAAGTCGCGAAAAGCAAATCCACAGACATTTTTCAAAAATGTTTTCACGCAAATCGTGTGATTTTCAGCTACGATGTTTCAACAATAACCTCAATCAGCGATTTTTTTCTCATAATACATCACGGTGAAATGCGAATCCTTCCCGCCAGTCTCTCACTTCTCATGTTTTTCCTCTCAATCCAGCGATTTGTCATATTTTTCATTATAAAATATGTGACAGTAAAACGATCAAAAATTTTGAAACTAGCCTATTTCATTTATTTTTTTGTGATCGGCACGAATATTTGTTGGGAAGGTGAGTTGAAAAATTTAGAAAAAAAAATTGGTGGAAAATTGAAATTTCAGCGGTCTGTCGTTTGGTGAAATCATTGGGCACAGATTTTTTATTTTGCAATAAATTTATTTCGGGGAATTTGGTGAGTAAAAACTTTTCTAGATTCCAGAAAAGCTCGGTGATTTTCCAGTTCACATTCTACCTCTCCTACCTAGGAATCACAATCGCAATGCTAGTTTATATCTCAATTTCAATAAGTGTTCGAAACATTCAAAACAACCACGATAACTCAAGAAATCGAATACAACATTCTGCTTATATCATCTCTCAGACAATTCTAGTTCTAATTATCAAAACCGTACTTCTCATCACCATCATTTATCCCATAGATTTTGAAAAATATTATCCGAACTATCAAATTATACTGGAATACGCGTTTACACCGATCTTTATTCATTTTTCCTATATTTTCACATCTCGAAAGAATTATCAGATTGCCAAGGGATTTCGATTTTCAAAGAGTTGTTTTAGGATTATGTTTGGGTATAAGAAGAATCAGGTTTATACTAACCAATATAGTTAATTTATGCATAAATTGTTTTAGTCATTTTTTTCATTATAATATTTATCAAAAAAAAGTTCAAGATAAATTTTCAGAAGAACGTCTGGCATACTTGCCCTCCTTAATTGGAGTAGTTTTCTGAAATATCGTGTTATTCGTTTCCTCACGACCTTTTAGATTCCAAATAATCCAAAATCGATAAGGTTTGTTGAAATAAAGCACGCTAATTGTTCCCAAAAATGTGTGGAATGATATGATTATCAGGCAAATTAGGCAGATCACTGGAAAAAAAATCAGTTAACGAAATTAGCGAAATTATAGTACCTTGTGAATTCTTAACTTCAAGTATAACACAAGTATTGATTATTAAAAATGGCAAATAAAAAGCAATGATTGGGATTGATGTTTGATAGCACATGATTTTTATGAGTTTTCGATGCATTTCTCGAGTCCTCTCGGACATTGGATATTTTTGAAGTGCTATATAACTATGAGCAATCATATGAACACACCCATAAACACCACAGGCTACACGGAATATTAGGATGAAAAACATAAATATATTAGCGAAACTGAGATTGGTAGAGATTATTAAGATTGAGGAGAGTGAGAGGAGAGATGAAGCCTCGGGGTGGCTCTATAATTTTTTCAAATTTTTTTTGAACACTAGCCTAGACTCGCCATTATGAAACTGGATCTTGACGTCTCCAAATCAGGAATTGCATAAATAAACGAGATAACACAAGTCAAAAACCAAAAAGTCGAGACAATCAAAATCAGTAGAATGCATTTGAAAGGCGACACTTTATTAGGATCTCCCTTTAAAAATTTTAGCTCAACTTCAGAGCAACCCCTAACTCAACTCACAATCGGAATAATTGATTGATAGCGTAGTAAAAACATGAGTTCTAAAGTGGCTGCTGTGTAGAAAATTGAGATGAGAATTAGAAGAATTTGGAATTTCACGGAATCTGGGAAAATTGTTGAGAATATTCCATGAGTTCGAATAATTGGATATGGAGCTAGGATGTTGGGAAGAGTTCCGATGTTTATTAGAAAATCTGTGAGCATTGAGCAGAGCTGGAAAATATGTGGGATGTTTCTGAGTTCGGGAAATCTGAAAAACCTGAAAAATGATAACTTCTGTTCGATTCGTCATTTCTTGTTTTCTCACAAAAATCACAACTAATAGTCCAAAAAAATTCATCGGAAAACTGATGACTTCAGAAATATGCATAGCTTTCAAATACCATTCAACTTCGGTGTCGATTTTTTGAGCCATTTTTGAAAAGCTGAATGAAATTGTGGTTTTTTGAACAAAAATATTTCAATTTCCTATCTATGGGGAGCTAATCTGAGAAAAAAATATTGGAATTAGCGAGCGGATATTATGTGTAACACAGTAAACATCTACTTGGTTTTTATTCAGAAATTGTTATTTTTCCTGATTTTATAATCAAGAACCAAATGATTACGTGTTTCTGTTAAAATTTTCGCCAAATGTTTTTTTAATCAAAAATAAACTCGACTCTAGCCTCAAAATAGATTCGATAATTGAATTTTCAGAAAAAAAATTGTTGAAAAATTTATTTTCAAAAATTTTCTGTTGGACTCTTTTTACAATCGAAAAAAAAAACGATTTCTAATGAATGCAATCTACAGATTCTCCTTTGAATCGATTTGCCAAATTCAGAGTTCCAATATCGTAATTTTGCAACGAGCTTGAGCCACTTTGAACAGCAGATTTCGGCACATTTATAGCCAGTTTTTTGGAGCACAACCCATTGTAATTGCATTTGTGATAAATATTGATTTTTGGATTGATAGTGCGGATTTTAGTTCGGGTTCCAGAGATTCGAAAAGTTCCATCGGCACTGGTTCGAACAGAGTCGAGTTTGGAATCGTAGACTGGAAATATGTATTTAATTTTTTTGTTGGTTGAAATACCCTTCTTAAGAAAACTCACTAGTTCCATCCTCATACATCTTCACCAAAACCCCACTAGCCGGTTGTCCATCACAAATCAATCTTCCAGTTACAGTAACACTTTGCCTCGATCCCAAAATCCCAAATAACGAGTGAGCCAAGGGAATGATAGCCAACAGGAAAATTGCCAAAATTTTGAACATTTCGGGGAACTTTGAGAGCGAAATTGATTGTGAAGTTTATTTATACCAGTTCAAAAAATAAGAAAATAGAATTGAGAAATGTGGGAAGGTGACTCATGTTAAGTAAATAAAATAATTATTAAACCTAGGTCGAATAGTCAAAGATCAAATATAGATATTCAATCATAATGATTCATAATTGGAATAAAAAAGTTCAAAAAATTGTGGTAAACTGACAAACAAAAAGAACAAATATAGAGGTAAATAAATGTTATGCTTGAAAATAGAACAAATTTGATCTACGAGAAAAGATCAAAAGTTTTCTGGTATAAAAATTTAATCGTCTACCATTTGTTTTTCCAAGTGATATCAAAAAAGGTTTTCGTCAAACTCTAGGGAATCAAAATAATAATTATTTACGAAAAGCACATTATTTCTAGAATTCCATAAGTATTTTAAAAAATTGTTTGATGACGTCATCCATGGCAAAATTAGAAACCATTCCTGATTTTGCCACGAGTCATTTTTTGAACGACAAACTTGAAATTTTCTATGAATTTGATTGTAATTATTGTTCTTGACATCTTTCGAGAACGCAGACCGTTAGATGCAGATCGTTGGTTGCAGACCGTTAAATGCAGACCGTAAAATGCAGACCGTTCGTTGCAGACCGTTGGTTGCAGACCGTTGGTTGCAGATAGGGTTTAAAAATTTAACCGCCTACATTCGTTTTTTCAACGTGATATCAAAAAAGCTTCTCGTCAAACTCTAGGGATTCAAAATAATGATTATTTATAGAAAAACAAATCAATTATGAAACCGAAAATCAGAAAAGTTCAGAATTGCATATCTACCCACGTCCCAAGGGTTGAATTGCCAAAGAATATCACAAATATGTACAATGACAAAAATAACCATTTTTGTTATTGAGAATCTCTCTTATCGTAAATAATAAAATTATAAAAATGTTCAACGAATCGTTCGAAGAGTTTCCCAGATGGTATGAAATATCAATGCAAGTTTCAGCTTCAATTACCATTCCTATAAATAGTATTGGTCTAATAATGATAGCATTTTTCTCCAAGGAGCAACTTAAAAATTATCGATATTATTTACTGTTTCATCAAATCTGCTCAATGTTGTTAGACATAATTATAAATACTGGAACTGTTCCAGTTGTTTATTCGCCTTATCCAATTGGTTCACCACATGGTTGGATGACTGAAGTATTTAAAATTGTGTTGAAAATGGAGAATAACACATGGCTACAAACAGTGAGGGTTTTATTTTTTTGATTTTTATAAAACTCCTCAATTTAGGAAATTGTATTTCACGGATTCTTGACTACAGCTATGAGTGTAGAAATTTTATTCCTATATCGATATCAAGTGATTATACCTATAACTCATCCTTGGAGACTCTCAGGAATTTCAAAATTTCTAACAGTCTTGATATATCATATTATTTGGATGTTTTTGGTATCATTATCTTTTCACAATATAATGCCAAATGATCAATCAGCTGCCAAAGATCAATTCCGAGAAGATCATCCAGATCTCGCATTTTTCGTGGAAGACAAAAATTCACTGATTGTGACTACCGAGGTGAATCTCGATGCTATTCTAGTTCTCATCGTTTTCTTAACCCGAATCGGAAGTGGTCTCATAATTTGTTGCATTTTTATTCTATTATCCCGATACTCATTGAATCACACGATTATGTCTGCGAGGACTCGAAATATGCATCTCCATTTGATTCGTATTCTATGCTATCAAATTTCAATACCAATCGCCGCATTTTATATTCCAGTTTTCTGCATTTTAACTCCAATGCTTTTTCAGATTCAAAACACTTTCAATCTTGCATTGATTTCTTTCAATGTTATTTCGTATCACACTTTTTTGGGAACCTTTAGCTTGTTGTATTTTAATCGACCATGGACGATTTCAAAAGTATTTCATTTCAAAAGATCTGAACCTTTATCACATACTGCATTAACTGACTAGGAACAGTATTTTTAATTTCTTGAAAATTTAATTGATGAATTTTTATTTTTTTATTAGGCCGGCAAAAACAACGCAATAATACAACATTTTTAGCAAGGCAAAGACAAATAGAATTGTAAAATTCAACATCGGACTGCAAAATATGAGCGAAAACCCTATAATCATAGTTTTTTGGTGTTTGGAGAAAAGTTTTCTAGGTTTTTCTTTTCGCAATCTCTATTCTCGTTAATTTGCTATATTTTGCTGCAAAGATTATGAAATTTGGTTAAGAATGAACGATTTTAGCATTTTTTGTGAAAAAACGAAAAATGGTTTTGAGGTTGGCAAAAAATTCGCAAACCATCGTGTTGTCTGGCGTCTCTCTTGCGCGTTTCTATCTCTCATTTTCTCTCCCTCTCCTCATCTCTTGTACACACAACACTCTCTCGTTTATTTTTTCAATTTTGTTTTTTTTTTCATTTTTTGAGCCGGCCATCGGAAATGGCTGAAATTTGTTGAAATTTGGCTGAAATTGAAGGGTTTTTTTGGTTTGGAGATGTAATTGGAGGGCTTTAATTTGTATTCTAGTTGATTTTTTCTTGAAGTTCAAAATAATTGGATTTTTTCAGGCTATTTCGAAGCGGTTGGGTGTTGTTTTTTGGTCAAAAGAAGGAAAATGTCAAGTTGTCAGGTTAGATTTTTACGTATTTTTTCCGAAAATTCAAAAAATCCGTGGGGTTTTCATGATTATTTTTACAGGAACATCTTGGATTGCAGCGATCAAGGATTTGGATCGAAAACTAGATGGTAAGTTGTTTATTTTCATATTTTTTTTGAGAAAATATTGATTTTTTTCGGTTTTGGCAACAAATTGATGATTGGATGGAGTTTGAAGGTATGGAAACGAAGATTTTGCTTGAACTCTCGGATTTTCGGCTTTTCTTCGACGAAAAACCGAAGAATGTTTGTTTTTCTTCGAAAAAAAGGTTACAAGCCTGAGATTTTCTACTTCGAAGCCCATCACAATCATGATTCTCAGCGTCCGCATCGAAAAATCTCGGATTTTTGCACTTCTTCAATGCGAAAGCTCAAAATGTATGTTTTTATTGAAGAAATGCTTAGAATCCGATATTTTTCGATTGGAACGTTGGAAATTATGATCTTTATGACTTTTGGAGCTGAAAATCTCGGATTTTCAGCTTTTCAAAATGAAATCCTGGTTTTTCATTGAAAAATTATTGAAATTTCGAGATTTTTCGAATCAAAAGCTGGAAATTATGAATTTCTTTAGCTCCAATACATCAACAATTGTGTTTTTTTCAGCGATTTCGATGGTCGAGCAAGGATTTGAACGATTTGGTGGACGATGTAAATGGAAGAAGTTCGAGTTTCTGCCAGGTTAGATTTTAAAAGTATTATTAAAGGGGGGGGGGTAAGACGAAAAAGTGTGAAAATTAAAAAAAAAAGTGAATTCTGATCCCAGAAAATTTCCACTTCCAATTTTCATAGTAACCTTACAATACATTCTTCTTCGAACTTTTAGGGGATATTTATTTATGAAGTTTTATTTTTTCCATCATGCTGATTCTAGTTATGAATTATTTATTGACAGAAAAAATGCAAAACAATAAAATTTTGGTTTTATTATTTGTCAAGCGATCGTTTTGAGACACATTCCGCAACAATTGAACGACTGAAACTCAGACTTTATACTGTTTTTATGAAAACCAACCTACCACGGTCCCCTTCTACATGTCTCTTGCTTCAAAACACATTCTGTTCTACCGCTGCACCGTTTTCGATCACACGCTGAAATTGAAAAATTACTGAAAAATAGTGTGCTGAACCTACGATTCGATTGTATACATGTTGGTTGAGCAGCACAATTCGAACCATAACATCGAGATGGTTCTACCATCGCACATTCACTTCGATTTCCACACCGAACATTTCGACATGTTTGATTTTGAACACATCTTGATCTACCAGATTGAGTTGAGCAATGATAACCACGCGGGCATGAGCAATTAGCTGAATGTGAGTGGGATTTAGCTTAACAAAAAAATTATGGAGGTTAGACAGAAGATCTCTTACCAATAAGCCCACAATCTTTCGATTCAACACATTCTCCTTGATCATTTCTCAAATATCCCGATTTACACGCACATCCTTGCATACACATCATCAGACACGAAACAGCAGCCTCGTTTCTTGAACATTTCAATTCACTACACGGATTGTGACAATCAGTGTAGGTTTCATTATCAGCACATCTGAATAAGGCTACTCCAACTGATTCGGTTGAAGTGATTTGTGCTTGACACACAGCCAAAAATCCGAAAAATATCAATTTTGACCACATTTTGACAATAATTGTTGGGTTGACCAATATTTGTCCACTTTATATAGTTTCCTCAGGCAAACATTTCAGAGATCGAAAGTGGCAAAAATTGACACAAAAGTTCGAGAAGAGATCAAAACAATTGTGTTTTTTCTAACACATGTTACACCCAGTATCGTGAATCATAAGTCAATAAATATCTTGAGTGACAAAATCTTACCACATTTTCGAATGTTTACTTGATTTTGTTAGGCTGAAATTGTGTGCACTTTGAGTATCAGTGTATCCCACGTCAATTCTACTTGTAAAATCTCATTAATTTTTGATAATCAACAGGAAGTTTAATTATAATTTAGTAGAAATACCGTGTTGTTATTTTTAAAAACATCTTCCCACCTTCAAGTTCTCACAAAGGCTTGAACAAAAAAAATGTTCGAAGAATTTCCCAAATGGTATGAAATATCTATGCATGTTTCATCTTCCATCACAATTCCAATCAATATTTTTGGTCTAATAATGATCGCATTTTTCTCCAAAGAGCAAATGAAAAATTATCGATATTATTTACTGTTTCATCAAATTTGCTCAATGTTATCTGATATAATTATAAATACTGGAACTGTTCCAGTGATTTATTCACCTCATGCAATTGGTTCACCACACGGTTGGATGACTGAAATTTTCCGATCATTGTTAGGGATGGAACATAGTACTTGGTTACAAACGGTGAGGTTTTGGGGAAGATTGTTTTTCGGGCCAACTTCAGTATAATGATTCCAGGAAATTGTATTCCAAAGTTCTCTAACCACCGCGATGAGCGTCGAACTTCTATTCTTTTATAGATATCAGGTTATCCTTCCCCAATCCCATCCTTGGAAGCTCTCAAAACTTTCAAAACTTCTAACAATCTCCATCTATCATCTCGCTTGGATGTTTTTGATATCCATATCTTTTCATAATATCATGCAAGATGATCAAGAAATTGTCAAAGACCAATTTCGAAGAGATCATCCAGATCTCGCATTTTTCGTCGAAGACAAAAATTCTCTAATCGTCGTAACTGAGGTGAATCTCAATGCTCTCATATTTCTAATTGTTTCCTTCACCCGAATCGGAAGCGGTCTTATAATCTGCTGTATTTTAATCTTACTATCCAGATATTCGTTGGATAACATGATGATATCTGCAAGGACTCGAAATATGCATCTCAATCTGATTCGGATTCTATGTTATCAAGCTTCAATTCCCCTTGCCGCCTTTTATATTCCAATTTTGTGCATTTTAACTCCACAACTTTTCAAGATTCATCACACTTTTAATCTCGCATTGGTTTCTTTTGTTATCGTTTCGTTTCACACATTTTTCGGAACTTTTAGTTTATTATACTTCAATAGACCGTGGAATGTGTCGAAGAAACCTCCAAGATCTGGTCAATCAGTAACTGTATTCAGCAGTGAGAAGCAAACACGTTAGCATAAGGTCTTATCGGAAAAACTAGTGCATTTGAATATTTGTCAATAGAGCACGTTTGGTATTCTCTTGTTTTTGAGTTTTGTTATTTTGAACTTTTTTTAAATTTCCTTTATACAGGGTGGCCGTTAATTACCCGCACAAATGCAATCTGGTCCCAAGTTTGAACAGTAAATGCAGATATGATTTCTGGTTTCAAAAATTATTCCCAGATATTGTGTTCATCATTTTAACATATAATCTTGTCATAAAATTCGGTCTAAGGGTAGCTGGAATATCGGGAATGAATTTCAGAATTTCGCATCAGGCACGCTGCTTTTTCTGAATTAATCGAGCTTTCTAAACCCATAGGGAGTTTCAAATTACATATATGTTACCGGTTCAGAATTTCAAGATAACCCCTAGGTATGCTTGATCCTTGACGGAAATGATTCACAAAAATTCTGGAACAAGAATAAGACACAGTAAAGCGAAACCCTCAAAACGGATTTTTCAACTCAAAAACTCAATTTTTATCATTTATCATGTTCACCATCGTGGTGTGAGATAAATCCATGGTATTTCTGATGTTAAATGTAACTAGTAGGCTTGGTTTGGCTATACAGATCTCACATTTCCCACACATAACAATATTTTCGATTTTGACCTCATTTTATAAAATTTCTATCAAAAAACAGTCAATTTTAAAAACACGACCAGAAATGATCTCAATAATTTTTCAGAGGGTCTAATCTCGCTAAATTTCTTTTTTAATACCCAAAAAACATTATTAAATTCTGCTATGATTCTAAAAGTTCCGAAATTGTTTCAAATTTATCACGCGAAGTATGAAAATCACTCGAAAAAAATAGAGCGTGCAAAAAATCTTGTTTTTGCGTTTCATACTGTCCCGGACAACCCCTCTAACTTGCCTCAAACATGAAGAATCACTATGAGACTTCGATTATTTACTTTAAAATAGGTAAAACTAAATAATTATGATTACGGTAACAAGTTTGGGACGTTTTGATAAGAATCTGAGCTGGTTCAACAAAAATTTGGCTTGTGCGGGTAATTAACGGCCACCCTGTAAATAAATGAACTTTCTCATTAATTTTATTTTCCAGCTTTAAAAACAAGCTAATTTTGAAAATATACAGCAAATTTTTTAACAAAAAAGAATTATACAAGTTCTCTTCAAAAATTTTGAATTTCAATTTTCGTATTCCGCCGCAAAGAATTCGATGTATAAATCGCTTCCATACTCACACTTTTCGTTTTTTCAAAAAATCGGGTTCAATGAAACGTAATAAATTTTTTGATTATTTTTTTTTTTTGACAAGAGATAACAGAAACAAAAATTATTTTTTGTTCATTTACTTGATGAGCAAAGTAATGTAGAACGTGACTTGGTTGATATACTGTGAGATAAATAAAATAATTATAATTGGATTTTTTGTTAATTTAAATAATTAGTGAGGACTACTGACTTTTCAAAAATCATCAGATCTACGTTGAAAAATCTGTTTTACCTGAAAGTCCACGTGGTTTCTAGGTCCTGAAATTTTTTTTTCAACGATCTGTAAATTTGGAAATGATCATTTAATAAACTTCAACAAAAAATGATTTATTTGAAAACCAAATCACCGCCGCCACGAATTCGATGTGTTCAAAATTTCCAATTTTGCCGAATATTTCTTTTTAGTAAAAATATTCCTAAACTTCCAAGGTCGATTGAAATACAACAAGCTAAAAGTTCCAAAAAATGTGTGATAAGAAACGATATTCAGAGAAATTAATCCAGAATAAAAAGTGTTATGAATCTCAAAAACCAGTGGAGAAATAAGAACCAAAATCGGAATATAAAATGCAGAAAGTGGCACCGAAACTTGATAACAAAGATGACGAATCAAAGTGAGGTGCATATTTCGAGTCTTGGCAGAAATCACCATGTTATCCAAAGCATGTCTTGATAAAATAATCAAAATCCAGCACAATATTGCGCCACTTCCAAGTCGGATAAAGCAAAAGCACAAAAATAGAAAAACATTGAGATTCACATCAGTGGCGACGATCAATGAATTCTGGTTTTGCACAAAAAATGCGAGATCTGGATGAGCTTTTCGAAATTGATTTTTGACTCCAGTTTGCTCTTTCGAAACAGTATAATGAAATGAAATAGAGACCAAGAAGACCCAAATTAGCTGATAAATGAAAATCGATAGGAATTTTGAGAATTTGGCAAGTTTCCAAGGATGGTTTAGTGGTAGAATGACTTGATATCGGTAGAAGAAGAGAAGTTCCACACTTAGTGCAGCCATCAGAATTCCAAAAAATGCAATTTCCTGGAAACCAGAAATGAACAACATTTTTTGGTACACCAAAACCCACCGCTTGTAGCCAAGTGCTATTCTCCACACCCAACACCAATTTGAAAACCCAAGACATCCAACCATAAGGAGTTCCGATTGCGTAAGGCGAATAAATCACTGGCAAAGTTCCAGTATTTATAATTATATCGGATAACATTGAGCAGATTTGATGAAACAATAAATAATATCGATAATTTTTCATTTGCGCCTTGGAGAAAAATGCGATCATTATAAGGCCAAAAATATTGATCGGAATTGTTATTGAGGCAGAAATGTGCATTGAAATTTGGTACCATTTGGGAAACTCTTCGAACGTTTCATTTTCAAGCATTTTTTTAACAAAAATAATGATTATCTGAAAAAATCTACGTAATTAATTAAAAAATCTACGTAATTAATCACAAAAAATAGGAAATCTTTAATCAGACTTTGCGCTCTGAGTCAGTTCGATTATCGTTGAACAATTTTTGAAATCAGAAATTCACTGAAGCGTAGCAAAAAAAAGTTGAGGAGGAAGAATCGAGATGCCGCAAAAAATATGCAAAATCGTAAACAATTATTTAAAATTGGTTTTGAAAAAAATTGAATTTTTTTGGACAATAGAATTCATCTAGAAGTACAGAAGCACTGGAACTTTGTTGAAAAGCTTATTTCGAAAATCACAAGTGGAAAAAATTAGAAATTTTTGAAATTGAGAGCTCAAAAACCAACTCGCTTCATTTATCTTCTAGCCTACTTCACTTTCCTCTCAAAGTCCGAGTTATGACGTGGCAAAAGTCCTTTTTGTTTGAAAAAAAAACAAAATGAAAAATTATTGAAAATGCATTTTTTTCAAAACAAAAGTTGTTTTCAGCGATTTTAATATTAAATTTGTGTATAGAGTTTACAGCTTTTGAAAACCTCTCACCTTAACTTGACACATGCATTGTCACAGTCTTCTGGAAAATCATGTTGCTTTGCACTTCCCCACGACCTGTTAGAATTCGAACAATCCAAAATCGATAAGGTTTGTTGAAATAAAGCACACTAATTGTTCCCAAAAATGTGTGGAATGAGATGATTATCAGGCAAATTAAGCAGATCACTGTAATTAATTTTAGAACATTATATTCTAAATAAACTTAGGGTAAATTACCTTGTGAATCTTGAACTTCCAGAAGCAAGCAAAACACGACAATCAAAAATGGCAAATAAAATGCAATAATCGGAATTGATGTTTGATAGCACATGATTTTGATGAGTTTTCGATGCATTTCTCGAGTTCTCTCAGACATTGGAAATTGTTGAAGTGCCGTGTAGCTATGAGTGACCATACGAATACATCCACCAACACCACAGGCTACACGGAATATTAGGATGAAGAGGAGGAAGACGTTGGCGATGTTGAGATCGGAGGAGAGAATTAGGATTGAGGAGAGGGTGATGAGCGAGGTGGCTTCGGGGTGAGCCTGGAAATTTTTTTTTTTACATAAATCTCCCCCGAACTCTTTTGGATACATCTATGAGAATGGTTCTAATTGTAGTTTCGAATTTTCTTTGCCTGCAAGTCTGAACCTAGCCTAACTCCAAGCCTGATCCCAACCCACCACCAAAAAAATCGCCTTCGAAGTATCCACATCAGGAATCGAATAAATAAACGAGATAACACAAGTCAAAAACCAAAGAGTCGAGCAAATCGCAACCAGCAAAATACATTGAAACGGTGACATTTTCCTAGGATGCCCCTGAAAAAAATTCCCATCAACCATCAAAACCTTAACCTTAACTCACCATCGGGATAATTGATTGATACCGTAGTAAAAACATGAGCTCCAAAGTGGCTGCTGTGTAGAAAATTGAGATCAGAATTAAAAGAATTTGAATTTTCGCGGTTTCTGGGAATCCCAATTTTTCGGAAATCGTTGTGAAAATTCCATGAGTTCGTATAATTGGATATGGAGCTAGGATGTTTGGAAGAGTTCCGATGTTTATTAGAAAATCTGTGAGCATTGAGCAGAGCTGGAAAAATAAATGGGGATTAAGAAAATGTTTTTAAAAAAAATCCCAACCTGAAATATAATCAATTCCACTCGATGACTTCCCATTTCCCGCTTCTTTGCAAAAATCACAACAAATAATCCGAATAAATTCATCGGAAAACTGATAGCCGCAGAAATGTGCATTATTTTCAAATACCATTCGACTTCGGTGTCGATATTTTCAACCATTTTTGGCTGGAAAGCTAGAAATTCAGCTGGAAATACATATTAGTTGAACTAGAAAACTACAAATTTCGAGAAGAAAAGTGTTCAAAACTGAAAACTAGAGGAAAAAAACTTGAAGTGAGAAACCTATTTCACATTTTTTCTGAAAAAGAGTTTTGACAACTAGAAAAAGTTCAATAAACTAGAAAACGTTGATTAAAAACGTGTGTAAATGTCAAAAAATGAGACAAAATTCAATGAAGCTGAACAAAAATACTTTCCTTCTTTTTTTCACAAAAAAAAACATTTTTTCTCCTTTGTTTTTTTTTGTGGTGTTAATTAGAGCGAATAATTAATTATATTAGTGACAAATATTTCCCAGAAACAAATATAGAAAAAAATCTTGGGTTTTTCATGTGAAAAATGTGATTTACAAAATATAATGTATCGAATGTAGCTTCAAAAAATTTTAAATGGAAATGGGAATTTTTTTTTTGATATTCGAAAACAAGACAATGCAAATTGAAATATTGAATTTCAAAGGATTTTTTTCAGATTAAATTCCAGACTGAAAAAATATTTATTCTAAAAACTCCAAGTGGCACAAGAACATTTTTTGACTAAAAAAAATTCTGAAATTTTTCAGACCAAATCAAAAACTTTGGTTTATTTTTCATTAATCAAATTTTCGCAAAACATTTTTTTCTGCAAAAAAGTTTGTTCTGGTCTATAAATCATTAAAATCAACCTGAAATTAATTTTTTAACGAACCTGGACAATTCAATTTCTATCTTATTTTCCTGAAATTAACCTGTAATTAATTTTTCCAAAAGAAAGTTTCCCAAATTTGAAAAAAAACGAAGATCTCTCTCTCCCACTTTCTTCTCCAAAAAAAAATAATTCCGTGATAAAAATGCATTTTTCTTCATGAAAAAAAAATCTAGAATTTCAAATGATGAGCAAAAAACAGTCGTTGATCAAATAGAAGAACTCGTATTATTATTAGAGTTTCCAAAAAGGCTCAGAATCCAATTCTGATACGAACCCGGCAATAAAAAAAGAGCAAGACTTCCGAAAAATGTGTGAGTTGAGATGATTATTAGGCAGATTAAGTTGATGGCTGGAAAAAAATTAATTTTTTTAAAATTCAGACCTTCGGAAGTTTTCTCCTCCCCCTTCTTACTTTGTGATCCTCCTTCAAAAATCTCAAACTGTGTCGCAACCATCGCAACAATCAACGGTGTATAGAAAATCAGAATCGGCAGACCAATTTGCAAACACACATTTTTCACAAACTTTTTTTTGATCTTCCTTGTTCTCTGCGATAAAATCGGATAATAAATGAAGACTTCTTTACATTTCATCACAAAATACAAACTTTGACAAATTCCAAAAATCGATCTCGAGATGATGATTGCATAGAAAATGTGGGTGAAAATCGAATTTTTCGCGGTCAAAATCGTGATTCGTTTTTTTGGTGCGGCTAGGTTTTGCTGCTGCTGCAGCATTGAAGAGTTTGCGAATATTTCCGGATGAATTTTGAGAATTTCGGGAAGGATTTCTGATTGATTTGGTAGAATTGAGTAGTAATAGGATGTTGAAAATATGATCCAGATTGAATTTGATATCAGGAATCGAAAAAAGCACGTGGATTTTTTGCGTTTCTGCGGGTGGTTCTGGAAAAATAAGAGTATTCAGGGATCGAAACTGGATTTTAAGTTTCAATTGAAAACTAGAAAATTAATTAATGCCACGTGGATTTTCTAACTCCACATGTTTTTGTTGCCACGTGCAATTTTCACCAGCCAAAAATAATCCCAAAGTCTCTGAATCAGAAGTAAGAAGCTTTTATTCCACTTATTTACGTACTACTGTAGTTTTACGTAAATAATCCTGGTCAGAAGAAAAAAGTAATTTTGGTGTCATAATATCGATGAATCAACATAATATGTTTTATAATAATTATATTTTGATATGTATGACATATTCATGACAATAATGTTTTGTTTTAATATGATTTTGTTTTGTTATGACCAGTATATAAGTCATTCTCCAACTATCATTTTATCATTCTAATAAATATTAAATTATATTTATTTGACATTTGGAGAGTGGGGAAAAGAGGATGAGGATTTACATAGAAATCAAAAAATCAATTCTATGTAGATTTGAAAAGTTTTTGCCACGTGGAATGTTTTTGAATTTCAAAAATTTTGCACCCAAAAAAAGCTCACCGGTGGCAAAATTCCTTGATAAATCATGAAAAACAGTTGCTCAATACTCCCGCATTTCAAAATCATAAAAACCTGCGAAATCGAAAAATCAAAATGTGGCTCATAATTCACAATCTTTGTCAACAATCCATTCGATGAAAACATCAAAATATCGGCTGATGAATAAAAAACCGGCAAAAATCCAAAAACATTGTGCAAATCGGTTAAAATGGCGAAAAATTGAAAGCAAATCAGATAATTCTTGATTTTGCGAGTCTGCTCGAAATTGCAATAAATTATGAGGAATAGTGTGAAAATGTTGAAGGGAGTTAGAAGAAATGCGAGATTTTGAGTGATTTTGAAGAACCATTGAGGATCCGCATCGATTTTTGACATTTGGGGATCTGGAAAAATGGGATTTTCAGGAGGAGGGGGGAAGGAAACGAAAAAATCAGTAAACATTTTTTTTCGTGGGAAAATTTGATAAAAAATTCAGAGCTTTTTCTGGGAAAATTAGAAATAAGAAATGAAAAACTAGAGAATTTCAGATTACAAACAAAAAAAATGAATTTCAAAATTTTACAGTAGATCAAAAATTTTCAGTCTCATTTTTTTCCTCAGAAAAAGTAATAAATTTGCACCTAGACATAGAGAAGAAAAAAGATTCTAAAGATTTTCGCAGATTTGAGATTTTCGGAGCCCAAAATCCAGTAAAGCCGATTACTTTTTGCATTTCATAAATTAATTTTTGAATATTTGTCGATGTGGAAATGAGGTCTGAACATCACAAAACATAGAATTAGCTGAAAAATATCAAAAATCTTGAAATTTTCGAAAATGACTCAAAAATTGAAAATTTTTGTCATTCCAAATTTCAAAAAAAAATAAATTGAGTCCAAAGGTAAAAGATTTTCGGAATCAAATTTTCACGTATCAAAAAAATCCCTCCAAATCTGGTGAGCCAAGAAAACCTGACAAACAAAATTTAATTACAAGTTTCAGAAGTTTGTTTTTTTCCGCAGAACGGGATCATTTTCAGAACAGAAAAACAATTTTTTGAATTTCGCCAAAAAAAAATAGACTTTGTTCCAGAAATCAAGTCCGAAGTGCGATTTTCCGTGTTCCACGCAAAAAATAAATGAGAAATATGATAATCCCGGATTACAATAGTATTTTTTGTTTCAGAACTTATTTCATGGAAAAATGGCTTAAAAAACAGAAAAGTTCAGGAAAAATGATCTCAGATTTTTTTTGTTTGAAAAAATGAGGAAATTTTCAGCAGAACAATTTTAGTACCTAATAATTATCTTTTTTTTTGATACTGAAAGTTGGAAATGACTAATTTTTCAGGAGCCAAAGATCGTGCATTTTTCAGCTTCAAGGTTGAAATTCAATTTTCAAAAAAAAACCTTGATTTGAGTCTGATAGCTGAAAAAGTGTTTTAGATTTACAGAAGATGAAAAACTAAACTAGAATGTAGTTTGTTTTATAATCGAAGTGAAAATGTTTTTTCTCGAAATTTTAATGTTTGAATTTGGTGGGCGAATTTTCGAATTTCAGAACAAAAAATTCTGAGAAAATCTGATGTCAGAATGAAAGTTCATTTCCGCGTGAAAAAATTGTGACTTTTTTTGAAAACAAAAATTTTCAGAGAATATTTGGCGTTCTGAAATTTTTGACCAAAAAAATGGGAATTTTCATTTTCCCTAATTTCAAAAATTAGAAATTCTACATAATTTTTTGAGCTGAAAATTGCCACATGGATTCAAAGTTCACAGAAAAATCAAAATTCAAAAAAAAAATGCCAGACATTTTATTTTTCTCACCAAAAAAAAAATATATGAAAAATAATTGGAGAATTAAAATTTGTACTCAATTTTTTTTCCAGAAAACTTTAGAAAGTTCAAAAATGTGTCTGATTTTGAAATCCGATACATTTTCAATATTTGCCAATTTTTTTTTGAAAAATCGAAATCCAGGATTTTCGAAAAATCAATAATGTTTCTGGGAAAATTTGAAAATGTGTCAAATTCACTTGAAAAATAATTATAATGGAACTGAATTTTCAACTGGGAAAAAAGAAAAAACTTTTCTCGCTTTTTTTTTTGAACAAAGTGATCTTTGCAAAAAAATTGACTCGGTAATTAAAAAATCGTCTAGTTTTGGACTAAGTATATAGATTTTTTTCAATTTTTTCTTTCTGAAAAGCCACGTGGCAAATGTCCAATTAACTGCTAAAAATTCAAAATTCAAATCAATATTTCAGGTTTCCAAAATTTATAAAATTTAAATCCACGTGGAATTTGATGAACTTCAAGTTGTATGTAGATGTTCAAATTTCAAATTCAAAATACTTTTCAAATATTCATTCTAGCTTAAAAATTGTAGACTTTTTGTGAGGAATATTTGTTTGAATTAATTTTAATTTCTTAAATTTTGAAATGTAGAACTCAAGATTTTTTAATTTTTAACGTCTAGAAAGCAAGAAAAAATAAAGTATTATCGGAACTAGATTAATTTCCGTACATGTCGTTTCTGCAAAAAATAGAAATAGAAAAAAGTAACTAATTGCATTTTCTTAGATAGTAATTTAATTTTTTTTAGTTTTTTCTGGTTTCTGATTTGAAGTTCATGAAGCACTAGAGGAGACTAGATTAAAGTCTTCTAGATTTTTTTTGAGCTGAAAATATCGAAACAGAAATCCCTTCACAAGAAAGGGATTTTCCAAATCGCGTCATTTTTTATCTCTGAATTAACATCAGATAAGAGAATCGTCATGTAGTTCTTTCGGAAAAAACGGGTTGGAAATGAGGAAGTAGATTTTTGAAGGGAAAAAGTTTCAAAAGTTCAGCCGAAGATGTGTACTTCTTTTGGACAATTCGACTAATTTTGTTCTTCAAATATGTACAAAATTAATCAAAACTTCATTCAACTTGCAATTTTCAGAAAATTTACAGATTGTCTAGTTGTAGTCTGTGTACTTCTTTTGGAGGAACTTTCAGACATTTTCAAGCAAAAATTAGTTCAAAATTGACTTTTGAAGTGTGAAATCAAATTATTCTTTCAACGATCATAAAAAATATATAAAACTTTAATCTAAGTCAAAAATTCTGTGTACTTCTCTCGGACAACTTCATAATTTTGAGTTTTTTTATTTCGTGTTTTTCAGATAAACTTCAGAATTTCAAAAACTTCCTCTTGGAAGGAATTAATTTTTGAACAGTTTTTGTCAACCAAAAATTGAACTTTTCCAATAAAAAAATGTGATCACAAATCACGATTTTTGTTCAATAACTAAACAATAGTTCAAATTTCAAATTTTAATGTTTTTTCCTAGACAGGCAATACTACACTCTAGTCTACCAGAGATAACCCAACAAAACTGTTTTCCCCATTGTATTTTCTCCGAAAAAAATGAGAGAAATCGATCAGATAAACCCAAATTGGTATGGCCTTTACAATTTCGCCGATAAAATCTTCGCCGATAATTTACTGGTCCGCTCCTGATACTGGTCCGCTCCTGACCAATATTAGCCATGGTCCGATTAATTGACCAACAGGCCTTTTACGGAAGGAGGCGTTTGCAGAGGGTTGGGGATTGGATTTCTAATTCTCTCATTTTATCTTATATTCAAATAACTTCGTTCTGAGTCAAAACTTCTAACTTCTAACTTCTCATCTAATTCAAATATTCATCATTAAACTTTCTCCCCCCCCCCATATTTCAGTTTTTTATCTTTACTCCTTTTCCCCTCTTTATTTTACCTTTAATGCAACCTTATTCACTATCATGTTAAACCACATTTATTATTCACATAGTCACATCCTCTCAAATGGCCCAACTTGTCTTTTTTATAGGACCTACGGGCCTTTTTGTTTTATTGCAGTCATCTCGATTATCATTTCTCTACTATCTCTTCTTTTTAAATTCTTTTGTCTTTCACAATGTATATCGGTGTGGTTCAATAAATATATATATATATATATATCTAGTTGTCGCGAAATATAGGAAAATTGCCGAAAAGTTTATTTTGTGTCTAGTCTGCGAAGGTTTTCAAAATATTTTCTTCACGTTTGTAAATGTTTTCATTAGCGCTACATTTTTCAAAAACTGTTCCTGATCTTTGTAATAATTTGTCAATTTAAAATAAAATTGCCACGTGTCAAAAACTCCAAATTTTGGACTAGAAATTATTTTTTTTGAAAACCATAGATCAAAAATAAATTGAAAAATATGGCCACGTAGATTTTCGAATCAAACTACATTTTTTTCAAAATTATTGATGTTTTATTCCACGTGTTCATTTCAAATTTTTTCTGCCTCGGGTGCATTTTCCTCCCCCACTTTTTGTACGAAATTTCAAACACAATTTCGTCAGAAAAAATTTTTTATCAATTTTTTTTTTGAAATAATCTTTGACTCTGGTCTGGTGGAAAAATAAATAGGAAAATTCATGTTTTTTTTTATTTTCAAAAATTATTATTTTTTTGAGCAGCTTTTCTGAGCAGATTAATTTCCTACGCCTTTTTTTCTCTGATTTATACTGACCAAAATATAATATAAGTAAGTAAGTTCCCATAAACACAAATATTTATTTTTTTTTAATCATTTTCAGGCCTAATTGGATCTATTTAGGCCAGGCCCCGATGAGATGTGAGAACTTTGATTCATTAGTTTTGAAAAAAAATGCATTTTCGGGGCCGATTTTTATCTATGAAGAAATCTTCCCTTGAATATAGTTCAGCAACAGAAAATTGACTTTGGAAATTTTTTTGGGAGGGTTTTGCTGCGTTATAAAGTTTTTTCGTTTTGTCACGAAAGTGTTTCGAACAGGGTTTTGAAATCCACGTGGCATTTTTTTCTAAACAAATTTCTCTAGATTTTGCTTGTCCTAAATCCCTTCGTGAAATTTTGAACACATTTTTTTTCAAGTCTAAATTCAAATTCTGTAGTTCCGGTGTAATAATTCGAATTTGCGAGAAAAATTGAAAACCAATTTTTCTGACTAAAAATTTAGGTCTAAAAGTCCACGTGTGAAATTTTAAGTTGAGTTCGGCTGATTTTGAAAAAATGTTTCGAATTTTCAACGTTTTAGCTGATTAATCACTGAATAAAATATTTAATCCAGGTGTTTTATTCATACATTTTTGATCTATTTGAACTTCAAATTCCAGTGAAATTAGTTTTTTTAGAATGTGGAACTTCCACAAAAATCAGAATTTTCAATATCTGAAAATAATAAAAATCCAGGTGTTTTAAAAATTCTAGAAATCTAAACGATTAGTTCTGAAAATTTATTTGTCCCCTAAAAATCCAGGTGTTTTTCAAACTAATTTTCCCCCGCGAAAAAACAAAAATTGTCTAATCAAATTTTTCCTCCAACGCGCCAAAAAACCTCATTTTCAGTCAGAAAGAGAAAACACGCCTCCACAAGCGAAAAACTCGAGTATTTATTTATTCAAAAGAAAAAATTTCTAAACTTGTTAATTTATTCAATTTTCCTCCGATATTTTTTTTATTTTTCTCACATATTTTTTCTATATAAAAATATGTACATATAGGTAAAACTAATAAGAATTATTAGTTATTTTTCAAAGAAAACCTTACTTAATTTTGGGTTTTTAGCTAATTAATTTTTTTTTTCTCTAACCTAGACGTATGTATTTTATAAGAAAATTAGATTTTCTTCAACCCCAAAATTAAAATCAGAGCTTTTCTAATTGGCAGGTGTATTGAATCTTAGAAAATTGAGAAAATTCTGATTTATTCTCTCTACAATTTCTAGGCGTAGATTTACATAGCTAAAAATAATACAGTTTTTGCCACGTGGAAGATTCTAGGCTTCTGGACCACTAGGTTTTAGGCTTCAAGGATTCAAGGCTTTCAGGCCTATAAGTTCATTTGTTGAAATTTTTTGATCAAAATTCTGGGCGCCTGGAATTTTTTTAAAAGTTTTTTCTTCAAGAATTTTTGCTAATCTACGTGGATTCTTTTTTTTTAAATATATATTTTTTTTCTGATTTCGACTAGCCTCAAAATAATTAACAGGTGAATTTTTCGACGTCAAAAAATGCCACTCACCCAAAAAAATTATTTGTATTTACGTCAAAATGCAGTTATTTTCAGAATTTTCACTGACACTTGGGAATTTAGTGCATTTTTTTTGAACACATTCTGATTTTTTTTTCTTTGAATATTTTTTGCGGCCAAAATTTTATATAAAAACTAGGCTGAAAACCATAAAAAATTCAAAGGTTTTTTCGTTTTCAGTTTATTTTTTGAAAAAAAATTGTTTGTTTTTGCCACGTGTCATTTTTGACCAAAAATGTGTTCTTTTTTTCAAATATTTGAACAAATATGATTTTTGCCACATCATTTTTTTCAAAAAAATATTTCTGTTATTTTCTCGTGTAAAATACAAATTTCACAAAACGAAATGAGAAAACAACAATTTTCAGTGAAAAATGGACGATTATTCGCTGGAAAATATCGATCTTCCTGCAATTTTACCGTCAGAAAATCCCGAAGAAGAAGTTAGCGGAAATCAACCTGGCCACAGTAGTCAGACTGCAAAAAAAGTACAAAAAGAGGAGGAATATTATGAAGAAGCACAAAGTTCGTCGAATTTGGTTGAGAGCAAAAATAAGCCGGTGGTTTTGGAAAAATGCCGGATTTGTGGTGGAAAAGCTTTTGGTTATAATTATGAGGTGAGGGAGTTTTTGCCACGTGGGATTTCCTAACAACCTTATTCTTACCCTAAAACCCTAATATATTTAGGTTCTCTCCTGCAACGCTTGCAAAATGTTTTTTCGTCGAGTAATCGTGGATAAATTGAATTATGTTTGCAAATCGAAAAATCAATGTTTTAGCGAAAATACTTCAGGTACTTAACTTTCGAAAAAAATCCCCCAAAAACCATTCTCATCTAGATTCCCGCCCAAAATGCCGTGCTTGTCGATTTCAAAAATGCGTGAGTGTTGGAATGAAATACTCGGCTCCCGGAAAACCCGCAACTCTCTCTATAACCGCCTCAAAAATCGATAGTAAAGATAAAGTGGAAATGTTGCCGAAACTATTGGAATCACTTCTACACCTACATTCACATAAGGATTTCATGTTTTCGAATATTTGGACAGATGATGATCCGTCTCTTTGGGATTTGTTGAAGAAGAGTAATAAGGGATTTAGTGCGCCGCTTAATGTAAATGAACTAAGTACTTAGTTTTGACACTCAAACCGTTCTGTTTTTGCAGAAAGATAAGAAAGAGATTGCAATGACACAATGGTCATTTTTTGGAATCTACACAGCTGTCGAAATGCTAGACATTTTCAATTTCCTCGATGATTTATCGATTGAGGATAAATTTGTATTGATTCAAAATTTTGGAATGAAAGCTTCCTTGTATACAAGAGGTTTTGCGTGTTCTCAATTGAAATATGATCGATTAATCAATCCGAATGGAACAGATTGTTATCCGGATTCGGTTTTACAGTGAGTTTCTTCGAATTGTTTATCCAAAGGATTTCTAGCCCTAACAATTTTCAGAATTCCCGTGTTCACCGAAAAATTTCTGAATCGCATTCGACGGGGATTAGTGCAAAAAATTAATAATACCAATGTGACGCCAGAGGAATATATTTTAACACTTATTGTTTTCTTTTTGAATCCAGGTGAGATATATTTTCAAAGCATTTTTTTCAAATTTTCCCAAAATACTCACCACTTCCTACAGCTCTCCAAGATCTCTCAACTTCGGGTCGATGCCAAATCTCAACTCTTCAAATGCAATTCTCCGATCTCCTTCTTCGTCATTGTCTTCAGAAACATCAACGAAATGGTCCGGCTCGATTCAACGAGCTTCTTTCATTGGGCAATGTTCTCAATCAGCAAATTGAGGATGTCAGTTATTTGTGCATGATTTTCGGGATGTATGCACCAGCTACACCCTTTAAAAAACTATTTCATGACACTATACAGTTTAATTGATTACATAGTTAGTTAATTAATATATGAGAATGTAATTAAATGTGAATAAATGTTTATTGACTTTTTTGCGAAAACAAAAATAAAACAACGACACTCCGCTTGATGGCAGCCCGCTGAATTCAAATGTTGTTTTTTTTTCGTTCTTTTTTTTTCGCTGCGAAAAATTAAATACGTAAAACGTGAAAACCTGTGTTTCAAAAAACATGGCTTGTCATTTTTCAAGAAAAGTAGCCAAAGAAAATGTCGCTAAAAATTCTAGTCTTCCTATTTTTCTGTTTTTCTGCAAGTTTTTGCTTTTCGCAAAAATATTCTTGGCAAGGTTGTGATTCAAATAGAAAAGAACCGCCTAAATGTGAAATGTGAGCGATTCTTTAGCTTTTTTGCTGGCAATAAATAAAAAAATTGATTCGTTTATTTTTCAGGTTCAAAAAACCGCCGTTAATAATCCTGAGCTTTGATGGTTTTGCCGCCGAATATCTGAAATTCAACATTGTAAAATCACTGGATTATATAGCAAAATGCGGTGCAACAACCGATCGAATGTATCCAGTTTATCCATCAAAAACCTTCCCAAATCATTATTCAATCGCAACCGGTTTACATCCACAAAACCACGGAATCGTCGATAATTCAGTTTACGACAAAGAAATCGATCAATTTGTCAGAGTTAATAATGCTTCATCGAAAAAATATTATGGTGGTGAACCGCTTTGGGTCAAATACAAGCGAACTGTGCAAAACGCATCAAAAGTGAATATTTTAACATGGCCCGGTTCCGAAATGAATATATCACAAGAATTTCCAATCGATAAATATGAGATATATGATATGAATCGAAGTTTGAAATCGAAATTTGAGGAGATTTTTGAGATATTGAAAAGTGGAAATAGTGGATTGATAATGTCGTATTATCCGGAACCTGATGGAATTGGACATCGAGGAATGAAGGATAAAACGAAGATAAAGGAGGTTCTGCAGAAAATCGATAAGGATTTGGATTTTTTCATTGGGAGATTGAAGAGAGCGGGATTTTTGGATTGTCTGAATTTGGTGATTGTTTCTGATCATGGTGAGTTAGTTTGGTGGAAATAAAAGAGTGAGGAACCTTTTTTTCCTGCTGTAAACGCGCTCCGAGACCAAAAAATCAAGGCTTCAGGTGTCTCGATTCGACTCTCTATGAGAAATCGCTTCAAGACCCATTTTTTGATGACTTTTTCTAGTCTTGAAATGATTTTCTAGCTTTCTACGTCACAATTCACGTCTTTTTCGATAAAAAATTGATTTTAGCACCAAAAATATAAAATCCTCACAATTTTCAGGAATGCAACTCCTCTACAACAAAATCCAAGTGAACTCAAAACTGTCAGGCATAGATTTGAGCAATGTTCAAATCAAGGATAATCTTCTCGGATCGATTCATTGGAAACGCCCGGATGAATATCAGGAAGAGGAGATTTTCGAAAGATTGGCTTGTGAAATGGATAATCTGCGAGTCTATAATCGAAAAACCATGCCGGTTCGAAAACATTTCACAAATCATTCAAGAATTGGAGAAATTGTCATTGAAGGCAGCCCGGGCATCACATTCGCATCGAAATCTTCGAAAAAACAAGGAGATCATGGTTATGATTTCAACCGGAAAAATATGCATGCCATATTTTTTGCAAGAGGTCCTGGAATCAAAAAGGGAACTCGAATTCAACCATTTCAAAATGTGGAATTGATGAATTTATTTATCGATTTGCTCGAGATTCCGAAGGAGGAGAAATTGAAAAATGATGGGAATTCGGGATTTTTTGATGGGATTTTGGTGAAACCAAGGAAGGAACTGATCGAATTAAAGGAACATATTAGGTGAGGTGAAATTTTTATGGAGGAAGGAAAAAGTATTGAACTTTGACGTACTCATACTCTGAAAACAGGTGAAATTTCATTATAGTTTTCATCCGCGAAATTATTTATTTATTTCCATATTTTAAATGAGTCTGGAAAATATAACTTATGAAAATCCAATTTGGATAATAATTTGGTATCATATCATAGCAATTATCTCATTAATTATCAATAGTTTTGGAATTTATTTGATAATTTTCAAGAGTTTGAAAATTGGAAATTATCGATATTATCTATTGGCTTTTCAAATTTCCTCGATTTTTGTTGATATCATTTTTACTCTTGGTTGCCAGTTTGTTTTTACTCTACCGATTTGGTCATTCATAACTTCGAGTGCATATTTTTGGAAACTTTTCGGGTTGACAGCTTTTCAGTCAGCGGTTAGTTTAATTCCAAAGAGAGCCAAAAGGTTTGCTTGTAATCAGTTTATTTCAGAAATTACTGGTATTTTTCCTTTTTGCTCAAATTTGTGTCATAGCCAACCAGTTTTTTGAAAAACATCAAGCTGTTATGCAACTCGCAAATAACACTCGATTCATTTTCAAACCTACCATCAAACTATTCATCAATTTTGTTCTAATTACCATCGGCATAACGGTATTTATTATGTTTTTGTCCTGCGAAAATTCACGAGAAAAATCACTAGAAATAATCAAACAAAAATATCCAAGTGTTCATTTGAAATTCGAAAAAATCGAAACTTTTGTGTTTTTTGAGAATATTCCAATGGTGATATATTTAATTTTTAGTGCAATAATTATTGGTTTAATAGCTTCATCTATTGCATTCGCCTTAAGTTATCACATGTTGTCAACATTTTGGAGAATAATGGGAAATTTGTCGATATCTACAATGGATCAATTCATCTGAAGAAAAAATGAATTTCGCGACATTTTTTGTCGCGAAATTGCAATTCGCGAAACGACACGAAATTAATAAAATAAAAGAGGAAATTCTTTTTTCGTGTGTTGGGTCTCGCAGCGATTACGTGTCCCTTTAATATTTCTCCTTTATTTTTGTGTTTATTTTGTGTCGTTTCACGAATTGCAATTTCGCGACAAAAAATGTCGCGAAATTCATTTTTTCTTCAAATGAATTGATCCACAAGAAAAATTCATCAAAATTCGATTGTTAGTCTTTTTGCGCAGGTATTTTATCGAAAAATAGGGTGTGTTCCAAAAATAATCCTTGTTAAGGCTATAACTTGTTCTCTCATGATTATTCCGTGTTTTTCATTTTTTTTACGATGTATTTTTTGAATTCACAAATCAGAATTATGTATTTTATCACGAGTTAATATTCAGTTGTCATTCGAGTATTAATTGTATTGTTATGATTTTAACTGTCAAAGAATATCGCAGTTTTGTCCAAAGTTTGGTTATTGTTCCAAATGTTGTTCGAACGGAAGTTGCTAAAAATAGTTTTAGAATTCTGTGAATTTATTGAATATTTCACCTGTTTTTAAATGTCTCAACTCAAAGTTCAAAAAACTGTGTTTTGACTTCATTTTTTGTAGACAATAAAGCATTAGATACCGTATTCTGTGCAGTTCGAAAACAATTCATATTATCGAAAATCTCATCGGTACCACGCGCTCCATCGAAATAAACACGCAACGCAGACCGCGTCGCGCCACAACACACACAAATGTGATTTAAATAAGGGAACGATTCAAATTCCCTTCCTTTTTTGTGTGTGTGTTGTGGCGCGGCGCGGTCTGCGTTGCGTGTTTATTTCGGTGGAGCGCGTGGTTTTTCTCGAGCTCATTTCCATGTAAAAATTCATCTCCCAGAACTAATTTTCCAAATTTTTCAGAGAATGCGAAATGCTTTCCGACACTCAAAAACCAAAATCTTGTGGAAAATCGAAAACCCAACCAATTCTGAAATGTAGCAAAACTGGCCAACGACTTCCATTTGTCCCTTTGAATTCCGTAAATTCCAACAATTTTTGCTATGAAAGTTATTGTCAAGATAATATTGTGAAACACGCGAATTTTACGAAAGTTTTGACTGTTTTTGAGGGTATGACGTCACAGAAATCTGGATTTAACAATGGAGAGGATTTGAGATTCTATGATGAAAATTATGCCAGGAATAAGGAGGAAAAATGTGAATATTTGAAGAATTTGAAGAGTATTAGTGTGAGAAAGACTTTGGCTGATACATATTTTGAGCTTCCTGATGGTTTTGTTGAAAGTGAGTTTTTTGGGGAAGATTTTGCCACGTCAACTCGCCTATGACGTGACAAAAGTTGAATTTTCTACAAGTCTCATCTTCAAAACCCCTCTTTTTTCCAGAAATCCTCATTCCACTCGATAAATTGACTGAAAAATATTTGAATTCCTACCAAACCCTATTTATAATAAGTGGAACTACAATTGATTCAAATTATGATGGAAAAATGGATGATTCAAGTGAAATTGCAGATAAAAATAAAAATCCTACACATTTCTATCGAATAATTTTATCATGTTCAAAAAATGGTTGGAAATCAATAAATCCGCCCAGATGTAAAAATCCTGAAGAAATGAAAAGTTTGAGTTTTATATTTCCAATAATTCAACCAAAATCATGGAGTTGTATGGATTCAAATGACATTTTTATTGATTATTTGGCACAAATTTTGGATATTGAAAAAATAAGTGGAATGAAATTGCAAATTGAAGGAGCGACAAATCAACAGAATTTGATGATTAGACATCGAATTAATTTGAAATTGTGGAATGGGAAGAGAAACAAGAGAAATGGCGCGGGAGTTTTGGATTTTTCGATGGTTTTGGTGTGCATTTTGGCGACGATTTTGGGATGAATCGAGAGAGAAAATGAAATATGAACAATTTATGTGAGATTTTTTCTTTTTGGAAATTTTGGGATCACGTGGCGCGCAGTTTTTTTTTGAAATAGCTTTGGAGCTCATTTTTTTGTGCTGAGACTTTTCTAGTTTCCAGCTAATATGTTCAAAAGAACTTTTGAGTAATATTCTTTTCCTCACTATCTATTATAATGTCAGGAATCAGGAAAAAATTAGACTATAGTCTAGTCCAGCAAGAAAGTTGATTGCAATAATTTGTAATTTTTAACAGCCTTATTGTAGCTCTTTGTTAGCTGACAGTTGATGCTAAATCGACCACATGAACTCGATTTTTCCAACATTTACACACGAGCATTTTTCGAAGTCTTTTCCAATTTGCAACAGTGTATGTAATCGGAAATAAACCGAATTTGCTTGATTTTCGACAAATTAATGATTGCATGATATATTCGTTATATGGATCGGATGTTTGGATGAGAAAAAATAAAATGATTCCAATGATTCGAACGATAAAATATAAGAAAAGTGGTAAATTCTGGTAGATTATAGCGAGCTCTGATTTGCGTCGAGTTTCTGATAGAATGTGACGGTTTTTGTGTATAGCATAAAGTAATATAATATGTATTGCAAGAGAAATGACGGGGATTAGCATATCAAAATAAGCTGACATATAAAATATTACGGTCTGAAAGTGTATGACATTTCGAATGATTTTCTTGAAAAAGCTCACCTCTCCTTCTGAAATGTTTGTTTTTTGAGACGTAAAATTATCTGTTAACATCTCATAAATTACACAATTTGTATCACTTATGCGATCGAAAGCAGAAGAATCTGATGTGTAATAACTTGATGCAATTATCCAAACTATAATTAATATAAGAATTCTATTCAAGTATTTTCCTTGAACATATTTTTCAAGTTTCTCAAACTTCATTATAATTATAATTCTTTGAAGGCCGATTAGTAGAACGAATAACATGCTTCCATTATCTCGAGATAACATATTAGGAAGAAAAAAAACAGTGATAATGATCATAATCACAACAAAATTCCCATGTAAAAATCTTAGATAAAGATGGAATATAAGTAGAGAAGCAATTGTACTTATCCAGTGTATCAGAAGAATAATACATATTGTTTTATAAATTGGATAAATTAGATCTGTTTTTTTCTCGTTTGATGTTGTGAAAAATAGAAAGAAGAATGGTATTAGAAAGAAAAAGGCGATGTCGTCTGGAATTTGATTAATCCATATATCAGCATTAGTATCATAAAAATATTGTGCTTCTTTTTTTTCGTATTTGAAAACCATTAGAAATTGATGGAGAAAAAAGTGGTGTTGATTTTATGTCCACTTATGAATAATTATAGTATATTTTTCTTGAAGTTCAAGGGGGCCTATAATTGTTTTCGCGACCAAGATCTCAAACTTTTTCATTTTCTAAAACAAAATCCAGAAAAATTATCCTTCAGCAGTTGGCGGTAGATCACTATCATTGTCGTTTTTCTCATCATTTTCTTCCGGAACTTCTTCGGCCACTGCAAAATGATTTTTGAGGGGAAAATACGCTTCAAAAATATGCGAAACAAATTTTCGAAATCATTATGTGTTCATTGTTTTTCTAGTAAAAAAACCGAAAACTCACAAACTTCTCCCTGATCATTAACAATAATAATCTGATTCGTCACATGTTTCATACAATCTCGATTTTCACTAGCATTTTCTGTAAATATCACAGGAAGGTGTAGAATTCGATCAACCAGTTTTTCTCCATTCTTTTTCCAAATTCGACGGATTGTAGTTGTGCTAAATTCAATTTAGGTTAAAGCTAAGTCTCATTAGCATAATTTTTTACCTGAACTCATCCTCTTTGACCAAATTTATCATATCCGGTGGAATTGGAAGTTGATAGATCGAATAGATCCAACAAAAATCGTCTGGAATTCGATGACAACGAGATTTGAATGTGAAGAATAGTTTGATGATGGATCTCGGATTCACCATTCCGACTTTTGGTTTGACGAAAAAACAGGGAGTTGGTGGACTTCGGATGTTGAATGTGATGATCTAAAGATATTTTGGTCATGAGGAATCTGCTAGAACTTTTAATTTTCAGAAACTTGAAGCTGAAAAGATCAAAGTTAAATTCAGAAAACATTTATTTTTTCCTCGTGGATTTTTTGAACCTGAATAAAATCCAAAATTTGAATCGGGCATAAAATTTAAGTTTCGAAATATCCAGATATTTCCTAGGCTTATGAGATCTCAATCAAATCCAAATTTCACTCCTAATTCCAAATTTCACTCCTAATTCCAAATTTCAGTTCAAAATTTTTATAAATTCGAACTCGCCTTGAAATTTCGGTTCGAAAGATCTACATTTTTGAAATACCCAAAACCCACCTCGTCACTGGCATTCAACAACTCCAAATGCACACAACTTCTATCGCCATTCTCCTGAAACCCGCAAAAATTGATGAACAACTTCTTCGATTGCAAATACGATTTCGAATTTTGCGCCAAATTCCGCGCCTGTAAACGCAAATCTCCGCACGAGATTTGAATCGATTTTTCGCGGGCTGCAAACATTTTCGAATTTTTTTGCCTGAAAATCCTGAATCCCTACACATTTTCCAAGTGTTCCTTGCTCCTAGAAATGACATTTTTCCATTTTTTTTGCTCGTTCCGGAAGAAAAATATAGTTCACGCTTAAAAATGCATACAAATGTTGGCATTTTATTTTTTTTTCTGGAATTCGGAAACCATGACATCTCTTTTTCTCTTCGCGCAAAATGAATAGAAAAATGTTTTTTTGAAAAAAAAATTGGAAAAATATTTTTATGTATTTTTTAATTGAACTATTTATGTTTGTGTATATTTTTTCCGAGCTATACAAAAATACGAATATTTTTTTCCTCACTTGTGTTTTGAGTTAGGCTAATACAAAATGTTAGGCTTAGGCTTAGGTTTGAAGAAAGAAAAGCTTGGGCTTAGGCTTAGCCATCAAATTTTTTCAAGAAATTCTAGAATCATCGAAATTTTGTTTCAGAAAAATTCCGAAAAGAAAAATTGTTCCACGTGGCACACATTTTCGAGATCTGAAAATTCCACGTGGCAAAAATTTCAAATTTTCAGCAAAACCCTAAAATCCACGTGGCAAACTAGACTAAAAAAATCTCTCATAAAAATCCACATTTCCTGATTTTTGCAAATTGCTCTTTTTTTCAAACCCAACTCATTTCGCACTAAAAACTTTACTTTTTTGTCTTTTTTTTCACTTTTTTCCTGTGTTGAACAAAAAAGGTTCCAATTACTTTTTCCTCTTTTTTCGTGTTACTTTTGAGTTATACTCACAAGGTTTTTGCTCATTGTCAGGTCATATTTGAGCTAAATTTTACAATTTTCTCTTGTTCAACAACTTTTTTCATCTTCTTCTTATTTCTTTTGATAATTGCTTCAACACGACACAAAAATGTCCTCTCAAGCTTGAAAAAACAACGGAAATTTGTTTTTTCTTCTTCTTCTATCCTATTTTATTTCCATTTTTCTCTGTTCTTCGGAAAAATGTGAGAAAAAAGGGAAAAACTTGTACATTTTTAGTTAATTAAAAATAAAAGAAAAAAGTTTTCATTCTATTTTTTGCTAGAGGGAATCGTGGGAACCCGGAATTTTTTCGCGGGTTGAGTTTTTTTCGCTGAATTTTTGAGCGAGCATGTGAGAATTGAATCAGATCAGGATCTGGGTTTTGAATTTCGAGATTTGGAATTTTTGATGTCACGTAGAATGCTGAAGGTCTGCCGAAATTTGAATTCCACGTGGATTCATTTTTATAGATCTCAAACTTCTCTCGTTGCTCTCCAGAACTTTGAGCTCTAAACCAATTTTTTTGCTTCTCTGAACTTTTTTCTTCACTTTCCGCTGAAGAAAAAACAAAACTCGAGACAAAATAATTACCGGAACTTTCAACAAAAAAAAAGTTCTGGATAGGTTCAAAAATTTTCCGGGTGATGAAATCGGGAAACATTTTCTAGAGGTTCAAAAATTGTAAAATAGATTCAATGAAAAATTATCCATAGATAGTTCAACAGCTGGTTTCAAAAAGAAATTATAGGTATTGTGAACTTTTCGAATAACATTGTTATTAAATCATGACATTAGTGTGAAAATCAAGCCTCTAATCAAAAATAATCAGCTCTTTCTCAAATCTTGTATTTAATAAAATTATAACTAACACACCTGATTTTATATATGATACTAAAAACTAATAATCCATCCATCATAGATGTTCCTTATTATTTCATTCCATTCTATATCACAAAATCCTTCTATTTCTCGTACACTATTTTATTCCTAAAATCATCAGATGATGATAAAAAGGCAATAATTTATCAAATCTATAAATGGATATTTGCCAGCATTCAATACCAAAAAATCATACATATTATTTTTTGGATCGTTTTCATCGGCGGTGGTTATCTATTCGATAACAATATTGTGATTTATTTTGTTAGCATGGTAATTATTACTTTCGTTCCAAGCTCTGATAACAATTCTGAAACTAGTTTTCTGCTTTTGATTGCGATTCAAAGATACGTAATAATTGCCAATATTCAAACTTTTGTCAAAATTGTACAGGGAAAGTGGTTGACTCGTTTACTAGTCTCACACTATTCTTTAATTGTTGTTGGAAGGCTATTGACAAGTATGTACACGTGTCCCGCAGAATTTTGTGTGCTTCACGCAGCTATTTTCAATGAAACATCTTGTCGTTACAAAGAACGAAATTTTACGAATACATATGTTTATATCAAATTGTTACCCGAACCCATAGTTTTAACAATATCCATAACTTTATTTATCCTAACTCTCATCAATGTTCACAAAAACAGTCATATTTTATCGGAAACGCGTAAAAGAGCTGAGCTCTCAATCATTTATCAAAATTCTCCGTTGGTTATTTTGTTTCTTTTAAAGTATGTGGGATCTTTTGTGATTTATATGATTCACAAAGAGAATGATTATGATAGTGAGAATCTCAGAAGAATCATCTGCAGTGAATTGGATAGTGTTGAAAGTATTTTTCCGATTACTTATACAATCGCAAATATTCAAAAGTTTCGAGATATGATAAGTTGTTGCAAAAGAAGTCATCGGATTAGCGATAGATCTATGCAGTTTGTAAGCACTACACACAATCAAATTGCAGCTCTGACAACTTGATTTTATTTGAAATGAATTATTTTTCGAAAAATTGTTCAGATACAAAATTGGATGATTTTTTCGGAAAATTCAAAAAAATCATTTGGATTTTTCAGTGTTTTATTGGTTTGGTTTTTGAATTTTAGTTGCTATGCGGATGGTGGTGGTTTGGCTTTTTCTGTGTGCTCATAGCATCCAATTTTGCCACGTGGTATATCTAATTCATCATAATTTTGTTTTTGTTATAAAAAATAATCTCCTCCTCCGCAACCCCCTCATTAATTACACGTCATATCAGAAAAAAAACATACACATATTTTTTCCAGCTGCTTTAATTTTTGCTCTTTTTTTCTCTTCTCAAATCAGATTATCCTCTTCGAAATGTTTTTATCAATTTCTCGCATCTCATACTTTTTTGACGCCGAAAAAAAAATTTTTTTTGGAAAAAGTTCCAAAAAAGTTTTTTCTTCTGGAGCCCCACCGAAAAAAAAGGAGAGCGAGAGCTATAAAATTTATGACTTCTTCTATAATTTATTTTTTAGAAGATGAAGATCGACCAGGGTTTTTTGGGCTCATTTTTAGTTTTGCGCAGAATTTTTCTCAAAAAATCCACGTGGCAATCGAATTTTAGGACTGAAATTGTGTTTTAAATTTTTTTTAATTTTCAAAGGTGCATGTGGCAAATTTTTGCTGGTTTTTTTTCTTTTTCCTACTGTAGAGGAACTTTTCCACGAAGCTTCAAAATTTGATCTACAGTAATCTACAGTACTGTTTTTCAATTCCCAAAATATCCCATCTTACTGTAGATTTTCTAATTTCCTGAACTCGTAGAATTTCAGCCTATTTTCGAATCTTGCAAGGAAATTGAGAACATTTCCTGAACATAGTTATTATTTTCGAAGCCTCATCTACAGTACTCTACAGTACTCAAATACTTTTTCTAATCTGAAAAGTGTTGATCACTGTTGTGATCCACGTGGAATTTACGCTCCCAATTCTTTGAAATTTTAAAAATTGAATTCAATTTTGAACCTAAATATTTTATCTGCCGTAATCTACTACCTTAATTAATTTTGAATCAAAGCTACCGTATTCTTATTCAGCCTGAAGCAATCTACAGTACCGAAAAATTGATCTACGATAGTTTAGCCTAGTGAATTTTTCTCAAAATTCTAACACCTCGATTCTCACCACGATCTTGATACCGTAATCTATATACAGTACCCTAATTAATTTAATATACCGTAATCCTGTCTAGGCTAAAGTTCACCTCATCGTTACTCGTTTCCTTTTGCCATTTTCTCCATTTTTCCAGCTCCTCCTCAATTGTTTCGGCTCAAAGAGCATAATCCTTTTTTTTCGTTCTTCTGTCGCTGTGCTCTTTTCAATTTTGCTTCATTTTCAGCCGCTGCTCACTCACATACAAAAAAAGAGCAATTCGTTTTTTTTTCGTCCGTGCTCTTTTTTGCCAATTATCTATCTGCTTCATGTTTTTATTTTATTTTATTCATTTTTTTGCGCGGTGCACATGACTATAGTAGAGTTCGGAAATTCCACGTGGCGTCAAATTCAAATTTTCAAATTCTGAAAAATTTTGGATTTTCGGAATTTCCATGTGGAACTGTTGAACTCTAATTTAAAAAATTAGTACTTTCAGCTCTGAAAATTTTTCTGATTTTTTAAAATATTGACAAGCTCAAATTTCAAAAAATCAGTTGTCACGTGGCACTTTTGCTTCTAAATTTTCTAATGGTCCGAAAAAAAAGGAATAGTAGTCCTAAAAACAAACCCATTTTTGTTGTGTCGAAACATAAATATAAAATGTTCGAAATTGGATTTTTGCCGCCTTTTTCGCCTCCATTTTTTTGTGGCGCGCGGGTTTTTTCGGGTTTTTTGTTTGGAAAGCCATGAATAAATGACAAGAATTGTGGGTGTCGTTTTTTTTTGTTTTTTTTTCTCTCCTGAATGAATAGAAGTTTTATGCAGGCGGGCGGGCCGTAGTTAGGGTATTCATTTTTAAAAGAATGTATTTTTAGCTAATTGTCTAGAAAAATGTGGGCGCGTGGTGGAAGAAAAGGCCGTTTTTGGTGAAAAAAAATTTGGTCTCAATTTCGGAATTTCAGAAATTTTACCGAATTTTTGTTCGTCTCAGAACATTAGCTAGAAAAGCCACGTGGCCCAATTTCTTCAGGAAAAAATAGAAAACATATGTTCTTGTAGTTTGTCAGCTCAAGAAATGCCACGTGGCAAATTTTTAAACCCATATTTGAAATTCTGAAATTTTCAGATGATCAAGTTTTCTAGATTTATCAGAATTTTTTTGGATCAAAAATTTTCAAACATTTCTCTAGTTTGACCACGTGGTACTAATATTCTCTAGTTTTGTTTATTTTTTGTGCCAAAAGTTCATGTTGCAAAATTTTGCTTATTTATTGTTGGAAGAAAAAAATTCGGGCTGGTTGTAGATCAAATTTCACTTCCTAAATAGAAAAAAAAATATTTTCACGTGTGAATGTTTCATTGACGCTAGGAAACATCCTAATCTGTTGCTCATTTTTCACTAGAAAGTTATACGTGGCAGTTTTTTTTCCAGAGATTTTCAGGTCACACAAAAATTCTACCAAAAAATCTGATTTTTTGGTCTTTTCTCTCTGCAAAAACCAAAATTGTTTTTGTAATCTCTGAATCTTTTAAAATTCTATCGGGTTTCCTATTTTTGCATTTTTTTTTGTAGTCCGTGAGAATTCCATTTGATCAAAAAACCACTTTTTCTCTGGAATTTTTTGAACTCCAGAAAATTCTGATGTTTTTTGAGTTACTCCAAATCTTTTTTTGCCACGTGGATTCTTCTAATTTTTTTCCAAAAAAACATTTTTTTTTCAGATGGACCTATTTCCACCAAACCGCCTTCGCCTTCACAATTTGCCCCAACAGGTCAGTTTTTTGTTGGGTCTAAACAAAAATCTATGAAAAATTTATTGCGCTCACATTTTCCAGCGGTCATAAATCTCACAATTTTTAACACACATTTCTTATTTTTTCCCTGAAGCCAAAAACAAAAATGAGCAATAAATTATGATTCCTGATTGGTTTTTTTGTAAAAAAAATGACAGAAATTTCTCACATCTGTTTCGGGATATTCTTTTTTTTTTGAGAAAAATGTGATATTTTTGTGAGCGGAGCTCATTTTTGGAGCAAAGATTTGGTGGGGTCAAAAATTTTAATAAAAAATATTGGGGAATTTTTCGCCACGTAGAATTTTCTGATATTTTTTTCGGATTCTGACATAATTTTGTGTAGTTCTCTTGGACAAGATGCTTTGGTGCCACGTGAATTTTTTGAATTTTTGTCTGTTTTTGTCTGGGTCTCTCAGTTTCACATGATTTCTGAACTTTGTGATTTTTGTGGATTTTAGTATTATTTCTGTGTAGTTCTTTTGGACAAGATGTCTCTGTTCCACGTAGAACTTTTGTCTGGATTTCTCAATTTCACGTGATCTCTAACTCTCTTAAGCGAACTTTTTTGTACTTCTCTTGGACAAAGTCATACCCTTCCCACGTGGATTTTAACTCTGTAAATTCCTGAAGCCACGTGGATTTCTAGGTTTCTAAATCAAAAAAATTATAACCTCATTTTTTTCAGAATTTCCCAAAAAAAATGTTTCAAGCCTAACAAGATTTCCTTTTTTCTTCTTCCCAACAAAACTTTTTTTCCCAAAATTAAGAAAAAAGCACAAACTTTTCCATTCTTCTTTCTTTTTTTTCGAAACTCGTTCCAAAACCCAAAATAACATAACCAAAGGAGAAAAAGAAGGAAAACACAAAAAAGACTCATCTTTTCTTTTTTTTTTTTTTGAAAAAAAAAAGAAAAACCAATCTTCTCCTTTTCTATTCTTTCAGCTTTAGTTTGTCCTCTTTTTTCGTTTTTCTCTGGTTTTCTGGAAAAAAAATTTGAGATTGACTTTAAGTTTTGAAATTTGAATTTGGAAAATTGGTACCAGGAACATGGATTTTGAATTTTCGAATTCCGCGCCGAAATTTTTAGTTTAAATAGTTTTTTTTTCTAAAAAATGGGAAATTTCGAAAAGTTTTTTTTTCCTGCCATATTTTTTCTCTCAAATTTCTTTGAATACACATACATATTTTTAATCCCCTATTGGGAAAAAAAGAGCACACTTTTTTTTTGGTTTTATTTTGTGTTTGGAAGTTTTTCTCTGAATTTTGAACTTTGTGTTTCTGTAAAAAAATCTTCTTGGACCAATTTTCCCATCAAAATTTTGATGAGAAAATTCGAGCTTCCTGAATTTTTCCTCAAACTTTTTTTTGCTCCTAGAAATTTGATCCAATTTTGCTTTGCTCATTGATTCCTAAAATTCTCAAACTTTTTTCTTTCATCTTTACCGCCACAAACGTTTTTTTTTCTTCGAATAAATTCCGTTTTCAAGAATCGCAACACCAAAAAAAATGGACGTTTTGCGGCGAATTTTGCCGCGAAAAATGAAACGTGATCAATATTCGTTCGAGTTGCTGAAAAGCAACTCGGCCATCGAATTGTCGGCGACGATTTCGCGGCGACGCGACTCATCGCTTACGTCGCCGGCGACTTCTGCGACGCGACTACCCCGCAATTTTTCGCAATACGATAGTTTGCGAATTGCGCCGAGTAGTCAGACGACAGGCGGTGCGAACACGGCGGCGACCACGCCGATGAAGGTGGGTTTTTTTTCCACGTGGCATTTCTATGCAAAAAAAAATTTGTTGTCTGGAATTGACACGTGGGGCAAACGTTTTTATTTTGCACAGCAAATTTTTTTCTACGTGACCTCAAATAAAAAATCATTGCAGAATGTGTTTTTCACGCGGCACACACATCTGGGCGGAGCCTAATAAAATCCTGTTTTTACTCGTTTTTTGAGGATTTGAACCCGAATTTCAGGGAAAAGTTGATTTTTCACTATCAGAATTGAGCAAAGAAGGGTTGAGGGAGGTCCGGAAGACAGATAATTGCTTATTAATCTTCTAATTCCGCTCAAAATGACGTTTCTCCATATTTTTCTCGATTTTCCCAGGAAAGACAATAAACTTTCGATTCAAAAAACTATTACTACTTGAAAAATTATCAACTACTTCTAAAAATGTAGTTTGAGCATGTTTCCTTCGGTTTCGGCTTCAGAAACACATTTTTTGTGAAAAAAAAACACAAAAAAAGACATTTTTTTGCGAAAATACTGTAGCGACACGTGAAATTGTGCAATGAGAAAATGCGTAGTGAAAAATTTGCTGTGTTTTGAAAAATTTGGAGGGAAAATTTTTGATTAAAAATCCACGTGGCATTTTTTTTCTCATTGTCAATTCAGAAAACATTTGACGCGTGGCATTTTTTAAACAAAAATTTCAATTAGAAAATTTTCTATCTGAAAAAACACGTGACAACTTTTCTCCTAACTCAAATTTTCGAACATTTTCTTTTTGCCACGTGGCATTTTTTTCGAAATTTTGAAATTCAAATTTCCACGTGACAGTTTCAGACTTTGCATTGTATTTTAAGCATCAACTTTCCATAAGATCTGAAAATGTTCCATCTGAAATTATACTTTTTTTCTGAAAATCTGATTATTTCTGATCTGAAATAAATGTGACACGAGGCATTTTTTTAAAATTTACAAATTTCAAACTAGACTCTGATTTTCATCGAAATTCTAGTTTGGCTTCTAATTTTTCACCTGACTTTTTCCCCCTTTTTTCTAGCCTGAAATTATTCTCACATTTCCAATTCTCGTCGCCACGTGGCGATTTTTGGCGCCAAAAAGTTGTGTGCACTATTTCTTCTTTTTCCCACCCCCTGTTTTTCTGTCGTCTCTTACAAGGGAAGTGCATAGGGTTAGGTGTTGAACTTTTGATGAAACGTTCAAAATAAACCAAATCGACCATGCTGATCACGAATCCGAAGTCAAAAATTGCCACAAATGCCTGTGAGCACTTTTCTGGAGCTCCAAAGTTAGAATTGAGTTTTGGTTTTTGCCCATTTTCACCTTGTTTCTGGGTGGAAAATAGATTTTTATAACATGAATAAGGTTGCTCACCACATTCAAAAACATATCCGCTTTTTAGTTCTTCGAAAAATATGAAAAACCAGCTGAAAACTGCAACTTTTAAGAATATCCTGAAAATACACACAATCACACGTAAACACACGTTTTTCAAAGTTTTTCGTGCATTTTCGAAAATTACAGTTTTCAGCTGGTTTTTCATATTTTTCGAAGAACTGAAAAGCGGATAGGTTTTCGAATGTGAAGAACAACCTTATTCATGTTATAGAAATTGATTTTCCACCCAGGAACATGGTGAAAATGGACGAAAACCAAAACTCAATTTCAACTTTGGAGCTCCAGAAAAGTGCTCACAGGCATTTGTGGCAATTTTTGACTTCGGACTCGTGATCAGCATGGTCGATTTGGTTTATTTTGAACGTTTCATCAAAAGTTCAACACCTAACCCTATGCACTTCCCTTGTTAAATAAAAATAAGACAAAAAATTCATAAATTTCTCACTTTCATATATTTCTTTGTCTCACAGGGGTTTTTTCACTACCGAGTCAATGCAAAATTGTAATCGAGCAAATAGGCTCCGCCCATCTTTTTCCGCACAGACATGTGGGCGGAGCTTAGGTTTTCAGATTTTCAAAAAGAAAATTGAAAACCCTTTGGCTCAAAAGACACACAAATAAAAAGAAAAAAGTCGGGCTATATGTGTGTTTGCAGCGACCGACATCTCGCGAGGCCGGCCACACGCTATTGTTTTTTTTGTCGGCCACGTAGCGCGCTGTTTGCGGAGGTTTTTTGTCGTCAGATAAAATGTTTTGTACGTGATTAATTCTCGGTAGTAATAAAACCCCTGTGTGTCTTGTTAGGAAAAACAATTTTCTCGTATTTTTCAAGAAGACAAAAATTATAGGCTTTGTCTATATATTCGTGTAGTTCTTGAGGAGTAAATTGGATAATTTCAGGGTTCTTCTGAAAAAAAAATGCGCGAGTGCGCAACGGGAATCGAACTCTGGTCTCTAGATCCGCGCAAACCGCCTTAGCCCACTAGACCACGCGTGCAGTTCTTCACGGGTGTTCAAATGTTCAAGATATACTTGTGGAGCGAAAACTTGAACTCTTGAAGGCTCTTGAGATGAAGAAATTTTTTTTTTCCAATTATTCTTTTTCCGTGCTCAAATAGGCTCTTGAAGACATCTGACCTTTTCAAGCACGAAAAAATAGAGCAAAACGATTCAAATTAGCTTAAAAATTCCCGCAAGTAAGTGAAAATGTGTCTGAAATTTTACCAGGCAATCAATCACTTCTGCTCATTTTTGACCTAATGCTCTTTTTTTTTTGAGCTAATGAATTATTCAAATGTTGTATACATTTTTTGTGGCTCCAATTTTTTAGGGGAAGTATTTTGCAACAAGTTTTATTTTCGGAATTTGTGCAAAAATTGAGACGTGTCCGCGTGGTCTAGTGGTCTAAGGCGTGCGTGTGAATCTGGAGGGGTAGGGTTCGAGTTTTGCTGCTTGCGGAAGTTTTTATTTTTTTTCAAAAACTAATAAATCAAAATCCTCTTCCTTATAATTTTAATTAGAGTTACAGGAAGTGTATATAATTTTCCTTCTCCATCCAGCCAAGATTTATTACACCCACGTAAGCGCAAAACGAAAGTTCAAAGAGTTTGTCGGAAGTTGCAGTCAACCAGATTTCCGGGTTTTTGACTACAAACTAGTATATATATATTTTCCAATTTATTTATTTTTTAGACTACTTTTTCACACGCCCTTGGAAAATGGGGAAAAATAGGGAAGAAATCAGATCCGACCGCAAAATAACAGGATTTTTTGTTTTTGGGACCCTCTTGAAAGTTCAGGGTGTTGGATGTTTGAACTATTGAACTTTGGGGTGGTGAAATTCAGGGATTAGATAGTTTGAGCCGAAACTTTCAAGAGTTTTACCTGAAAAAATTTAGAGCTTATCAAATTCTGAAAATTTGAGTTCAAGCTTGAGATAATCTGAATCTTGAATTTAAAATTCAAGAGCCTTCTTTCAGGCTAGAAAAAATCTGAAAATCTGAAAATTTTCAGATTTCATATATTTTTTTGAAAAATTTTTAACCAGAAGTTCTGAAAATTATTGATCCACAAAAAATCATTTTGAAAATTTTGAATTCGATTTTTTAGCTGAAAAATACTATCTCTAAATTTTCAAGTCCTCAACTTTTTGGCCCCCCAAAAGCCTGACTCACAAAATTTTCAGAAAAATCAAAATTTTCTCAAGTTCTCTCATTCCTCATCCCAAGAAATTCTTTGATCTTTTACGTTATTTTGCCTCTTCCTGTTCCCCAAATCAGTAAATTCATCCGGAAATTCGAATTTTCTCCCAAAACCCATCGTCTAGAGCCCAAAAATCGTGTTTTTCTCATTTTTTCCCTCCGAAAAACCTCCCATTCTCCTTCCAATAATCAGATTTCGAAATCCTTTCACAAAAAGTTCCGAACACAAATTTCTTGCGCACCTTTTAGCTCTCTCGACCAAAAAACCAACAAAAAAACATAGTATATATTTTTTCGGTGGGGGCGGAGCCAAAACCTTCCGGGCTCCGCCCACTTCTACATCTACTAGTTAGTCTAGGGCTTTTCATTCATTCATTTTATTCTGAAAATATTTCCAACTGAAAATATGTCGTGTCGAAATCCAACACTCTATCATTCGTATCATTTGAACACGTCACTTCAAAGACCGCTGTCGAGTTATCCAGTGGTAAGGCAGAAATTCTGGGGGCCTGAGACCTGAGGCGGTTTGGGTTAGGCTTAGACTTGAGAAGGCTTGGGGTTCAAAGGGCTCACGTCAGGATTTTTTAAATATTAAAAATGTTTGGGCTCACAAAGGGAAAAACCGAAGTTTTGGCCAAGCCGCAGATCTTGGCTAAGCATAAAGTCTTGGATAAGCCTAGAGTTTTCCTTGAGCTTAGGGTTGTGCTTAAGCCTAAGGGCTTGGTTAGGAGTATGGCGTGGCAAGCTTATTTCTCTTTAAAAAATCTTCAGACAAAAAAAGGCCTTCTAAATGTTCCCAGGACCACGAATCCGATATATTCCAACCTCCCGAATCTCCCCCACAAACTCAAAATTTTTCCAGAAATCCGAAGAGGTCATCGATGTGTCGGAGGGCGAAATGACTGAAGTCACATCACTTATCGGATTCGTGGCGGGACCCAGAGAACCCGGATGTAGTTATGGGTAAGTTATCTCATTTTCGATTGTTGATTCTGTCCGAAAAATAATCATAAATACGTCTAAATATTCTTAGAATGATTTTCGTTTTCAGCTTATCCCACGGATAAGCTTCAGCTCAAAACAAAAAGCTGAAACTTCCCGGAAACAAAGTATCCACTTTCTCCCACCACATTTTGTTTTGGTGTTTGGCTAATTTTAGCCAATCTTTTTTTTTTCTTTTTGGGCTCAAAAAGATAATAGATCAAACACAAGGAGAAAAATGAATTTGAAGAGGAAATTGATATGAGTCGCAATTGAAACATGCTCTCGGGGCTCGAATTTCCGGACCCCTTAAAAAACACCAAGGCTAGGCTATTTTTATAGTTTCGCTCAAGAGGATCCGTCATACGAGAAGTCGGTCAGCGAGTGTCATGTGATTCAGGAGAAACGCGATTTTGCCGAAGGTGTCTTGTTGAAGTGTATTGATAAGAAACGTGAGTTAGAGGGGAGGGGGAGAGACGCAGAGGAGAGAGGGCTGTTAGAGAACACAGAAAAGAGAGAGATGCAGAGAAGCAGGATATGTAGGATGAGACGTAGAGAAACTAGAGGTGAGGTTAGAGACGCAGAGGAAGAGAGTGATTATAGAGGACTACACAACTTAGGGGTTCAGAAGACATAGAGAAAATATAGCGATTAGAGATCATTTGAGTTTGAGAGACGCAGAGAAATCATAGACTAGAGAGCGCTTTTCCCAAAGAGACGCTGAGAAGCTAGATAGACACTACAATAATCTGTGAGACGCATAAACTTTTCTCAAAAAACACAAGAACTTTAGAGAATCTCGAAGCAAATCATACCTCATAGAACATACACAAAAACTTTTTTGCTTACTTATTATTTCTCCAAGCCACAAACAAAGGCAAAAACTTTTTTTCGAGTTCCAAACATCATTATTTTTAATGAGATTCAAATCCGTCTCCTGAATTTCAGCACTATTTCCATACTTGCATTTTGCACAATTCCGAAATCCCGAATACACTCAACGCGTCCATCAAATATCGGATGTGGTCAGGGAATGTACACCCACGCAAGGCAGTTTGTATGGTGAGTTGGGAGGCTAACTAAGAATATATGTGCACCTCTTTTGTTTGCTTTCTTTTTATATATACTTCTTTATTTTTAGCTAGTTGGGCTAACTGAGATGGCCAAAAATAAAACAAAAAACGTTTTTCAGGTGCCTACGATGAAGTGTACAGCATTCAAAAAACCGCGACACTCGGCGAAAATCGTTTGCCAGCTCATCGCCACGCTGGATACATTGTGATCGGCTTCAAATTGTTGGATGACGCGTCGAAACAGCAGACGCTGGAGAAGACGTGGCTCTCGTGGTCGGGAGCTCGTGAGATCTATAAACACTCGCCGAGGAGTTGGAATTTGCGGAGGATCTCGTTGATGCGGTGTCCAACGGCGAAGTGAGTGAAGGGAGTGGGGGTAGCTATGACGTGGCAAATGTTTATCATTCAAAACTTTCAAGCTAAAAAAGGTTTTTCAATGTAAATTATACACCTATTCATAGACCAAACCGATTTGCGTCGATAAGCAAAACACATGATAAATTTTTCATGAAAAAAACTGGAAGACTACGAAAAATTGTAGCAATTGACGCAGGAAAAACGTTGGGAAATTTTCAGAAATCACTAATTATTATTAGATTTTAAGGGATTCCTAGAAGTTTTCCGGAAAAATTCCTCTAACCTTCAAAACACCTAGGATCTTTAGAAATTTTTCAATTAATTTTTTTTCCAGCAACCGTAATTCTGGCGTCGCTTCGAGACCCTTCGTCTACATTTTGATGTGTGAATACGGCTCCATTTTACACCCTTCAAACACAATTCAAGCATTGGATATTTGCGAAAGATTGAGAGTGAGAAATTGTGGACACATTGCACTGTATCAGGTAGATTTTGAAGTTTTTGCTGAAAATATTGGAGAACTGGAAATTTTTTCAATTTCTGGTGAAAAAAACGTTTCCGGTAATTTTTGGTCGCGCGGAACTATTGTAGTTCCGACGATTATTTTTATATACTTTTTTCGAAAAAGATTTTTTTTTGTTTTTGAAAAAACAGAAAGATAGTGGTTTTTGGATTTGAGAATAGCCACGTGGCAAAAAACAAAAAAATTTTCCAGGTGCACACAGCCTACTCGAGCCCACTCCCTCGCACCTCTTCCCATTCTTCCCCATGCCATTCAACATCCAGTGGACCTGTCGTCGGAAACAACCAAAGTAGCTCCAGCTACTCGAGCTCTGCCGCTAAACGTGCCCAAATGATGCGCGGATTCTCACAAGACGTCGAAGCCCAAAACTTCAGCGAAAGTGCGACGCGACGTGCGCGAATGTTGCGAACTCGCGGCGAACGCAGTTTTCAACATCCCGATGAGTATCACTATTATCATCATGAGCAATTTTGAGTTGGCTGAATATTTTTGGCTTGAAAAATAATTGCCTCCGGGTTTTTCTCAAATGATTTTTGAACACATCTTCTATTTTTATTTTTATCTTCATTTTGCCACTGATATTTTGATAAAAATATTTTTCTTTCACACACGAATTTTTTTTTGAATTATTCATTTATTCAGCAAATGATGTATGCTTTTCCTGGTTCCAGGAAAAATATTTTTGAGCTCTCTGGCTTCTAATTTATGCAGTCTACAGTTTCACCGTAGTAGATGTTGCCCAAATTCAGGGTTCCGATATCGTAGGTTTTTCGAGGAACACCGCCTGAAGTGATGTATTGATCCGGGATCGTGATGCCGAGTTTGCGGTAGCAAGGCTGGAAAATATGGGATAGGAGATGAGCTTTTTGAGGCTCTCTTGAAACTCAGGTTAATTTTTAGTCGATTAATTATCTAACCAATTTCAAAATTTGGTGATAACAATCTGTTGAAACGTATTTTTCTATATCAAAAAATATAAAATTTTCTGGACTCACTGCAGTTCTATCACATCTGTGATAAATATTGACTTTCGGATCAATATTTGTGATTTCAGTTTTCGATCCGGAAACGTGGAAAGATCCTGAAGCATCGGTGTACATTTCGTCCAATTTGATGTCTTTGACTGTAAAATTTTTGGGGATTATTAGGCTTTTAGCCCGAAAACCCACTTTTCTCCTTTTCATACAATTTGATTTTCACATCCTTGGCCGGTTGCCCATTACACGTCAATTTCCCAGTCACGGCAATTGATTGAAGTCGGCCCAAGCCCAAAAGCCCGGAAACTAGGCTTGGCCAAGAAACAAGAGCCAAAAATAATAGGAAGAGTTTCATTTTGAGTTTGAAAATTAAAAATTTAAAAATGCTTATCAAAAAAAGTTGTAAACTTGTTTTTCAGTTTTTTTTTTGAGACAAAAAATTATCATTGATAAAAACCAAAAAAAAAAAATTATGCAACAAAAAGGAAATTTTTTACGCTTCAATATTGTTCAAATTTTTCTGCAATCCCCAACAATTTCAGTCCAAGAAATTCCTCGTCAAACTCGAAAAAAAAACAAAATAATGTTTGTCAGGTACGGTAGAGTTCAAAGGAACATTATAAATTGCAACTGCGTCTTGACACACAACACACAAAAAATTCAAAACCTGCCCGCGAATTTTTATTTTTTCTACGCGCCAACCAAAAAATCGATTATTTCTCCATTTCTTTTTTTTGCGTCGCCCAAGATGGCTGTTCTTTGGCAGTTCTACACGAGACATGATGAAAGATAAGTTTTTTTTTGGGATTTTAGCTCCATTTCCTTTCGAATTCACCCAAAACACTCCCCAAAACCCATTCCAAGCAGTTCTATTAGTCTTTCGCTCGGAGTTAGTACAGCGCTCGATACATTTCGAGCGCTTTAGTCATTGCCACTACCAGGAACCTCGGTAGGGACACAATTTTTTGTGGACCGCGGAATACCGCCTGGATTTGACTGGAAAGCAGAGATGAGCAAGGCCTGAGGTTCGCATACATAGAACTGCTTTTTAGCCACCGATTTGGGTGGAATGGGAAAACGGGACCTCGTTTTGGACTTTGCCTTGAGCGAAGGAATTTGATTGGAAATTGGGGCATTTGTCTTTTTGGGGAAATTCGATGTGGGCTTTTGGTAATTCATGTTTTTTCATTCAATCTTGAAGTTGGCTTGTTAATCGTGTGACGTCGAAGGCATCAAATCAACAGGAAATTATTTATTAGCTTTGAGGCGATTTGTTGAGAATGAAGCAATCAAGCAATTGAACGAGGGAGGAATCTGGTGCATGTATTCTTCAAACAACAAATTGAATCGTGTCAAATGTATGGAGAAGAATATAATGCTCCCATCAATTTTGTCAACAACCTGGATGATTTGAGAATATTTACGCTAACCAATACAAGAAGATTTTTTGATTTTTGGCTGAAACCGATGGATTGGGAACAAAAGAAGTTGGGCAAAAGATGAATGATCCTAGTTTTTCGCAAGCCCGTCTTTGATGTTTTCCGACAAGTTCAACACTCGTTTTCCAAATCGTTTATTGGATTTTTGGTGTTAGCAAGAGTTTGAAATATTTGTTCGATATTATTCCATTTGCAAGACAACTTTTGAAAAAGGAAAATGATTATTTGTGCAAAATATGCTTCAACTCTCTATGATTTGATATAAAAATAGATGGTCAAATCTCATTATATCCTGGCTGGAATTACATTTGTTGTTAATTGTATTTGGAACCAGCTGCATGACTCTACAATACTCGAAATCGGATTGTTGATGTGAGCTGATATATATGAGAGAAGTAAGTGAGAAAAATTGGTTTTTGTTCGAATTTCAACTGGGTTTCAATCAAAACTTGGAATTTTTTAGGTAAATTCTGTGATCGCTGCAATAAACATCGTCAGGATTATCGGGCAACGTTCGTTTGACTGCTGCAAAAACCATTTCCAATTTAAGTCCTGAAGATTTTCCAATGCGTGATAATTGGTCAATCATTAATATGCTCTGTTCAATGTTGTCAATAATCTGAATATTTGCTGATTTGAGAATATTTACGCTAACCAACACGAAAAGAATGTTCGATTTTTGGCTGAAGCCGATTGATTGTTTTCGGCTGAAACCCTTTTTGATTGGGAACAAAAACAGTTGGGCAAATGATGAATGATCCAAGTTTTTCGCAAGAAAACTGTTGAGCGTGAGTTTTTAAAGTTCAAAGCTTTGTACACGACTTCAAAGTTTGAGATAAATATAATTATCATTTCAGCCCTTTTTCGACAAGTTCAACACTCGTCTTCCAAATCATTTATGGGATGTTCGATGTTAGCAAGAGTTTGAAATATTTGTTGGATATTATTCCATTTGCAAGACAACTTATGAAAAAGGAAAACGAGTGTCTGATTTGTGCAAATTATGCTTCAACTCTCTATGATTTGACATGAAAATAGATGGTCAAATCTCATTATATCCTGGCTGGAAATATATTTGTTGTTCATTGTATTTGGAACCAGTTGCATGACTCTACAATGCTCGATATTCGATTGTTGATTGGAGCTAATATGAGAAGAGTAAGTGAGAAAAATTCTAACTTTCTAGTCAGAAATTGATTAAATTCAAGCTTTTCCTGATTAAAATCTTGAAAACTCTTGATTTTATCAGGTTTCTATTTGAATTTCAACTGGGTTTTAATCAAAACTTGGAATTTTCAGGTAAAAAGATTGCTGCAATAAACATCGTCAAGATTATCGGGCGATTCTCCTTTGACGGACGCGAAAACCATTGCCAATTCCTTCTAAATTTTCAATGCTCACGAAATATATGAGCGTCTGGATTTCTTGGTAATTAGAAGTGGCCCAGAATCGTTGACACATCTGAAAAACAACGGATCGATAGAGGTTTTGGGGTTTTCGACTGAGAGAATGCTGATCGAATTATGCTATTTTGGATGAGTTCAAAACAAGATGAAAATGACTGGAAGGGCAAAAAATATTTGGATATGAATTGAGCAAAAAATTGATGGCACTGATATTTGTAAGCATTTTGGATTTGAAAAATTGAACTATAACGTGGCGAATTTTACGATTTTCAATGTTTTCACCCAGGAATTGTACATAATAAGCTACAATTGTTTCTGACGAGGGAAGTGTGTGAGCTGTCTGCGGAGATTTTGAATGAGAATTTTCTGAAAGTTGCGTTTTTGAGAGCCCGTAACTCTTGTTAGAGAAGTTTTCATTAAAAACTGAATCCGGGGCGATGTTCAGAAGGGTATATTACCAAACTCAAAAATTTTGACAAAATTTTCAAATGTGCAATCACCTAGGCCTATTTTTTGAGCCACGAAATTTTTTCCAAAAAAATATGGAGTTGATAACCAAAAACTTGTGATTTTGGTAAATTGACCCTCCTGAACAACGTCATGCATTAAGTTTTTCTTTAAAAAATCTTCTCTAAAATGAGTTGTGGGCTCTCAAAACCACGAATTTTCACAAAATCTCAATTCTTGGCTCATTTTTCGGATCAGGAACTTTCTCAGCGTGAAAAATTCTACAAAATGGTATAAGTACGCCGCATTGAAAATCTCCCAGGGCCATTCACACATTTTGCTCGTGAGCTAATTTTCTTGGCTCCACCCGGACCTTGTTAGAAGCGTCGTGTTCAACGCGACAAGCTCGCTCTATAACACTGTGTTTTCCAAAAACCGTTATCATCCAAATATTTTTTCAGATCAAAAGATCAGCGCTGAACGAATTGATCGATAATATCACAACAACAAAAGAATGGTCTCCCGAAACATCTTCCGCGTTTTCCCGCCATCCGAAAACTTTGAATTCGATCCAGAAGAAGACGAGCCAATTCTCGAAGTCTCTTGGCCACAATTGCAACTCATCTACGAGCTCTTCTAACGATTACTCAAATTGCCCGATTTTTTTGGCAAAAAGTATATCTATCAGCGATTTGTGCTGAAATTATTGGATTTGTTCGATTCGGAAAATCCAAGAGAACGCGATTTTCTGAAAATTGTTTTGCATCGAATTTATGACAAATTTTTGGGATTGAGAGCTTTCATTCGTAATGTTTTTGAGGTGAGAAATTTGGAAAATTAAAAAAAAATTTGCATAGAAAAATTAGAACTTCTCTAAAAAAAGGTTTTTCTGAAAAATTCATGTAATTTTATTGAATTAATTAATTTTTTCTGAATTCTCAGAAAAATGAACTGAAAGCTATGCCCAATTTGTTTATTTTTATTCAAAAACTATGAATTTTTCAGAAAAAAATCAACAATTCCAAATGTATTCAATATATCGATCAATATTGTTCCATATTTGCTCTCTATATTGGTAAGTTGTTGAATTTTAATGAAAACTTGCATGAAATTCTGAATTTTTAATTTGAAACTGATAAAATGTCTATTTTTCTTGATTTTCTTTGTGAAAATCTTGAAAAATATTTAATTTTATCAGTTCCAAATTGAAATTTCAGCGGAGATGCGGAAGCTATGCCCAATTTTTGAATTTTTATTCAAAAAACTTTAAATTTTCGAATATTAAATTAATTGATCCTTTTTTTCAGATTAAAATCAACAATATGAAATGGTTCCAATATAATTGTGCTGAAAGTTTCGAGTTTTGATCGAAAAAATAGGTAAGTTTTGATAACTGACATGAAATTCTGGAATTTTAATTTGAAACTGATAAAATGTCTATTTTTCTTGATTTTTTTTAATTGAAAATCAGGAAAAATATTTAATTTTATCAGTTACAAATTGAAATTTCAGCGGAGATGCGGAAGCTATGCCCAATTTTTGAATTTTTAGAGAAAAACTTTAAATTTTCGAATAATAAATTAATTGAACTTTTTTTTCAGATCGACTTACAACAATATGAATTGGCTCAATTGAATTGTGCAAAGATAGTCGAGTTTTGATTCAAAAATTGGTAAGTTTTGATAATTGACATGAAATTCTGGAATTTTAATTTGAAACTGATGAAATTTCTATTTTTCTTGATTTTTTTAATTAAAAATCTTGAAAAATGGATGATTTCATCAGTTACAAATTGAAATTTCAGCGGAGATGCGGAAGCTATGCCCAATTTTTGAATTTTTATTCAAAAACTTTAAATTTTCGAATAATAAATTAATTGAACCTTTTTTTCAGAACAATATCAACAATTCACATTGGTTCCATTCAATTGTTCCAAGATTTTCGAGTTTTGATTCAAAAATTGGTAAGTTTTGATAATTGACATGAAATTCTGGAATTTTAATTTGAAACTGATGAAATTTCTATTTTTCTTGATTTTTTTTATTGAAAATCAGGAAAAATATTTAATTTTATCAGTTACAAATTGAAATTTCAGCGGAGATGCGGAAGCTATGCCCAATTTTTTGAATTTTTAGAGAAAAACTTTAAATTTTCGAATAATAAATTAATTGATCCTTTTTTTCAGAACAATATCAACAATTCACATTGGTTCCATTCAATTGTTCCAAGATTTTCGAGTTTTGATTCAAAAATTGGTAAGTTTTGATAATTGACATGAAATTCTGGAATTTTAATTTGAAACTGATGAAATTTCTATTTTTCTTGATTTTTTTATTGAAAATCAGGAAAAATATTTAATTTTATCAGTTACAAATTGAAATTTCAGCGGAGATGCGGAAGCTATGCCCAATTTTTGAATTTTTAGAGAAAAACTTTAAATTTTCGAATAATAAATTAATTGATCCTTTTTTTCAGAACAATATCAACAATTCACATTGGTTCCATTCAATTGTTCCAAGATTTTCGAGTTTTGATTCAAAAATTGGTAAGTTTTGATAATTGACATGAAATTCTGGAATTTCAATTTGAAACTGCTAAAATTTCTATTTTTCTTGCTTTTTTATTGAAAATCAGGAAAAATATTTAATTTTATCAGTTACAAATTGAAATTTCAGCGGAGATGCGGAAGCTATGCCCAATTTTTGAATTTTTAGAGAAAAACTTTAAATTTTCGAATAATAAATTAATTGATCCTTTTTTTCAGAACAATATCAACAATTCACATTGGTTCCATTCAATTGTTCCAAGATTTTCGAGTTTTTGATTCAAAAATTGGTAAGTTTTGATAATTGACATGAAATTCTGGAATTTCAATTTGAAACTGCTAAAATTTCTATTTTTCTTGATTTTTTTTATTGAAAATCAGGAAAAATATTTAATTTTATCAGTTCCAAATTGGAATTTCAGCGGAGATGCGGAAGCTATGCCCAATTTTTGAATTTTTAGAGAAAAACTTTAAATTTTCGAATAATAAATTAATTGATCCTTTTTTTCAGAACAATATCAACAATTCACATTGGTTCCATTCAATTGTTCCAAGATTTTCGAGTTTTGATTCAAAAATTGGTAAGTTTTGATAATTGACATGAAATTCTGGAATTTTAATTTGAAACTGATGAAATTTCTATTTTTCTTGATTTTTTTAATTAAAAATCTTGAAAAATAGTTAATTTTATCAGTTACAAATTGAAATTTCAGCGGAGATGCGGAAGCTATGCCCAATTTTTGAATTTTTAGAGAAAAACTTTAAATTTTCGAATAATAAATTAATTGATCCTTTTTTTCAGAACAATATCAACAATTCACATTGGTTCCATTCAATTGTTCCAAGATTTTCGAGTTTTGATTCAAAAATTGGTAAGTTTTGATAATTGACATGAAATTCTGGAATTTTAATTTGAAACTGATGAAATTTCTATTTTTCTTGATTTTTTTAATTAAAAATCTTGAAAAATAGTTAATTTTATCAGTTACAAATTGAAATTTCAGCGGAGATGCGGAAGCTATGCCCAATTTTTGAATTTTTAGAGAAAAACTTTAAATTTTCGAATAATAAATTAATTGAACCTTTTTTTCAGAACAATATCAACAATTCACATTGGTTCCATTCAATTGTTCCAAGATTTTCGAGTTTTGATTCAAAAATTGGTAAGTTTTGATAATTGACATGAAATTCTGGAATTTTAATTTGAAACTGATGAAATTTCTATTTTTCTTGATTTTTTTAATTAAAAATCTTGAAAAATAGTTAATTTTATCAGTTACAAATTGAAATTTCAGCGGAGATGCGGAAGCTATGCCCAATTTTTGAATTTTTAGAGAAAAACTTTAAATTTTCGAATAATAAATTAATTGATCCTTTTTTCAGAACAATATCAACAATTCACATTGGTTCCATTCAATTGTTCCAAGATTTTCGAGTTTTGATTCAATAAATTGGTAAGTTTTGATAATTGACATGAAATTCTGGAATTTTAATTTGAAACTGATGAAATTTCTATTTTTCTTGATTTTTTTAATTAAAAATCTTGAAAAATAGTTAATTTTATCAGTTACAAATTGAAATTTCAGCGGAGATGCGGAAGCTATGCCCAATTTTTTGAATTTTTAGAGAAAAACTTTAAATTTTCGAATAATAAATTAATTGAACCTTTTTCAGAACAATATCAACAATTCACATTGGTTCCATTCAATTGTTCCAAGATTTTCGAGTTTTGATTCAAAAATTGGTAAGTTTTGATAATTGACATGAAATTCTGGAATTTTAATTTGAAACTGATGAAATTTCTATTTTTCTTGATTTTTTTAATTAAAAATCTTGAAAAATAGTTAATTTTATCAGTTACAAATTGAAATTTCAGCGGAGATGCGGAAGCTATGCCCAATTTTTGAATTTTTATTCAAAAACTTTAAATTTTCGAATATTAAATTAATTGATCCTTTTTTTCAGATTAAAATCAACAATATGAAATGGTTCCAATATAATTGTGCTGAAAGTTTCGAGTTTTGATCGAAAAATAGGTAAGTTTTGATAACTGACATGAAATTCTGGAATTTTAATTTGAAACTGATAAAATGTCTATTTTTCTTGATTTTTTTTAATTAAAAATCAGGAAAAATATTTAATTTTATCAGTTCCAAATTGAAATTTCAGCGGAGATGCGGAAGCTATGCCCAATTTTTGAATTTTTAGAGAAAAACTTTGAATTTTCGAATAATAAATTAATTGAACCTTTTTTTCAGATCGAATTACAACAATATGAATTGGCTCAATTGAATTGTTCCAAGATTTTCGAGTTTTGATTCAATAAATTGGTAAGTTTTGATAATTGACATGAAATTCTGGAATTTTAATTTGAAACTGCTAAAATTTCTATTTTTCTTGATTTTTTATTGAAAATCAGGAAAAAATATTTAATTTTATCAGTTACAAATTGAAATTTCAGCGGAGATGCGGAAGCTATGCCCAATTTTTTGAATTTTTAGAGAAAAACTTTAAATTTTCGAATAATAAATTAATTGAACCTTTTTTCAGAACAATATCAACAATTCACATTGGTTCCATTCAATTGTTCCAAGATTTTCGAGTTTTGATTCAAAAATTGGTAAGTTTTGATAATTGACATGAAATTCTGGAATTTTTAATTTGAAACTGATGAAATTTCTATTTTTCTTGATTTTTTTAATTAAAAATCTTGAAAAATAGTTAATTTTATCAGTTACAAATTGAAATTTCAGCGAAGATGCGGAAGCTATGCCCAATTTTTGAATTTTTATTCAAAAACTTTAAATTTTCGAATATTAAATTAATTGATCCTTTTTTTCAGATTAAAATCAACAATATGAAATGGTTCCAATATAATTGTGCTGAAAGTTTCGAGTTTTGATCGAAAAAATAGGTAAGTTTTGATAACTGACATGAAATTCTGGAATTTTAATTTGAAACTGATAAAATTTATATTTTTCTTGATTTTTTTTTATTAAAAATCAGGAAAAATATTTAATTTTATCAGTTTCAAATTGAAATTTCAGCGGAGATGCGGAAGCTATGCCCAATTTTTGAATTTTTAGAGAAAAACTTTAAATTTTCGAATAATAAATTAATTGAACCTTTTTTCAGAACAATATCAACAATTCACATTGGTTCCATTCAATTGTTCCAAGATTTTCGAGTTTTGATTCAAAAATTGGTAAGTTTTGATAATTGACATGAAATTCTGGAATTTTAATTTGAAACTGATGAAATTTCTATTTTTCTTGATTTTTTTAATTAAAAATCTTGAAAAATAGTTAATTTTATCAGTTACAAATTGAAATTTCAGCGGAGATGCGGAAGCTATGCCCAATTTTTGAATTTTTAGAGAAAAACTTTAAATTTTCGAATAATAAATTAATTGAACCTTTTTTTTCAGAACAATATCAACAATTCACATTGGTTCCATTCAATTGTTCCAAGATTTTCGAGTTTTGATTCAAAAATTGGTAAGTTTTGATAATTGACATGAAATTCTGGAATTTTAATTTGAAACTGATGAAATTTCTATTTTTCTTGATTTTTTTAATTAAAAATCTTGAAAAATATTTAATTTTATCAGTTACAAATTGAAATTTCAGCGGAGATGCGGAAGCTATGCCCAATTTTTGAATTTTTATTCAAAAACTTTAAATTTTCGAATAATAAATTAATTGAACCTTTTTTTCAGAACAATATCAACAATTCACATTGGTTCCATTCAATTGTTCCAAGATTTTCGAGTTTTGATTCAAAAATTGGTAAGTTTTGATAATTGACATGAAATTCTGAATTTTAATTTGAAACTGATGAAATTTCTATTTTTCTTGATTTTTTTAATTAAAAATCTTGAAAAATATTTAATTTTATCAGTTACAAATTGAAATTTCAGCGGAGATGCGGAAGCTATGCCCAATTTTTGAATTTTTATTCAAAAACTTTAAATTTTCGAATAATAAATTAATTGAACCTTTTTTCAGAACAATATCAACAATTCACATTGGTTCCATTCAATTGTTCCAAGATTTTCGAGTTTTGATTCAAAAATTGGTAAGTTTTGATAATTGACATGAAATTCTGGAATTTTAATTTGAAACTGATGAAATTTCTATTTTTCTTGATTTTTTTATTGAAAATCAGGAAAAATATTTAATTTTATCAGTTACAAATTGAAATTTCAGCGGAGATGCGGAAGCTATGCCCAATTTTTGAATTTTTAGAGAAAAACTTTAAATTTTCGAATAATAAATTAATTGAACCTTTTTTCAGAACAATATCAACAATTCACATTGGTTCCATTCAATTGTTCCAAGATTTTCGAGTTTTGATTCAAAAATTGGTAAGTTTTGATAATTGACATGAAATTCTGGAATTTTAATTTGAAACTGATGAAATTTCTATTTTTCTTGATTTTTTTATTGAAAATCAGGAAAAATATTTAATTTTATCAGTTCCAAATTGGAAATTTCAGCGGAGATGCGGAAGCTATGCCCAATTTTTGAATTTTTAGAGAAAAACTTTAAATTTTCGAATAATAAATTAATTGATCCTTTTTTTCAGAACAATATCAACAATTCACATTGGTTCCATTCAATTGTTCCAAGATTTTCGAGTTTTGATTCAAAAATTGGTAAGTTTTGATAATTGACATGAAATTCTGGAATTTTAATTTGAAACTGATGAAATTTCTATTTTTCTTGATTTTTTTTAATTAAAAATCTTGAAAAATAGTTAATTTTATCAGTTACAAATTGAAATTTCAGCGGAGATGCGGAAGCTATGCCCAATTTTTGAATTTTTAGAGAAAAACTTTAAATTTTCGAATAATAAATTAATTGAACCTTTTTTTCAGAACAATATCAACAATTCACATTGGTTCCATTCAATTGTTCCAAGATTTTCGAGTTTTGATTCAAAAATTGGTAAGTTTTGATAATTGACATGAAATTCTGGAATTTTAATTTGAAACTGATGAAATTTCTATTTTTCTTGATTTTTTTAATTAAAAATCTTGAAAAATAGTTAATTTTATCAGTTACAAATTGAAATTTCAGCGGAGATGCGGAAGCTATGCCCAATTTTTGAATTTTTAGAGAAAAACTTTAAATTTTCGAATAATAAATTAATTGAACCTTTTTTCAGAACAATATCAACAATTCACATTGGTTCCATTCAATTGTTCCAAGATTTTCGAGTTTTGATTCAAAAATTGGTAAGTTTTGATAATTGACATGAAATTCTGGAATTTTAATTTGAAACTGATGAAATTTCTATTTTTCTTGATTTTTTTAATTAAAAATCTTGAAAAATGGATGATTTCATCAGTTACAAATTGAAATTTCAGCGGAGATGCGGAAGCTATGCCCAATTTTTGAATTTTTAGAGAAAAACTTTAAATTATTTTTCGAAATTCAAACATATTTTAATTTTCCAATGCCAATTTTTCAGTTCGCATCAAACATTTTCAAGTTGTCGAGTGTCAATCAATCTCGCTGGATTTTTATAATTTCAATTTCTTACTATTTTTTTTCAACTTCATTTTAGTTTTTCTACAAGTCTCGCTAAAAAGCCGAGACTTGTACATTTGTTTTTTTATTTTTCGGTTTCTGTAGTTCTTCGAATCTACAGTAATCCAGCATAATTAACTGCAGAAATTTATGTTTGGATTACTGTAGATTTGTCTCAAGAACTACGGCATCCGTTGTTTTGTGTTATCCACTCGGGGAAAAAGTAGCAAGTTTTGCTACAAAAAACGACTTTTAGCAAGCTTGCTACATTTGTTATAAGGGAAAAATGTAGCAAGCTGGCTAAAAGTCGATTTTTCCTGCGAACAC